GATAGATAGATAGATAGATAGATAGATAGATAGATAGATAGATAGATGTAAGGAAGCTTGTTTAGCAAAACTACAGGAAATACGTTACTCTAATGAACTTACCTATGTCCTAAAACACATAATTCTAGATTAAACATAAACTCATAGTTAACTTCAGTTTGTCTTTGAAAGAAAAAATCTATATCATTATTGTCGTCATTATTATTATCACAGTCTATAGTGTAAACATTGTAATTGCTGAATTGTCCTTTCCGAAATTCGTTCAATGCGTTATTTTCCAAAAAGATATGCCGTGCTCCTCCTGTCAAACCACGATTTAAAAAAAAAAATCTGACACAGCCCACATTGCGTCGGATCTTTCGTCAGACTGTCCGTGCACGGATCACATGAGGGGGACTGCCGCTGACAGCTGGGGAGGTGCTGTAGGCGGAGCTTCTGGTCGAGAGTATCCAATAAAGAACGCTCTCTGTCTGGCTCAACCGGCACGAGCAAGTTCTACCCACGCTACAGAGAAGACTCCATTCAAACGGAGGCGTTTCTGGAAGGGATAAGACGTCTTTAAATTATGTTTAGGGGGATAGTCGTGAAAACCGTTTTTGGCGCAGTCTTATTATTTTTTACTTACGGCAGCTTTTTGTAGCTAATATTCCAAAGTCAGGTTAGTTTTTCACTCTCCCGCGCGCGCTATCGTAACGGTTCGTGCGCGCGCTAATTAGCTTATTAGCTAACAAGCGCTTTTCTCTACTGGAGTGACTGCGACCCGTGGTAAGTACAATACTTCAATATTTGAAGTCAGCCTCAATCAGTGAGCCTAATCTGTTTCATTTACCTAACACTGTAATCGAACTTGTTCCAGGAATTGATGTTTGTATTATTCAATCGTTAACTACAGATAGACTATTGATCTATTACTTGCATTACTCCTTTCACCAACAGCGGGCGAATTGTCTTACGGGAAGAATGAGTAAAAACAGTCGCTTATTGTTTATTAACCCTGCTTGACGTGGGATGTGTAACAGAAGTGCTTTTGTAGTCCTCTTAAAAACAATACCATGCACCGTTGTACTTCACTCCTCTTTAGAGACTCTGGGGAAAAATATATCCCGATTGTTAAGGGGAAAGGATTTATTTCTACCATCTGATACACACTTGGCATATAATTATTAAATGTATGAGATGCAGCCAGCTGCTACCCGGTGAGTCGGTGTTATAGCATATGATGCTTGTTTAGCCCTAGCGGAGTCACATCCGGTTTCGTACCACTTACGAAACGCAACGTCAAACTTGCACGAAATGGCAGATTAAAGATGCAGCTGCTAATAGGACTGCCGCGGCGGAAAATTTCATGGTTTTAACGTGATGGCTTAGTGGTTGCGCACGTTTCTGTTTTTTTTTTTTTTAGTTCCTAAATCCGTGTTAGGAGATCGTGTTGTTTGTGTGTGAATGAATGACGACACGTGCACATGTCGTAAAGTTATCAACCCTTAGACGACGACACTCGAAACAGCTTTACATGGATGTAACCATCCCCAGAATATCAACAACTAAACTTTCTTATGACATGTCTGTGTGAAAATAGAGGTCGTTCCGTGTTTTCCACTCGAGGTTCTTGATGCGCCATTTCCCAAAAATGGCTTCCCGTTTTAGTTTTCTGGAAAGATAGAGAGACGAGAAGGGTTCCTTCCGGTTCTAACCTCTTCACTTCAGGCATATCGACCAGTTCTCTTCCGCTTTAAAATGTATCTGTAATTTGATGGGTGTCTTTTCGGGAGTCATCACATGACTGTTGAATTAATAATCATTGTAAAATATTAAAGCATACACTTTGTTTCTTTTTTTTTCAGAATGTACCCCAGCTCACCTGCTGTCACGGTTGAACAATGGCTCTTTGCTCAATCTCCTTGATAGCCAGTCACCTAAAAACTGCTAGAGATTTAGTATAATTACAGGACACCAATAAATCTTGACCGTTTTAGGTAATTGTTTTCCGGTCTGTCCCAGATAGACCTGTTTAGAAGTTTGCACTGCTTAATCTAAAAAAACCTTTGTTGGAACAGGTTGGCCTATAGTAAAGCCTATTTAATTAACCTAATACCTCTTGATTTTATTTGCTACTGTTAAATAGTGGCAATTGTATACCTAGATATTTTGACAGGAATTACTTTCCCTTAAGATTGTGAAGAAATTCTAAAGAATATAATCATGGTTTCCACAACTGCAACTGCAATAATACTGGCCAGTACAGTAGGAATGGCAACCCACACTGCCCTGACAGACTATATGTGGTTGCTGATTGTCGGCTTTGTCATTGCCTTCATTTTGGCCTTTTCTGTGGGTGCCAACGATGTCGCAAATTCATTTGGCACCGCTGTTGGCTCTGGAGTTGTAACCCTGCGACAGGCATGCATTCTAGCTACAGTATTTGAGACCCTGGGATCTGTTCTCCTCGGGGCCAAAGTGAGTGAAACCATCCGCGAGGGTATCATCGATGTAGGAATGTACAATGGCTCTGAGCACGTGTTAATGGCTGGATCTGTCAGTGCCATGGTTGGTAAGTCTCTCTCTATCCAATTTTTATTTTAAATCTTATTTAGCAGCTATTTGAAGACAGGGTTCATTGTTGGAAATGGGTAAATGTTAAATGACATGTAATGAGAATTTAAGGCTTGAAGTGGATTGCTTACTTGTCATCTGCTTGCATGCTTTTGTTTTGCCTTTATTTTTGTTGGCTGGGGAATTTGGTTTTGTGGGGAAACTATGCTGAGAAGCTTCCATGATTAACTTTTTTCCTCCACTTATTTGTTTGTCTTTAGGCTCTGCCATATGGCAGCTGGCTGCCTCTTTCCTTAAGCTCCCGATCTCTGGAACACACTGCATTGTTGGTGCTACAGTCGGCTTCTCGCTAGTCTCCAAAGGCCAGCAGGGAGTCAGGTGGTTAAAACTCGTCCACATTGGTAAGGAATATTCACTAATCAGCTGACATGGATATATCTGAATATTATGACATTTGATAAGTTCATAACATGACTTTTACAAAGCACATTATTAACAAACACATTGTAGATGTTTGTAGGTCACACTTTTTAAAGCTGTTTTAGAGTCCACCACTTGTCGCAGACAAAATTATTCAGAGCTTTTTTTAGTTGATAGTTTATTTATTTTAGGCAATGCATAAAGTTTGCATTCTTGTTGCGCTACTTAATTTCAACATTTAAAAAAAGATTTATTTGAAATTAATATTGTCAAGACATTGTTTTTGTTTTTTTTGGTACCGGCATCCAATAATCACATTTTCTCACATTCTTCAATTTATTTGGCTTTTAGTTGCTTCCTGGTTCCTAAGCCCCCTTTTATCTGGAATAATGTCTGGAGTGGTTTTCTACTTCGTACGCATGTTCATCTTACATAAGGTAAGCCTGCTGTGATCACTTGAGAGATTTTTGTGACAAGAACTTTCTGAATTGGTTTTGATAAGTATTTATCAAAAAGGATGAAAAGCTTCTCATCTTTCAAGCTGTTTCTTATCCACACATGGTTCAGATTACCATCATGACCTTGAGGTCCATTAACTGTAACCTGACAGCAAAATTAGTTTTGTTGTTTTTAATTAAAAAAAAAACCTAAACATTTTATTTGTTTTTTTCTTGTAGAAAGATCCTGTGCCTAATGGTTTGAAGGCCCTGCCTGTCTTTTATGCCGTGACCATGGGAATCAACCTGTTTTCCATCATGTTCAGTGGAGCACCGAGTGAGTGTCATTGTCTCATTTTGCCCTGCATGCTTAGCCACAGCTTAAAATAAGCTGCTCCCTCAGACAGCCGGAAGCCCACACATATTCCAGACTGAACCAGACTGTTTACCATTTTCACAAAAGCCGTGTTTATTTTAACATGTCTTTTTTGGGGGCTTTCTTGCCTGTGGTTCTGTGTGGGTTGTAGCTGGAGTCAAGTTTTAGAGTGGAGCACAACAGGGTGATGGAAATAAGAATTCACTTAACTCTGGACGTCAGTGTCCATCAAACTTGGAGAACGAAAAGAGAAGTAAAGAGGGTGTTGTTTGAAATGCTCAGAACTGTCTGCCCTTAGTATTTGTATTACTGCTCAGTATTTTTGCTGCAATGCTCTTCATACTTGTTAGATTTTAATCTTCCAGAAACCTTTTATTAAACAAGCCACTTTTGCTCCTTTGTTTTCTTCTCTCTACAGGGCCTAACAGTTCAAGATCTTAGCTGGCCTGGGCCATTAAATGGCGGCTACAGGCCAGAGTTTGACCAGTTTGGTGCACTGATGTGTCCATGCACATCAGCGCATTCTGAGAGGAGATCACTTGCAGTCCCATCATAGCCCATAACCCTGCCTAATGAGGCACATTTTGTAAAGTTGTGTGTAGCAACGGATCACACTTTACACGAGGGCCCGTTATTGGGTACCTCACAAAATAAGGTGCGAGCCTACTCTTCAGACATCTAAACAAATCCCATGCATATTTTAAACGTTTTTTGGGGGGTGAAATCAGCCTTAATTGATCAGTAGGTGGACAGAAAAGGGCGCAGAGTGAAGTAAGAGATGCAGCAAAGGGCCTCATGCTCTGACTCGACCTTGGGCGGGCTGCATAGAGGAAGTACCGCTTCTGTTCCGAGGGGAACTGCTTAAACAGTTGAGCTATATATTTATTTTATTTTATTTTATTTATTTATTTTGTGGGAAATTAGTTGTTAGGCACTTACTGTTGGATCTACACCAAGCATCAGATTATACAGTGGTCTATACAAGAACAAACTAACCCCCTGAAATAGTCCTAATCAATTCCTAAAGGGCCCATTTTCCCTTAATGACACAAAGAAGTACATCTCATTCACTATCCATCTTTTTATCAAAATTATAGATTATTATTTCTGCTCTATCATCAAATTCAACCACCATAAAGCCGCATCAGATTTTTTCTGGATACTGTAGTGCTCTGGAAGACAGGGTTGCAGCAAATCACTGCTGCTTATGTATGTACTCTAATGCAGCAGTATCTGCAACAAACGAGAGTACAGTGTGTCCTTCCATAGGAGTCGGCGTTTCCCAAATATAAGTGTTAACGTAAGATGGGCGACTGGACACCAGGCATCCCACACCACATTCCAGTACTCAAAATGTCTATGCTAGTGCCAGAAACCCCAAGTCATGTGTGTAAGTGATTGCAGTTTGGGCCAAAGAATTTGATGGTCAGCTGAGTATCCTTTACACATGACACTTTGTGACATTGGTTGTTCACAGTTCATGAATCAGTCGGATGCGGTCACTCCCCCACAGATGTATTTTAATGTGAAGGGAAACTTTTATCTTGACAAAGATTTATGATCCAACCTCTAGTCTTTAAATGCTGCACAAACATTTGTCACCAGTACATAAGTCAACATGGGTGATTTTATTTATTCTTTTCTGAAGGTGATGGTTCATTTTTACCTTGCTAAATTTGAGTTTAGGTTTGTGCAAGTTTTCAAATTGTGCAGCCAAAACTCACACACCTGCCGGCATTATTCTCTCTAAAGACATCAGTCAGCATCACTGTATACATCACATATGCTTTCATTTGAAGCAATCTCCTGATTTTCCTTTTCTTTTTTTAAAGCAAAAACAAATACTCTCGGTAACTGTGGTAGGATAGGTTTTTATTTATTGTGAGAATTGAATTGGAGGACAGATATCTGCACTCCTGACACTTTTTAGTAATTCTCTCAATTATAATAGCTGTGGTCTGGCTAGATTTAGCTGGACTCATCAAACTTTATCACCAAGTGAGGCATAACCATTTTTAACCGTCGTAATAATTTGGACTGATGGTGAGCTGCAGATACAGTAGAAGGGTGGAAAAAACAAACTGTGTCATTATTCAATGTAGGCCACTGAATACTTAGGTTTTAGGGAGGGGTTTGGGACACAGCTGTGGTTAAATGTAATTTCCTGTGCAGTCTCATTTATTCCCACAGCGTGGTTGTGGGTTAAGCTCACCCCATTGTATGAGTGTTAATCAGGCTCATGCATGAAGCTTAAGGTTCAATTTTGTTTTTCATATTTTGTAAATTGTTTAACTATCTGGATGTGGCAATATGGGCTGATGAGATTTTTTTATTCTTCAAACATTTTTCTTCCTGCTGCTTGGTAGAGTCTAACCTTAAATCTACTTTTGGATGTCTTCTTTCATGTCAGCCCTTACATTCTAATCACACGGAGAGATAAGCTGATTTTTCCCCGTAGAGCTGTCTTCAGCGTGGTGAGCCTACCTTGCGTAACTAAACAAACATCAGTTTGGTGCTCTGCAGTCTCGTGCTGCGGCATGACTCCGTGTAAAGGGTACACAGTGGACTCAGATGAACACAGTCACGGACACTTATCACTTGCCCTTGGCCCTCATCTCTTTTATCTTAAACTGGTCAAACGGTCCTTTCCTTGCAAATGATTTCCTTTTATCTTTACAATATTTCTGCACTGCCAAGAGCATCATAATGGATGTGGTGTTGGCACCGTTTGCATTTGTTTTGTTCCCAAACGCACTGCTGACCTACACTGTGTGTATGACAGAGATGCCTGCCTCCCCAGGGACATGGAAAATACTTTCTTGCAGCATATGCTCTACTGCACCAGCTCTGCTGCAGTCTTGGCACCGGTGTCTTTACTGCTACAGTGTGTGTCTGGATCTACTTTTTTTGTTTTGCGTATGTCCAGCCCCCCACTCCAACTTGACTGTTCTTTTTAAGAATCTCACTGTCCATGTGCGGTTATTGGCTGAGCGCTTGGGGTCGTGGTGACATTTGTACACGTTTACCTGTTGGGTGTTACATAAGTGTTCCCTTATAGGGGTACACATACTTTCAACTTTTAGCCCAGTGAAGCAATGCCAGCAATGTTTTACTCCTAGAGTCTTACAGCTGCCGCATGCTGTGGCGTATTGCAGAAATGATAGCCGTGGGGTTATTTTTAGTCACAGGTAACATTCCTGTCTTAAAGTAGGGCAGTTTTTCCTAAAAATCCATAATTATGGTAGAATTGTAAAAAGTCTAGACTATCGCTACCTTAACGGTTCAGCTGACATGTGGGGGCTTCTTCAATACTTTAGGTTGGATATTACTTTGTTACACATCAATACAGGTAGCACGTGCTGCCTTGTCTTTTAAATTCCATTTTCTCTATTTGCCTTTTCGTGTTTCTTCACGTGGCCCTTGGCGATTTCCCCCAGTGCTGGGATTTGACAAGATCCCTTGGTGGGGCATCCTGCTCATCTCATTGGCCTTTGCTGTGGTGACGGCTATTGTGGTCTGGTTCATTGTCTGCCCATTCCTGAAGAAGAAAATTGAACGTAAGTCCTATGTCCTATTCATACTTTATGTGGGTTGTTTTGTTTTCTTCTGAAATTTGGATGACTTAAAGATCCTCACTTCTGATTCTTTGTATGTATAGTTTAGTTTCCTGAGATGGTAAATTACTGAGCTGTATTCACAAAACTTAGCATATTCACAGGAAAGGCTCAGATTAATCCAGCAAATGGATCTCACGGGGATGATTTCACACTGATGTGGCTTTAACTTTAAAAAAGGAAAACCTGAGAATATTGTAAGCCTCCACTGGATGCTCTATAATCCTGGATTAAAGATGTCGAGGTGAAAGAAAAGATTAGTTTTAATCTCTATTTCAATATTTTACTTTTCAAACATTTTCTTTAAATTGTAACCCATTATTCTTCATTAAGATCATTTGCACAAATTGGCATACTTTCACAAAAAATAGAAAGAAGAGAATGATACAACTTGTTTTTTTTTTTTTTTGTTTTTTCATTTCCCCAATGTTTTCCTGCATTATATTTACTGTCTTACTTAAACATGACCTAAATGGCACCCATTTTTCTGAATGAGGATGCCGTCAGTATCCAAGTTGATTATTAGGGTCATAGTGATCCTTTAATTGGGATTTAGCTCCATGACTAAAATAAGACTTGGACTTAACGTCTTGACGTGGCTTTTGCCATGCACTTGGCACGAGGTGTCTGCTTTACCTGTTACCTTGACTAGAGTCCAGTAGTCTGTCTCGTTGAAACCACAAAGAAATACCCAGCCTCAGCCTGGCTGTCCTTCATCGGATAAGCTGCTGGCAGTACTGTAAATATTCCCATTGTAAATCCTTTTACCTGGTTCTGTGAACAGATGCTCTCTTCTGAAAATGGGTTACATATCATTATTGGTACAATGGTCTTTTGACTCTGTGTTGATACAATTTTTCAGTCTTGGATATCAAATGTAAAGGAAACAGACATTCTCTGCTATGATTTGTCTTGTGTAATGTGTACCCGTTTGGACATAACCCAAGTAACATCTCACTTAACTCCACTCCTACTAGGAGATATCAAGTCTTCCAGCCCCTCAGAGAGCCCCCTGATGGAAAAGAGAGAGCTCAAAGAGGCCCACTGTGCTATCCTGAAACAGACTGCCAACGATACGTCTACACCTACTGCGCCGGCTGTTAATCAGAGCCCCTCTTCTCAACCCCCTGCTGCCCCGGAGGAACGCAGGGTGGCGTTTGACATCGGAGATTCTGATGACACCGAGTACAGCAGTGAAGTACAAAATGGTGGTACGTATGCCAGGGGACAACAGGGGGACTTGTATGTGCAGATAACACTGTTTAAAATGGGGAAAGAGCATGGTCAAATTGTATTTTTATAAGGTTATTTTCTTACCTCTTCTGCAGCTCCCAAACAGACTCAGACAGACCAAGTGCAGCTAAACGGTGAGCAGGTCCAGCACAGCAATGGTTCTGCCCCCAGTCAGGTCCAGTTCGGCAACCATGTACAGTTCAGCAACAGGCCGGCACATGTACCAAGCAACGGTTACAGCCAGTACCACACAGTGCACAAGGACTCGGGCCTCTACAAAGACCTCCTGCACAAGCTCCACCTGGCCAAGGTGGGCGACTGCATGGGCGAGGCCGGAGACCGCCCCATCCGGCGGAACAACAGCTATACCTCCTACACCATGGCCATCATCGGCATGCACGCTGACATCAAGCACAGAGAGGGGGAGTTCCGTGCAGGTGTGGACGTCGACAAGGGCCCGGGGTCAGGCTGCCAGGAAAGGAAGCGCGTGCGCATGGACAGCTACACCAGCTACTGCAACGCGGTGGCCGAGACCACAGCCACCGAGGGGCTGGCAGAGGGGGATGTGACGCTGGAGATGGGGAAGGAAGATGCCGGCAGCAGCCGGAGCTCCCTGGATGAAGACCGGCACGATGAGGACAAGCCAGAAGTCTCGACTCTGTTCCAGTTTCTCCAAATTCTCACCGCCTGCTTCGGATCCTTCGCCCACGGGGGAAATGACGTGAGGTACGCGGTCTCTGTGATGGAGGTCGTGTTGTTTTTAGCAGGCGCACTGATAAGATGACACTGGCCCTCCTACCGTTATTGGTGACATTTGTGCTTATCACAACTCTGACTGTTGAAATAACCTGACTCTCTCCTCTGTAGCAATGCCATTGGACCCTTGGTTGCTCTGTGGCTGGTTTACACAACCAGCAGCGTGACCTCAAGCGAACCTACACCCATTTGGCTTCTGCTGTACGGTGGCGTTGGCATTTGTGCTGGACTCTGGGTTTGGGGTCGCAGGGTGATCCAGACCATGGGCAAGGACCTCACCCCCATTACACCTTCAAGGTACAAACTATGCAGACAGGACAGTGATTAAAGCCACATCCTGCTCAGACATTACCGGAGGTTTAATTCAGAGGCCTGCTCAGACACACCCACATGAGACATAAGTGTTTTTCTTCTCCCCCTCCAGTGGTTTCAGCATTGAATTGGCTTCAGCCGTGACGGTGGTGGTTGCCTCTAACGTTGGCCTGCCTGTGTCCACCACCCACTGCAAGGTGAGTCAGACCGTGTGGTCTGGAAACACACGGAAGGGTTTAGAATGAAGGAGGTCACTGTAATAAATCTGGTGCAATCCAAATGTGGACTTTTTCCCCTTAAGGTTTTGAGGCGGTGGATAAGACGATGGGCTTCTAACAGTAGTGTGTTTTCAGGTGGGCTCTGTGGTGGCCGTGGGATGGCTGCGGTCCAGAAAGGCGGTGGACTGGCGTCTGTTCAGGAACATCTTCCTGGCTTGGTTTGTGACGGTGCCCATCTCTGGCCTCATCAGTGCTGCTATCATGGCCATCTTCATTTACGGCATCCTGTGAGTGTGTGGCTGCGCCCCCACGTTGGGGGAGGGGAAAGAAATCACTCCGGTGCACCGAGGGAGAGGAAGCTGGAGGGCCGAAGACTATATCGCTTACCTCAAGCCAACAACTTCGGAAGAAAATCTGGAGGCAAAAACAAACAAAAAAACCCTAAAGGACTTGTGACATGTGCCTGTGGTTCTTGGCTGCAACATCATTTTGCTAGATTTTCTGTTTACTTGGGGCCACATGACTTCAGTGGAGAAATTTAGTATTTCTTTGTTCCGACTTTTTCAAATTTCACTCTGTAGTTACGGTAATCTGATCGCATCAACAGATTGTCTTGTCTGTGTTTGTTTTGTTCTTTTTTACTTTGCGAATATGTGTATATACAACCATGCAATTTTAAGTTTTAAATGTTGAAGAGAGAAAATGCAGTATTACATTTTTACAAATGTACTTTGTCGTTCATAAAACGCGCTGATGGTAACGTAGATGCTAAAGCTGTCATAAGGTAAAACAAGGTGATTGGTTTATATCTGTCTTCCTTTTATCTCATCAACTTTGACATCATTTGTCCTCTTAAAGAGCAGAAATAGTTTTCACCTGAGGTTAGAGACCTCATTCTACAGCCTTTCCATTTGTTTAGAGCCCTGCAGTTTATTCCTTATGTAGGTAAAAAGAATTACACACTGGGACCCACTTCAGAACTGTGTGAAACGCTTAAGTATTAACGGGTCAGCTCACTGACGAGGACTAATTGGAAAATTGGGCGGATTTTTTTTTTTTTTTTTTGTCTGCTGCCCAGGTCATAAATCTCAAGAGGTTTAAGAGGAATAATAAACCCAGACAAGCTGCCTGGCCTGTACATATCAACTTTGATGTAACAGAATGTCAGCCAGCGCGAACAGCGCGCTCTCAAACACGACCTTAAGTCTCCTGTCTAAACTTGATTGCACCGTCCTCTGCAGTTGGTTTTTCTGAGAAATTTGCACCCTTTTCTACACTGAATTCCTCTAATGGAGGAAGAACAGGACCTTGAGAAACTGGAAGTTGCTGCAGTGCTTTGGTGTTGAGACGGTCTGTTCTCTGGGGCGTTGCATGCCACCAGCCTGTGGTCTCGTGACTGCAGTACTAAAAACATTTCAGACCCATAGATGCTGTAGTTGCCTTAATTTTAATTTTCCTTAGGTACCAAAGATTTTTTTTTTTTTTTTTAATGCACATCATCTGCCCCACAAATGTGGATGGAAAAATGGAAATAAAAATGGAAAAAGTTCATGTGTCTGTTAATGATTTTTTATAAGCATGACGGCTTGTGTTTTTGGCCTTTTGGGATCAAATGAAATCTGTCTATCCCAGAAAAGAGCCGGTGGATCTCGGCTGGTATCGGCACACACGCGCGATGGAAAACAAAACGTGGCACGCGGGTTATACAGACAGGTGGGATTGTTCCCCCCTTTATTGATGCTAAGCTCCGTGCAGCTCAGGCAGCAGGTGATGAGTAAGCGCCGGGATCCACGTCTGGCTGGACTTCTCACTCCAGTAGATCTGCGGGGCAGGGACGGACAGAGGATTCCTTTATGCAGCTTTACAAACAAAACAACGCCACAGATTTCCAGCACTCTCTGAGCACATGAGTCACGTCTCCCAGGTTTTTATGACTACCCCTGACACCAGTCTTTTTTTATTTTTCACCCACTATGATGAAATAAAGAGTTGAACCGTGTTCTGTCCCCATTCCCCAGGTCAGGATTTTTTTTTCCTCATAAAAATGACATATTTTCACTGTATTTGGTGTTACTGAATTAGAATTTTCAACCCATTTTGAAGATGGCTTTATCATCAGCAAACCTAGATGAAAAAGTCTTTCTCAAAACAATCTGTAGCATCTCTCAGGGCAGGGACAGTGCATTCTGGGGCCTAAAATAACCCTAGGCAGATGAAACGGTATAAATCAAGCACAAAAAGTACCTGGGGACAGTCCTCTCAGTGTCCTGGATTTTTGTCCTAGATTTACTTGCATACAACGAGGACTGTGTTCAAATAAACAACCTCAGTATCTTTTTTTATTTATGTTTTTTGGGGGGGAGTCAAACCAGCAAAATTTAGCTTTGTGGTCACTTGAATACCTCCTCAGAAAAGTGCTCTTCTAGGGTGTGTAAACTAAACTAAAGCGATAACTGCTGCCAGGGTGTAAACGTGAAATCACACTGGAGGCATTTTCATTACAGTGATGTTGAAGTTATCTATAAAGGTTTGTGACTGTTTTTAAATCTAGCTACAACTGGCTCCGACTGGCTCCGACTGCCTCTGTTTTTCAATATCTGGTTCATTGCATAACCTACTATTTAGACCTCTCCGCTTTGCTCAAAACAGCTGACCACATCTTGCCTCTGCAGGTAGAGTGGGTCTCGAGGAATGCTAAACACTGTCTCTGATGGGAATGGAGCTCATTGGCCGCTCATTGTGTTTACGCATTGTTCAACTTTCACCATGCTGTCGACAGTTAAGATTATAGGTGGAGTGTTTTGGAGTGTTTGGAGTTTTTACCTTGTTCCTTGGATGAATCTTGACTGTTTTCGTCTGCAGAGGACAAAAAAGGTGGAGTATTTAAAGGAGGAGTTGGATAAATGACTAAGTTCTTAGTGTGTGTGTTTGTTGATTTTTACCCAAACTGCTCGCAGTCACCGTCACAGTCTCATGGTGCTCTGGAAAGGCATTTACACAGAATTAGATGTCTTTTTTTCACCTTGACACATATAAGAGGCCCATATAAACTTCAGAAAACAGAGAAAACTACAACTTACCCCGCCTTTGTCTTCCTATTAGAAAACAAACGACAAAGACAGAAATGAATAGTGTTGAAAAGGCAGCTTTTATGTCCTGAAATAGACTGTCACTAGGAAAAACCTACCGTCTGTGTCTTCTGAGGACTCAGACTCTGATTCTGGGCATGGCAGAAGAAATAAAGCAGCCATTCAGACCTCAAACTTTCCATTTCTGCCCTGCTTTTCCCCAGCTGTCATTTGCTGCCGCCTAAAGGCTGATGCATGAACAGCTCACCTGTCTCCCCTCCATGCGCTGAGGCGTCAGAGTTCCCGGCTCCCTCTGCTGGACGACAGCGCCACACTTAACAGGGCTGAGGAATCACCACTGGACTCTCAGGGAATGGAGGATATTTGTCACTCACCTTTGCTTTCGTCCTCAGATTCAACTCGGTCCTCCACTGTTGAAAACAGAGTGTGAATGAGGGCCATTCGGCTGAGACACGAGCCGTTTTTTGGGTGACTTGGAACTTACCCGATCCATCCTGAGCAGCCTCTGCGAGAGAGAGAGTTCAAAAAGTTGCATTAGGGACCGATTATTTGTTGTCCGCTTTGATTGAGCTAGACATTCGTGGCGTGCACTCACCCAGGTAGCGGCTGTCCTCCTCATTCTGTGCTTCAGTTACTGGATAGAAAATGGTCAAAATAATAATGAGGATCATAATAATTGGAAGCTCATCAAAAGTACAGAGTGCTTTTCCCAAAATGATGGGAAATGGTCCTCTCAGTTGGGGTTTGACCTCAGTCTGTGTGATATAAACCTACCGTTGATCTGAGCTGCCTTGGTCTTTTGAGCAGCTTCAAACTCCATCAGATCTGAAGAAAAAACAAGACAAGATAGATACACTTCTGTGGAAGCAAAAGCACAAAAATACGCACCAACAAATCTACACTAAAAACTGTAAATGCAGCTGATACAGGCTTTAACCCTCTGAAGCCTGAGGGGAACTGTCCAGGCACACAGGACCTGGTGGGCTGAGGCACGGCTTCTGTTTTATGTCGGGTGCTGTTTTAGTGTGTTTTACCTATTTTCAGCAGGTCGGTCATCCCATCTGCATGGAGAGACACGTCCTGGTCATGTGTTTAAAACCATCAACATTATTGTTTATGGAAAAGAAAGAACTTCCTCACCATACGGAGGGCTTTTCTCCTCTTTCTCTGGAGATTCCAGAGAAGCCGAGAGAGCTTCAAGCAAAAAATACAAATGCCGTCAGCTTTAGATGGATAAACAGTGCTTTTACATATATGTATTTACATACACACACACACATATGTAAATAATGTCTGATACATTTACTTACATGCGTATTTACATAGTCACATATATCTATAAATATATAAACAATGTCTGATATTTTGTCAAAGAAAGCTAATTATTCCTGTACAAATACAGTCATATAACACACTTAAAACATTTTTTTACTATATGAATTTCGACCCTCTCCAATTAATTAATGGAAAAGACTTAAACAGTAGGAATTCTTTCAAATCCCTGACTCCTGGACTTACCGGTGTGGAACCCTGCCACAGACAGGAAAACGAATAGAGGCACCAGAAATCTCATCTTGGCTGCAGGACGGGCTTCCAGGAGGTTTGGGCGTCCGGACTGTGTTGTGTTGTTGTTGCCATTTCACAGCCCCTTATATGAATCTTCGGCCGGATCACATGTTTGCATGGACAGGCGGCTCCGGGACCATTGTCCCTCCCTACCTGAGAGGACGCTTAGTGGCGCATCACCAAACAGACGTATCCTTATTCGGCTGGTCAATGCCCCCCATTGTTGGGCCCTTGCTCACACGGGCCTTTATTTGGGATGTCTGATGATGAGGAAGGGAAAAAAAGAGGGTACTCCATGTATCAGAACTGAAAACAATGTTTGTCGTTTCTTTTTGGGAAATGGTGATTTCACGGAGCAAACTTGGCTGATAAGGAGGGGTCACGATGTTGTCTAATGAAACAATCCTTTAATTAATGCCAAAGATCCGGATGGGGTGTGTGTGTGTGTGTGTGTCGTCATATCATCACTGGAGTTATCTCTGAAATGTAGTTAAAAACTTTTCTAAATATCCCAAACCGCATATTCTAAATAAACACAATTCAAATACAAGAAATACAAAAATCATCATTTTCAGCTCTTTTTGTCATGATTTTTATCTTTAATTCCGAAAGCACAAAACACTGTGGTGGTTCTGGATTGGAGGCAGACTCCAGCCCTCAGAACTCTGTTTTTCAGGATATACCCGGCTGGCGTGAAACAAAAGATGAGCAGACAGAATATACATTATTTTGATCGCTTTATTGTGATTGTTTAAAACAGGGGGGTCTTGGAAGTTTCAGTAATGTTTAAAACCAAGAGAAATCTGAAATCCAACATGTAAATCGTAAAGAGTTAAGGTGCACAAATATTAGTCTTGCTACTTCCGTTAAAAATCTAGAAAATGTACTGCTAAAATTTTCCCCAAATATACAAAAAAGGAACCTCAAAGTACAGTACAATTACAGTATCTGAACCACATCAGCTCTGACAAATCAGGGGTGCAAAAGTCGATCCCGGTTCCAAAGGTTGGGATGCTGAAATGCCAGAGAAATAGGAAATTCTACTCACAAAGAGAAAACGGACGCAGACAGGGAGACATCTTACAAAAACCGATTATTCTGCCGTGCCACGTAACACAAAGGGATAAAAAAGAAGAAGAAAGTGTCCCGCAAACAGCACAGTATTAAGCAGAAATCACACTTTAAGATTAATTTAGCATTTGCTAGATTAAAGAGAGGAGGGCCCGCCCTGTTCATTACCAGTGCTACATAAAAACATTTTTTAAAAAGCAGTTTGCACATCTGGACAGAGGCCGTCAACACTGAGAGGTCCATGAGGATTTCAGAGGGAGATACGCTCCATATCCTGCTTTTCTCAGGAAAAAATAATCCTAAACCGTGTACTGCATTTACTATATCGACATGTCTTCATGGTTATCTGTTTTTATCAATTAACTTAAGTAAATTCAGTAAGTTCATTGAATCAATAAACATTTAACAAAGTGTAAACCATAGTGGGGATAAGGGCTGTACTTTATCTGAACAGATCTGAACAGGTCCTGGTGGTTTGAGGGCATAAGGAGGACCCAAAGGATTTTTAAACCCTGATCTGAATCCGACCCTGATTTGTTTAAGGCACAATCATATCCATGCATGGTTGGCTCTTCTGTAATAAGATTAGTCTGTTTTAGTTTGATTAGTGTTTGCTGTGTTAAAATCCAAAAATGATAGAATTTTAAAACCAGTCTCAGACTATGAATAAAAAAATGTTTAAAAAAAACACAAAATCACTTCCTAAAAACAGTAGTCTGCTGAGGAGGTAGAGACTCAGGAGTTGTTGGAAGACATACAAATAATTAGGAAAAGAAAAATGGGCCTAAAACAGGTTGACTATGTGTGCGTGTTCATCACAGGTACGGCACCCACTATTAAACACTATTAGTGTTTTTTAAAACAGAGGCAGAAGTGTGCGTCTGCCCCTCAGTGCAGATTGGCTCAGAGTTTTCTCTTCAGCAAAGACAACTTTGTTCACGCTGGGATGCGCCGTTGCCGCTGGAGATGATTCTTAGGTTTGCTGTGGCTAGTTGTTGCTTTTAGTTGGTCCCTCTCCGGATCAGCCGCTGTGACCTGAAAGAGGCCGATGGCTGACCGGTGGAAGCCGTTTGCTTTGATTGCTTTCGTTTTTTTTTTTTTTTTATCGTCCCTGATTTGAAAGTCTGGACGCTCCCGGCCTGCTCAGAGCTCTCCTCTCAGTCGGGTGTGCAGGTCCTCCTGGTCGATCTTCCCCGCCTGCTCGTGCCAGCGGTGGTGGGCCAGCAGGGCCACGTTCCGGGCCGAGATGGCGCTCATCTCCATGGCGCTGGCCGCCCACTCCACGGCGTTCAGGTAGTAGAGGCGGTTGTGCAGGATGAAGGGCGGCGTGCGGCGGTGCGGCGGGCGGTAGGCCGGGTAGGCCAGCCAGGGCGTCTGGGACACGCCGTGGTGGGACAGGAACATGCTCTTCAGCTGCTCCGGGGTCAGGGGCTTTGGGGAAAACACCTTCCAGACGTTGCTGTGGCTGGCGGCGGGCCGGCGGTAGCCGTCGGGGATGTGCACGGGGTCCAGGGAGCTCAGGCTGTGGATGAGGCAGCCCTTCGAGTCGGTGGTCAGGATGTCGGACACGCTGAACTGGGAGGCGGGCTCGGCGCTGCCCAGGTAGGACACGTTCAGCCTCCCCTGGACCAGAGTGGCCACCGTCTGGTGGTAGAGCCCCGGGTAGTGAGACGGGAGCGGGGGGGAGAAGCCCGGGAAGGCGATGTCGGACTTCCCCTGATGCAGCGGCGTGGCGATGACCACGATGTCGTACAGGGCGTGCCCCGCCCCCGATTCTCCCACGTAGTTCACCTCGTAGAAGGAGGCCGTGTTCCCTGGAAACGGATGATGGAACAAAGGTCTTCACTTTTGGCAGAGGAAGCGCACAGCCCTGCGGCAGCCTGAGACCTACCTCTCTTTGACGGCCGGGCCTTGACGGAAATGGAGGTCACCCTGGCATTGATGAGCTCGCTTTTGCTGTGGTACAGCAGTCCCGAACACACCCGCTTATTGCCTCCATCCACCGCCCACAGGCCCGAGTCCGCCCCGGCCAACGACACTGCTCCTACAAAGCAGAGAGAGAGAGCCTGGTAACTCCATCCTGCCGTCACCAAACAAATGCCACGGAGAGGGCCACAGGATATTCCTTTTTAAAAGCGCGGCACCACGTACCCACAAAGCCATTGATGCGCACACTCTGGCCGTAGTTGACGCGAGTGATGGGAGCAACGATATCGTTGATGAAGACCTGTGAAAAGCCCTGGGCTATCATGGTCTCCTCCAAGGTCTGATTGACCAGCGTAAGGAAGTTATCGCCGCCCATGGCGTGCAACAGCCTCTCCACGCTGGAGAATGAGTAACCAAACTGTTGATACTGGTAGATCCTGTCAGCAACAGAGTTGACAAGAGAATCAGCACCCCGGGCTCGAATGTAAGGTTTACATACATGTCTTGAAAAACCTCACCTCTCCTCACCTCATGAATTTGTCCAAAATGCTCTCCACCCACATCTGCATTCGAAGGAAATTGAAGCCATAGCGCCAGAGCAGGCGCAAGACGTTAATGATGAACCAATCACTCTCTTCGTACACAAGCTCCTTCCCATCAAAGATCGCCATTTTAGACGGGGTATCTTTCCTCGGAGGAATACCTGGAACAGGGAAAATGGGGTTGAATATGTGGCTCATATCTGCAGGGCTGTATGTGATTGAATATTTAACTACTTTTGCATTAAAGCATATATTTATCTATGTAGTTTGACTTGACACCTAGTTTTTCCACAAAGTGCTTCATGTGGAGGTTCAGGGGATGGATCACCGCCCCTCCCGTCTCATATTCGTGATCTCCAATCTTCACGGTGGCCAGCCGCCCCCCCACAGATCCGGGCTCAAACACATCGATCTTGACCGCGGGGCCGAACTCTTGCCTCAGGTAAAAGGCTGCCGCCGTCCCGCCGATGCCAGCCCCGACCACAGCTGTGAAACCAGACACAGGAGTTAGATGGAGCAAGAACTGTGGTCCTAATCTTTACAAACAACAACATTCCAAACAGCTTTGTGAAAGCATTTGCAAAAGAACAACTACATAATACGTGGCATTATTATATATTGCCCCGGTCCAATTTTCAGACAACCAGCACAACTTAAGAGGACATAGTATAGTCTCAACACTTAAACAATTAAAACAGACAAAATATAAACATTCATACATTTTAATCTACTTCTCTATCTGCACATATCTAAGAAACTCTTTTAGTTTGCTCGTGGTCAGATACGATCTGATGTGTGCTCTACAATAACAGAAAACGACATTAAGCCAGCTAATTTTAGATGTACAATTTCACTTTCCTGATAATAAATTGGAACTGGTATGGACGCACAAATGAAATAGTAAATCAAAAATTTGTTGTGGTCTTGAAAGCAGAATTCACGCCTCTTGGATGGAGAGAAAAAAAATGTATTCAAACTTCTGAATTCACCTGCATATTTACTGGCCTTAAAGGCAGCCCTAATTGACTGATTTCAGTGATCCTCCACATCTGTATGGTGATCCTCAGATAATAAAGAGATCCACTTGCATGATGCTGCCAGCTCCACTTAGGCCAAAAGGTTGGGAAAAAGAATATCCCCTCCCATTCAAAGGAGAATTATTTTAAAAAGCTGGTGGAGGTTCGCCAACTCGTAGGTTGATCGCTTACCGATCTTCTTGGGCTGTTCTAGTAGTTCTGGTGCAGAGGCGAGGCTTCTCCTCCCAGTCTGCCAAAGCCCCAGAAGCAGCAGGGTTCTCAGAGACACCGCGGGGAGAGCCATGGTGGACGTCTACAACTGCATCTGCACTGGGAACAAGACCATGAATAACTTTATCAGTGTTGGGCAAAGGTCGAACACAGGGATTCAAAACAGCAGGCGAATAATGGCTCACATTGCGTATTAAGCTGTAGGAAACACTGAAAAGTCTACCAAATGTCACGTTTTAAGATTTGAAACTGTGTTCAACTGCACTCGCTATTTTAACTGTCACTAAAGCCGTGTTACTGTTCAGACAGAAGCAGCTTTTAGTTCCGCTTTCAAGTAACTTCAACGCCTGACACGACTTCCTGACATTTCAAATATAGATTTAAAGTCGTTGTGACGGTCTGAGCAAAAGGTGAAACTTTCAATAACTACCCGAACTAGTCTGCTGGTTGAGTCAAGTCGGAAGAACCTGACCGTAGCTGTGTGCAAGACACACTTCCGGGCTTATCCAACAGATTTAATAATAAAAGATCGAAAAGCCATGGAGGCAAACCGGCACATCCTGGATAGAGCACAGCAGACCAGAACATGAGACCGGAACGGGAGAATAAAACGGAAGTGTCTTTTATTTTGAAGGGTGACTTGATCGCACAGGCGGAAACAGTCTGCTCGGTAGCGGAAGCAAATCGGAAGTGAGGTATCTCGCTAGAAACATGCTTGAATGGAGGTGACCTTAGTTGTTATCAAATTGTAAAGTAAGTTATCGATAACTTCCCGGTTAGCCCCGCGGGGGACACGTGCAAAACCCAAGCTGGTTTGATTTTTTTTTGTTGTTGCTGATTTTGAGGGAGTGGCGTTAGCAGAGATGGCAGAGGCACATCAGACACGCGTGCAGAATGTGGTGGAAGAAATGGTCCAGGGTCTGGAGAGGGATCACATCCGTAAGATGCAGGTTGGTTTTCACGTGCGCAGGAGACTGTCTGCTCTGCATACACGCGCATACTGGTGTGTTTGATAGTACTGTATCTGTAGTATCTCCACCAGCTCAGCTCTGTCTGTTATCCGGCTGCAGGGTCGCATGTTCCAGTGCAGCGCAGAGTGCTGCGACCGCTCCACAGACTCCATGGCCCAGGTACATCAGTGTATTGAGAGGTGTCACACTCCCCTGGCCCAGGCTCAGGGATTGGTCACTTCGGAGCTGGAAAAGTTTCAGGTGAGGCAGACTCAACATAAACAGAAGAATCAAAAGAAATGCTGATTTAATTTTGTAATGTTTCATTATATGTAAAAAAAAAAAAAAAAGGTATCTTGCCCACATAGTCCAGATTGACCACATTTATTTGTTGATAGAATTACAATTTTTTGTGGTCATGCAGCTCCATGTCAACCCAGCCAGGAGTTGGTATTGAGTTTTAGCTATGTATTGAAAAACCTTTAGCGTCAGCCTTCTGTCCACTTTTGGTGGGTTTAAACCTTTCTTGCCTCCCTCAGGACCGTCTGACCAGATGCACGATGCACTGTAACGATAAGGCGAAGGATCTGTTTGACTCTGGTGCAAAGGAGCCAGCTGTCCGATCACTGATGGACCGCTGTGTGGGCAGTTGTGTGGACGACCACATTAACCTGGTCCCCAGCATGACCCGAAGACTGAAGGAGAATTTGGACTCTATACCACAGTGAGGAGCTGCATGACTCAATAGATGCATATATATACAGCAGTGCAGGGTTAGAGGCCCAGGAAATCCAGGGCTGGAACCGTAAGATGAGAAAAGAAGAATTTTCAGAGACTTCACTCTGACTGTGCCATGACGTTTGTTATCGCAGCTTGACATGTTCAACCTCTCAGATCTTAATTCATCTACCATGAGAAAAGAAAATCAGGACCACAATTGGTGTCAACTTGTGTGATTACACGTTTTCTCAAAATGAGAGATATGCTGGTGTGCTTTTTTGATAAAATAGTCAATTTATCAGACCAGATGTTTTTTTTCCAGTGTATATATAACCGGTCAGCATCAATGCAGAGTCAAGTTTAGTCATTTAAGAGTGAACTCTTCTGTGATCATCTTAATCTTCTGTTTGTGTGTGTGTGTGAATTAAAACAATACAAACTGTTTTTTGGTAGCAGTACTTCTTCCTGTGTGTGCCAATGACAAGACAAGGCAATAATTAATGCATTTTTTGCACCATTTTAATGACAACAGAGTAATATTCTCATTCTTATACACAGTACAAGAAAGTCAACATTGTGAGGTGGCAGCCTGATTAATGGTGTAAAAAAAAAAGATATACAGAGGCAAACACACCAGACACAATGTATATAGTCTGTTGTCTTGATTTTGAAAAATGCTTAATGATGCTGCAAGGCAGATAAATTATAAATTGTTCAAGTAATGAGGCACAGAATGAACAGGGTCAATAATGAGCACAAAATATAAAATGGCCTAATTTAAAATAAACCCAAAAGTTATTAATTGATAATAACTTAAATCATTAATGAGGTAATACAGTAAAAGCAATCAACTAACTGCAAGTATGAGTTTCATAGAAAGCAGCTTTACAATAAATGTGCAGCTTTTACAACCAGATATGAAATGTTTATTTTTGCTGTCTAAACTCACTATCTTTGGTGACCTCTGCCTTTTTCCCTTCCTTTAAAAAACAAAACAAAACACTGCACTTAATGCGTGAAAAAAATATATAGAAAAGAATGGATGGCCAGCTGAAAACATAAGAAAGCATCTCCTACATGCTGATGTTTTTAACCATTTAAACATTCAGTGTTTGATCAAACCTTTTTATTTTCTGTCATACTCTTTTTCTTTACAGATCATTTATTACAGGAATGGCTGTTAAACATAGCTAAACCTTCACAATGAAATGAGAATAATGCATCCAGGACAGGCAACAGTCAGTCAGTGGGTGGATCTGGACTTTTAACAGATGCAATATAATAAAGGAGCAATCTGAATAATACAAATTAAACCAAAGTGCTAATATATCTATCTGTTGGTGTTTAAAGACTCATGAGCGCATTGCCTTCAAGCTGTCAAAAAGCCTGTGAGATAGCACCAAAGCCCAGGTGAAAGGGCAGTTTTATTGGCAGAGGAGATTCTCCTCTTCTTAAAAAAAATACAATAAAAATAAATAGTGAACAAATAAAAAAAATCCTGTTTGAACATACAGAGAGTTCCAGTTGCAACTGTACAGACGAGTCATACCAGCACACTGAGGAGTTAGTGGTACGTGTCCGAGTCACAACTGAGCCCTCTCCCCCCGCTGCTTTAAAAAAAAAAAAGGAGGTAACAGCATTGTTACAGGATTGCAAAGCAAATATGAAAAAATTAAAAGAATAAGTAAATAGAGAAGTAACCGACTAAAGAGAAGCCACTGTAGAGTTACCTCTAGGTTTATCGAGGCACTTCCTGCCCATGTGAGCCAAAGAGGAAGCAACCCCCCTTCAAAAGACCAGGAGGGGACGGGCTGGACCACAGTGACATTGTCTCTGGTCAAAACTACAGAAAGTCTGTGGCGAACTGAAGGTATAAATAGGTCTGTGAGCCTTGTAAAAAAAAAAAAAAAAGCTGGTGTTGATGATCAGATCACAGAATCCTGCAGTCTTAAGTTTAAATCAAAAGTTGGCTCACTGACGCAACCCGGCCCGACATTTGTCTGAATGAAATGTTCCCCCGCTAACTGGTTTCAGCATGTGGTGTTTCCTTGTTTTAAGAAATGATAATGCCCTCCCTCCATCCTGACAAGCCAAATCAATGGTGGTTTCATAAACACTAAGATTAACAACAAAAAAAACCTATAAGTGTTCTTTTGGTCAACTAATCTTAAATTGTTGTCAATTTAAAATCAGCACACATTCAAAAGCAATTTCTAGTCTCACCAAAGACTTGGAAGTTTTCCATCTTTACAGGGGGTCCAACATCCCAAAACAAACAGGAGTAAGCTGCTCTGCGAGGAAAAGATGGTCTGATCCTTCCTGAACCTTTATGGTATAACTGTGGACTCCATGAATAAAAAATAACCCAGAATTTCATAGACTCAGAAACAAACACTTTCCCTGAACACTTGAATGAGCTATACAGCATGCAGATGGTATGTCCACTGTCAAAGTGGTGTCAAATGTGGCGATGGATTTTACATACATGCTTACATGAGTGTCTCCATGTTACCAGAGGAATGGTGGCAGTCAATGGCTTTGGAGCGGGCATCAAGACACAGTGCGAGTGGCGCTTTCTTGTTCTGAGGAATCTGGACGCTGGTCTGAGTGGGGGGATGTATACAAGAAATTACAGCATACGTAGAGGGGGAATGTTAGCAATCGGCTGTCCAGGTTCATCACCACATACTCCTGAGGGATTGAAGAAAGAGTAGAAACATTAAGCAAGACTGTAGATGAGTGCCAAAGTGACAGCTGAGCACATTTGTGGATTAACAGTGCTGACTGACCTGGTCCTTCTCCAAGGTGAGGAGCTGGTAGCCTGTTGAGCGACTGCAGACTAGCTTCCCCCGGCTATCAAATGAGGCCAGACGTAACCTTTACAAAAGAAAAAGGTTAGGTTGAGGCTTTCCAAGACAAAAAGGCTGCCTAAGTATTAAAACTTGCTTCAAAGATACACGCTGAAATAAAATATCTGAAAAAAGCTTGCCAAGAGTCATATTGACCATATTACCGTGTGAATAAACTGTCTGCTGACAGAAAATATCTGCTGTTCTGTTCAGATTTTTTTAATAGCAAAATATAAACACTACTGACCTGTATGCCAAATGTCTCCGAGGTTGTAGACTCACAGCGCCCCCACAAGGCTGACTGAGAGTATTTCTTTTAAAGACTATAAACCTATTTGTGTAGGTCACCAGTAGGTCAAAGCCAAAGTTGAAGCCTGTCCATCGCCAGCAGTACTGAGACACAGAAAACATTGGGGGGTTTTTTTATTACAAAAGCTTAAAACCAAAGCACTTTAAATTCAGGGGGAAAAGCAGAATGCAACAGTGGTCGTGCAACTCACATCTCCATCTTTACTCAGCTTCCTGCCACACCTCATACTGCTCAACTCAAACTCCTCTTTGTTAGGCTCCTGGGGACTAAAAGATACAAAGAAGGATTTGGCTTTGGTACAGAATATAACTACTACACTTCATCAAATTACTACAAAATGTGAGACCATCTTATAGGCTAAGTTCCAGCTTCTCACCCATTGTCATTGTCAAACTCAGTCCGGAGCATAGCAAACCACTGGTTTTTGTACATCGATGTGAGCCAGTCTAGAAGTATGAGGATAAATATTCATCCATAAACACAGGAGGGAGAATTCTCAACACAAAAACACTTGTGACCACACAAGTGTCTCTGTGATCTTACCGTGGGGCAAAATGTTGTCTCTCTCCAGGATCCGAGCTGACGCAAGATCATTGATGATATACTGGAGACGCACAAGTCTGAACACTGAGCGAAAAGGTGCCCCTTCCTCTCCGTCTAAGAATGGCTCTTTCTCACACAGGTCTACAAATGAAAAGCTTATTAAAAAAAAAACCGTGCTGGCCACAAAAAAAAATACAGTCTGAGGGTCCGGCTTCATTAGAGGTGGCTGATGTTACCCGTCCTGCGTTTGCAAAGCCAGGCATCAGCGTCAGCCAGGAGCTGCTTGATCGGGCCGTCCCAGGACGGATTGAGCTGCAGGAACATCCACTGCAGGGACACCAACGCATTAGGTGGACGCTTTGAAAAAAACAGGCTAAATCTAGGAAGGATGTCTGCCTCCTACCTTTTTCAGAGCGGTGTATACATCCATTTCCACCTGCATGACAAACAGGTCGGAGGACTGGATGAGCTGCTCCATCACCTCAGCCCTGCAAACACACAACAGGGACCACATCATAAAACAGAGCCGATGGGCTGCTTCTCCACAAACGCAAAAGACAATATTTTTATTTTTAAAAAGACAAGTTTCATGTATAGATGAAAAAATCACACCCACCCAAGTTCTTTCATGAGGTCAACATTTTGGTGGGTCATCAGGTTGTTAAGAAGCCACTCGAGACACCTAAGTAAAGACATTTACTATTCAGATTCATGTCTATGTACGATCAGAACAGATTTGATATACATCTGAAAATCTCACTTCTTCATGACTGAATCAAGACCGTAGATGCTAGCACACGCATAATAACCACAGACGGTCTTCGCACTGATGTTTTCCTTCATGGTTTCCCCGCACTGCTGGATCAAGCCATCCTGTCCACACCACACACCATGAGACAAAAATCACACTCTCCTAATTCAGAAAACAGTCGACTTCTGCTACAGTTACTGACCAGCTGTAGCATACAGGCAGCGGCGAGAATACTGACAACCCTGCTGGGTTTGATCAGGACATCGTCACGATAGAGAGATCCAAACACGACTTGAAGGGCTGCAACAAAACCAGACAGTGAAGTGCAGCAGAGTCAGCAAATCTACAATGAGCCGTCTGTGTTCTGTGACCCACCCTCAGTGTCGATGTTCTGGTCCGGGATCTCCAAGTTGATTTCCATCATATTTGACTCCTTCCAAGAGCCACTGAACATACTGGAAAAATAACCTGACTGCAAAAAGAACCAGAGAAGAGAGAGAAAGAGCACCCCATTACAGACAACGGTAACACGCTTTGATATCAAGAAAATTATTTGTGTCTGTGATACCTGACAGAGATAGACTTTATGGAGGTTCCACTCCTGCCCCAGAGCACAGATGCGAATGTCGCTATTTTCCCCATTCAAAAACAAAGTCTGATAAATGTATCTTGAGGTGCTTTTTAATTTCTTTCTGCTTAAGCAAATAGACAAAAAACAAACAAAATCAAATGTATTAATTTATCTCTGAACAGAAATGGACATTTGAATATTCAAATCTTTAGACTGGACTTGCCTGCGAGGGGTGTCAAGTATCGAATCATCCTCTTCTTGTTCGCTCTCACAATCACACTGAGCATTTCTTTTTCTCTTCTTACAATCACAATCATGTTTGCGGCTGGTAACGGATCCCTCTGCAGCCTCCTCTGGTCCCTGAGAGGGGGACTGGAACCTGCTACCCAGGCTTCCCATCCCTAGAGGATGGGACACACTCTGTTTGAGACATCTATATGGTAATACACTTAAAAACAGATCTCGTTCATCATAATATGGTGCTGGCATCTGCACAAAATGTTAACTGATAATGAAAAAAAATGTTCTTCGGCCATTTTAGCTCATCACTTTTGGCCTAAAAGCAGAAAAACTAACAAAGTACATGTTTCACTGAGCTGGTTTATGTGTTCACAGGTGTGTGAGTAAAGGTTATATATGGACTGGACTGTTGGTAAAGAACGATTCTAAAACTAAATAAACGCTTATTGAAGTTCCATTGAATACATCTGTCCACAACAAAGGTCCACGGGCTCTCAGCTGCATCACATGCGAATACAAATGTTTGTTTACATAAAGGAAAATATGTGTTGGCTTACTTACCTGGTGATTATGACAAGCCAAAGTGAGGAAAGGTGGGGTTAACGTGGATGGTAAACACAGCTGTTTATCTCAGTCAAACTTTGGCAAGGCAGTTAAAGGGGGAGCTAACCTCAGAGCTAGCTTAGCTGCCAAACTAACAAACAAAAACACCTCAGGAGACAGTTACAGCTTTCCTTCAGCCCGGGGGCTACTCCAGGATAGCCTCCAGACCGGACAACGGGATTTTGTTCCAGTTACATTTTTTTTTTCGAAATAAGGGCGAATGGGCATCCGGAGACAAGAGGGGATGTGTCGGTGCTCTGGAAATATGTGTCTGCTTTCTGTTGTTCTTCTTCTCTCAGCGGTTCCTGGCAACATTTCTTACGTCAGTTAGGGAAGCAAAGCTCGACAGCGCCTCCTGCCGTTAAAGCACGGAAGGAAAATAAGTCAGAGCGGCCACAACGCCAACGTTACACAACGGACCCATTACAAAGCCACTTACGAAAGGCCTAATGTTTATACCTGGAGATAGAAGAAAGGAAACAACATGAGAAATATAAAATATATTAATATGCTAATGCACGAGATATAAAGTAAGTAATATATACCACAAGTAAAAATGACGAAAAGCTCCACTTAAAGACACTAAACAAATGTAAGTTTAATTTACTTTTGTTTGCAATGGACACCTGAGCCCTAATAAGATTAGTGAGATATATGCCATGAATAATTGCAAAAATGTTAACAAAAATATAATTACCCTACATGATAACATGGTTCCTCTAATTTTTAACAGCAACCAAACTATGTTGATCAGAGGAGTTGTATTTATTTCTCTAAAAAATCTGTACAAAAGAAATATACACTTGGATATTAACATATAAGCTGAATCACATCATAGATCACTTACAAGTGTCATCACTACTAAATCACCCATATTTTGGTCCAACAATCAATATGGGTGGGTTATAGAATGGTACTTCATATTTAATTACGTGTTCTTTTAATCGGTCTCTCACCTGAACAGAAGACAGAAGTAAACAGAAAAAGCCAAGCCAAAAAAAAAAAAAAAAAAGTAACCTGTCTTCTCAATACCCCTGGATCAATAGAGCAAATTCTAGATAAGAGTAGATAAGAATGCATAGTCATGTGGCTGCTCTCCACTGATATGCTGCGATATTTTCTTCACAATCATTGACAGAAGCATGAATTGCACAGGGAAAAACAATGGAAGCAGAAGAAGCATGAAAAAATAAAGAACATGAATAAATCAACCCAAAATGGTAACAACTCTATGGAGTTTTCAATTACTGGTTTGGCCTTCCATTTTACTTTTGGTATTATGCATATATTTTTTAAATTGTATTGGAGATCATCAACAGGTGATTTAATCATCCAAAATAAATTTTGTTTAGCCTTTTTTCAACGTTTTTTCTCTCAGACTGAGAGTGAAAGATGTGTTCTGGAGTCTTTTGCTGGTAGTTTTTGCTGGTCAGGGTGGTCACCCTTTTCTCCAGCAAAGGCTCCATATGATTGCTTGAGGTTTGTACCTCTGCTAATCCAGTTTGTGATTCTGAAATCTGATAATATTGTGATCTGGATTTTAAAAACAGGGAAGCAAATTCTGAGAGACTTGTAGCTTTAAGTACAACATACATAGTCATACAAAAGAAACTGACTTCTACACTATAAATTGTATTAATTTGCTGATTCTTATCCATACATATATTACAGAAAGAAAATCCCACAAAAAATGTATTTTTTCCTTGTAATTTCATTCAACGTCAGTATAAAAAAGTGCATTAAAAAAATCAATTCATTTTTATCTATAGACTCCAGTACTCTGTTGCTTAGTAAGGACTGTGTCCACAAATGACGTATAAGGAAGCGTGGCCCTGGAATCAGCCAATGAGCAGTGAGCACCGCCTACACAACATTCCAATCCCTCCTAAACTGTCCTCCTCCTCTTTTGCTGGACAAACTGCAGTGTGTGTGGGACTGTGACACGTAAACCCAGTCTGTTTCATTCACCACGTAGATACCCCTACCTGGGGCAGGGAGAGAAGAAAAAATATCCCCTGTCCCGAACCAAATTCCAGTTTTTTTGCATCATGGAGGCGAGAGACGCCATTGCAGGTGAGGAAACTGTTAGCGGTGACATATAGGAAGGCGTCGTGTTGTTGTTTCTCCACTTTTATAACCAGTTTGACCAACATTTAACAAGCTGTTATTAAAGCTACAGCCATGTTTAATGTGCAAGTCAGGAAAAGTGTGTCATTATTGCCCTTTAGGATTTACAAATGGAGCTTAAAAACATCGAGACCTGCACACTATCTTCCAAATAAGGACTACTTTGTGTTTTATTTTTGATCCTGTTCAATCTCCAGGTGCTCTTGTTGCCAATGATGGAGAAGCAGACACTGCAAAGAAAAGTGCGACTCCTATAACAGATAAAGCACACACACAGAGCAGAATGGAGCAGATTCTTGGGTTCAAGAAGGAGGATCTGAGTTCCTGGCAGAGCCTGGTGGCTCTCCTGAACCGTCCCACTGACCCTGCCTCTCTGGGTATCTTTCGCTGTTTGTTTGGTAAGTATTTTAAATTTTATTTGGCGATGTCCCGCTAAAATTGCAACACTGCGCCCATTTTCACCAACTATGTGTAATGCAGGTCTGCTGATGGCCATCGACATCACGCAAGAGCGTGGTCTGAGTCATTTGGACTACAAATACTTGGATGGGGCCCCTGTGTGTCGCTTCCCACTTTTCAACTTCTTACAGCCGCTGCCATTGGACTGGATGTACCTGGTCTACTTGGTGATGTTCCTTGGTGGGTGATATGGTAGTGATTCAAAGGCTGAATCAGATGTATCAGTTTAATTAAGCATTTTGAATTATAGGCCCCCACTTTTCTCACTTCCTTTTTGTCAGAGCAGAAGCAGCCATTTTACAGGCTAGTCTCTGTGTGAGTGCCCCACTGCAGCCATAAAAGTACAAACACCAGTCCTCAAAGCTTCCTGTCAGTTTTTTTTTAACCTCTTAGAGCAAGTATTAGCAAGCAGCTGTACATATTAACAGTCAGTCATTTTCCATACTCTAGCCTTATCGTAACCTTTGGTACCATTCTCCTTGCCACCCAAAGACAAACTAATGCTTTGTATCTGAAATTATGTTTGTTTCTGCTTGCAGGTGCACTGGGCATCATGGTTGGCTGCTTCTACCGCCTGTCCTGTCTCATGTTCATCTCAACATACTGGTACATTTTCTTTCTGGACAAAACGGCCTGGAACAACCACTCGTATCTCTACGGCCTCATTGCATTCCAGCTCACTCTCATGGATGGCAACAGATACTGGTGAGGTGGTGGTTACTTTTGTCCCTCTGTGCGTGTCCCTCTGTGCGCTTCACAGTTTTCTTTGTTTTTAGGTCGATAGATGGATTGCGAAGGCCCACTATAAGAAATGCTCATGTTCCTCTTTGGAACTACACCATTCTGAGGACACAGGTCAGTGTCAGTCATCAGTGACACTTGTTGTTTTTTAAGTGAATTATCTATGCTTATCTTATTTTAAAAAAAGATGATTTAAAGATGTCTGTGTTCCTGTTCCTCACAGATATTCATTGTGTACTTTATCGCTGGAATCAAAAAGCTGGATGCAGACTGGGTGGAGGGATACTCAATGTCATATCTAGCACACCATTGGCTTTTCGACCCTTTCAAGTAGGCGAAACGGTAGCAGCCATTAATGACTGACTGTTAAACCTCAACACTCTAAAGAAGTTGTTGCCATGCTTTTTCTTTTCCAGGGCAATTCTTCCTGTGGAGTTAGTGAGTCTGCTGGTGGTGCACGGAGGCGGTCTGGCTCTGGACCTAACTGCTGGCTACCTGCTGTTTTTTGACGCTACGCGGCCTGCTGCAATTTTCTTTGTCTCCTACTTCCACTGCATGAACTCTCAGCTCTTTAGCATCGGTTAGTGTGCGGCCTCGCTTATCTTCCTTGTTGCCAATAATTCTGGTGTCATTTTCCCCCGAATGAGAATGTGAATCTTCCTCAGGAATGTTTCCCTACACCATGCTTGCCACCAGTCCCCTCTTTTGCTACACTGACTGGCCCAGAAGATTCTTTGGCAGCTTCCCGGCTGTCCTCGGCCCAGTCCTGCCCCTGACCTCGGTGCAGCCTCAGCCCAGTACCTCCTGTGTTTACCCTGACACCTGCAGCGCTGATCAACAGGAGACCCCACCTGCTGCCAAAACTTCCAAACTGAGACTTAAGCACAAGCTGGGAGCCCTTTTCACAATTCTTTACATAACAGAACAGTTCTTCATGCCATATTCCCACTTCATTACAAAGGTAATTCCTGATTACATGTCTTCCACCCTCCACAGAGGGGTTGTATTTGCATTGATCAAAACCTTTTAAACCCGTAGTTGCTCAATCAGTGTCAACAATCATTGTTTCACAACAAACGGCAGCTCAGGTTTGTGTCATCAGCAAAGAGACGAAACCTTAAAAAAAAAGTGAACATTCATCTTTCAGCCTCTCATAATCTGAATACCCAGTTGGGTTATTTTCTCCTGACATTTTTAGATGGGAAAATAACATGTTTTTACATTACCTTAATGAGGTCTTTTTGCACAGGGCTACAACAACTGGACCAATGGCTTATATGGCTACTCGTGGGACATGATGGTTCACTCCCGCAGCCATCAGCATGTGAAGATCACTTACAAAGACGGAAAAACTGGTGAAATCGGATATCTTAACCCGGGGGTGAGTTACTGGGAAAACACTCAGGATATGACATATTCTTACAGCCACTCCATCAGAACCACAAATAAACCGTAGGTGTTTCATATGATGAGCTCAAACAAATGAAATACTGTCACAAATAAAGGCTGAAAACTTCTGTCGACGATCTGAGGAATAAAGCACGGATTAGTATTTGTTTAAATTTTCATTTGAGCACATTTTCTTTTAAAAACAAATGAAAAAAAAATCTACCTTTTTTTTGTGTACTGTAGGTGTTCACACAGAGCCGCCGCTGGAAAGACCATGGAGACATGCTGAAGCAGTATGCTACATGCCTCAGTGATTTACTGCCCCGCTATAACATCTCTGAGCCTGAAGTCTACTTTGATATCTGGGTGTCCATCAACGAACGCTTCCAGCAAAGGTGTGAAAGTCATATTTTTGCTATTATTCTTGATTGATTTTTGGTGAGTGAGACATGTTCCAAGGATGAAAATAAAATTAAAGTGTGCGTTTTGAATTTGCTGTGGACTCCTCGTGAAGGATCTTTGATCCTCGCGTGGACATTGTGAAGGCGGACTGGTCCCCTTTCAAACCGAACACGTGGCTGATGCCGCTGCTGGTGGACCTCTCGCCCTGGAGGACCAAGTTCCAGGAGATAGAGGGCAGTTTGGACAACCAGACAGAGATCGTCTTCATTGCTGACTTCCCAGGTTTCAAATTTCTCGTTCACCCATCTAGATGGAAGGAGTGACTGTATTTGTGCTAACCGACAGCTTGCTACTCTCCAGGTCTGCATTTGGAAAACTTTGTGAGTGAAGATCTGGGCAACACCAGCATCCATTTATTACAGGGGCGAGTCAATGTTGAGATTGTGGAGGAGAAAAAGAACTACACGCTTCAGCCTGGTGAGCAGATAAAGGTACAGTGAGCACCACAACCACTTTCCCTGACACTGTATGAACCCTTCTGCTAGAAAACAGCAGTAGTGCAAGATTAAAACCAGCCAGGCAAGTTAATGAGACCACACTGAGAAGTCACAGCTTGGAGAGTAATGTCCCATTCATTGCGGCTGGATTCTTGGATTCTTTACAAGATCACAATCCCTAAACCATCTGGAATGTCAGATAAGAAATTATCTGGAAATTAGTAGTCGCTTGAGAAAATAGCTAAAGTGAGACAGATATGAATAACAAAATAGGTCCAAATACATGCCAAAAAGAAATGATTGGATTAAAACATTGGAAAAGAAATAGGAAAAAGGGTTAATGCAACACTCAAGTATTCATTTTCCACAATGTGACTGTGAGCAGGTCCCCGCTGGAGCCTACCATAAGGTGTACACGGTTTCTGAGGACCCATCTTGCTACATGTACGTCTACGTGAACACCACAGAGTCTGCGCTGCAGGAGAACTTCACCAAGCTGTTTGAGCTTCAGGAACGTATACGCAACGGAACAGGTGAAAGCACAAGCATCTTCTCCAAACGCAGAGAACGCGCTTTATCAAGTAGCTTCAGTTCATGATGGGACAAAATGCACAATTGCACAGTTATGGTTTAACTTGCTGTGATGGTGCACAACGAATGCCGACCACTTTGGTTCGCCCTGCAGAAACCGAGCCGCTCCCTCCTGAGCTGCAGCCCCTGATGACTGCAGATGACGATGGCGGCGCAGAGGTCAACGCCACCGACCCCATAGTGCGGCTGTTCCTGAAGAGACAGCGCCGGATGAAGGAGGTGAAGAAACGCAGGGAAGCCGGAGTGCTGGAGCGCCTGGAACGCTTTGCTGTGAAGAAGTACTATACAATACGGAGGGGGTGAGTACTCTGAGAGGAAAAAAACTAAAACAAAATATGGTGCGCAACTCTGACGCTGATTGTCTGTCCGGAAGATTCTTGATGACGGCCATCGCCATACGGAATCTGGCGGTAGGTCTCCCCCCTCTGGACCAGCTGAGAAGTGAGGTCGCCTTTGCCAACATGAAGGAGCCTCAAGCAGAAGACAACCAAGATGACCGGCTCAAAGATGAAGTTGGTCACGGAGAACTTTAAAGTCTTAAAAGCTGGTGAATTACCTGCCGTTGCTGGAAAAACACACTTCTATCTGTGTCACTACTGGACTGTTACCCGCTGGGGCGCCTCTAACCAGGAAGCACAGCAAGCTTAATTTGTATTTTGAAAAAACTCAGAAATTTTAAGTATTTGAGGGAATTTCCAGACGTAAAGTCGAAATTTTAGCCAACATTTATTTTATGGATGTGAACACACTACAGAATACGCGGTTTGGCTGCGGAACCTTCGTGTTAAGATGGTGTTCAGTTAAGGCCGAACGATGAGATCGCAAAGACAAAAGTGCTATTTTGTGGTCTATAGAAACATGCTACGCTATAAATGCTGCCACCTTTAAAATGACGTGTAAAGAGTCACGGAACACAGCTAAGTTTCTTTTATGTTTCAAAGGGACAGATTGAAGCGAATCAACAGTTTTTCATGGAGTTAACTGTTGTGAATTGTTTTTTTCTTCAGTGGGAGGGAAACGGGGACGGCTAATGATGTAACACAACTGTCTGTCTGCAATGTTTTCTAGTCATTTTTCCAAAGTCAAATTTTTTGTATTTAATTAAAAAAAATCAACTTGAACTTTGAGTCTGTATAAAGGCTGTATTTTATTGGTGTTAGTTTTTTTTTTTTTTTACAAAGTGTTTCAGTGATCACTGTGGTATGGCACAAACATGACATTTCATAAAGTCAGAGCACAACAATACACAAACACATAATGATCTTTTTTCTTTAGTGAATTTCTAGTAAACTGTTTACTTTGACCACAGAATAATCATTTTTTTCTCTAGCTGAGGTTGAGTGTTTAGGCTTCATTTTTCTAAATGCAAATGTGCAGCTATCAGTGCTGAGTATACGAGGTCCTGTTGTGTGAAAGGCTCAACAAAGCAGGTCAGATAACTGTTAAATTGATTACTGTCCCAAAAAAAAGACATGCGACAACATCTCACAAAATCTACAGGTCCCTTCAGTCTGTGCAGTCAGACAGATTTAATTTGATATTGCACAAGTTTTACTGGCTGACACATTATAATAAATTCTTTATGCACACAGAGCAAAAGTTGCATCCCTTTATGCGACGCCCGGCTACGCCTCTCATCGCAGCATCTCCTTCATAAGTAAATCTAGTTTAAAATATGATGCAGCTGGTTTTAGTGTTAGATGCTGGTCCTTAGTGAAACAAATGAAAATGAACTTCACATTCATACAAAGACAAAAACATCTGTGTGAAATTCTCCCTGTGCGACAAAGCGAGTGTGTGTGTGTTTGTGCAGTCAAAGAGCCAGACCCTGAAACACTTGACAGGAGCAGCTCATTGACTGAAAGACTACCACCGTTTGAGCTTACATTGTTTTGCATAGATTGCAACTCGATTCTCTTTGACTTAACTGGGTGAGCGGATTTGTGTTTGGAGTGCTGATGATCACAGAGGAAACCCTGTGACTACCCTGTGACTCAGATTTAACCAATACAAAACAAGCAGCTCATTTTCAAAAGTTCTGAGCACTGACAAAAAATCTAAACAAAAAAAAAGAGGTTCAGAACTCAAAGAGCTGGCTTTCAGTTAAACAACCTAGTGTTGTAGTTTACAGAATGGAAATAGGATTCTCTCTGCTGGTTGACGCATTCTCATTATTCTCCTAAAAACGGGTAAAAGCGGGCAGGTTCAGCATCCAGGTTCCAGGATGGAGCAGAAGCAAATGTCAGAGCTGGAGAATGAATGACTCTCCGATTTTATTGTTGCTTTTGACAAGATCTGTGGAGCGAACGAGGTGACAAACTACAGATGGGATATGGGACAGAACCCGCTGTCTCAATCTGCTTCATACTGTTCGGATGATGCCCACCTGCAATCTTCCGCTTAGACCGTCTCTCGAATCTTTGTGTCAAACTGCCATTTTGGCCAAAAACCTCAAGCTCATCACCTTACAGACCCAAGCAGCTGATCTGGTAGTCCAGTGACCACCACCATCACACACACACACACACACAACAGTACTTTCTGGCAGACTATCCTGCTCTTTGACAAAGGTCCAAATCAGAGCCACGTAGAACCACTTTTGGCTTCTTCAATCCCTTTTTTTTTTTTTTTTAAAAGCTGAAAAATAAAAGATTTCCACTGACTTTGTCCCAGAACACTCCCTCAGCTGGCGCTATGTAGCAGCTAAAAACAAATAAAAAGAAACCACATGAAAGATGCCGCAGAGGGAGTGGCACCTCTCAGTTTGCCAGCCAGCTCCACAGAACCCACCAGGCTCCTGTCTCTCCCTTTGTCCTCCTGAAATTGCTCCATCCTCCGTCTCTGGTAAAGAGAGCTTGTGCTCCAGTAGTCACCACCTTCTCCTCTCTACTGCACATCCCTCAGTTCCTCCTCACATGACTGCTGAGCCCTCTGTCGAGCTTCTGTCAGAAGATCACCTTCTAAGTAGATTTATCTAATTACTTTCCTGTTTACGATAGTTTTTGGCTCCATTTCTCTCGAAATAATGAAATCATGCCTTAAAAACAGCTTCACATTTTGTTTCATGTGAGTTACGATGTACGAGTTAGTGTGCGTGCTGTAAAATGTGGTGATTCGTGTCAAGATATATCGGACCTCTTTTCCTTAAATAAAGTTAGTTTTTTTTTTAGATGCTTTAGGTAGTAGAAACGAGGCTCAGAATATCTTGCGCACACCTGGACGTGGGTGAGCGCATGACATCAGTTTGTGGAGACGTGTCCTTCACTTCCCTCTCGGCGGCTCTATCTCGGCTGAAGGTCTGGGTAGAAAACTCCATTGACCACGCCTTCGATCACAACATTGGCCAACACGTCTGAAAGGGAAGGAGATGCTGTTCAGAGGCAGGACGAGTGACGCACAGCCCCCGGAGCAATGCGGGTGTCGGGGGGGCCTGAACGCACCGTGGGCAGGCGGCAGGAGGTAGGGGTCTCTCAGAAACAGCATGACCGGCTGATGGGAGAGCTTACTGGAAAAGATTCAAAGAGAGGGAGTCAGGAGGTCCCGGAGGTACACGGATGGAAAAACAGGTCGAGTCGCTGATGTCATGAGTTAAGTTCAAGAGCAAAGTAAACGATGCCTGACTTTTCCTGGTTAAAGTACAAACAAACACGTGATCCCACGTTGATTTCAAAGCTCAAAATGACTCACCTTGACTCTACCGATTCTGTGTCGAAGGACCTGAAAAAAAAAAAAAAGAAAAAAAAGAACATTAAGCCACATGGTCCTCGTCTATCCTGCTACTTTTACTCAAAATCGTTTTTGTTTTGGGTCTTTTGAAGCAAACCGGCACTTTAAACTCACCCACAGCTTTCTGTTTTTGGCACCGAAGGAAAATGGCGTAGGTTCAGGAAATCCAGGAATATCTTTGGAAGAACCTCGTTTTCCATAATTATAGTCTGGTAAAACAGAAGCAAATTTCAGTGACTCCACACCGCAGCGGGTCAAACCCAAAGTGCTCTGAGTGACTGGGTCTAAGCTCCTGGTAAAGGCAGACACTGCCCATGACACAAAAGACGTTTCAGCCGTTAATTCTTGGGTCTAAAAAGGAGTCAAAGTGTGACAGCACCTGCAGGTAGAATTCCAAGCCCTGCCTTCTGTGTTCCAGGACTTTAGGAACCCAGTTTCTGACATGTTTTGAGGGGATTTCAGGTGGCTTTATGCTCTTCTTTAGCTGGAAAAAAGAAATAAAAACACAATTTATACAGAGGTACCAAAACAAGACCCAACACAAAACCCAAAAAACATTAAAATAATAAAACCGGTGGGTCAAATGCGCTAAATATTCATGCACAGAAAGACAAACTTCCAGGGATGTGTTGTGTTTGCAGTCCACAAGGACCTGTGGGTAGAAAATGGGAGGACAAAACAAACAAAGCCAGAAATTCCAGGCAGGATAAGTCTGCGTTTGTTTTTAACTGCAGGTTCATAAAATGTATCTATTTAACCAATTCCAAAGTCTATTGAGGAAATATAGCTAAACAATAGAAAGCACACAGTTATTCTTTTTTGCCAATAATGATTCAAAACACAATATTTCACATCTAACATAAACCCTATGGAGCCTCTATGTGATGACATGGAGAAAATTCAAAAAGTGATGTAAATACCTTTAAGGGTCTAAAAGATAAATAACCTTTCCCCCTATTCTCAGTGGATTTGGTTTGCCTGTCCGTCAGCCAGAGAGATGATGCAAACTCATGGAGGACAGCGGGTGGAGAGGGTGAGTGCAGTCAGAGGGGTTATTTCAGGTAGCAGTGGAGATTTATTTAACTATGTAGACTATGTCGCAAACTGCCTCATCATACAGCTACTCTCTTCCTATTTCATAATTCCTGTTTTACTAGATTTCATAAAAAGGGAACATGTGTAAATGTAAATGAGTTGGAAATGAAAAAAAACAAAAAAAAACAAAGATTAAACATCTTCTCATTTTGCGCTATTTTAAACCATCTCCAACCAAGTGTTGACTTTCATTGAGCTTTCTACTATGTAACCAAAAGTCCATCAAATATCTGCTGATATCTGTGAATATTTTTCATGTTTTAACAAACAAAACAACAACATTTGGAATACAAATCATTGTTGGTGAGGTGCCCGTGGCCTCGAGGAGGAAGGATACACTTTATATGAATCTTCAAGTGGAAAACAGGACTATCCTCACCCATCTGAGGCACAGGCCACAGACACCCCGCGGACTGAGCGTGGGGGGGCTGCACGTCTCACCATTTTGTGCAAAGCGTGGAATTCGCTGTAGCGCTTCTCAATAGTGTGCAGCCTCCCGTTCATCAGCACGTCAATTTTAAAGACCTGAAAGACAGACAAAAAGAGGAATATCCCATTCAGTCAGTCAGCTGAGGGCTGGGCATGCAGATGTCAGCAGGTTAAAAGGGGAAGCTTTAAATCTGCCAAGCAAAGGATTTCCATAAAAAGCTTCCAAACGAAGCTCCAGACACCAAGAACAGAACGTCACTAAAAAAAAAATTTTTTTTAATCCATCCCTTTCTTCTGTATTTTCTGTACGTACGTGAAGCTTTCTTGGGAATTTATTTATATTTTAATTTGGAAAAAAATCACCTCCCTCTGAATATCACGACTTTAACCGACGCCTGTGGAAGCTGGCAGGGTTTTCGGGAGGTCCAAAGTCAAGAGTCACAGCGGGATTTAGCTCTTTAAACCACGAAGGCAGACATTTGTAAATGAGTGTAAACACGAAGGACAATTCAGGGCTCATATGAAGAGTTTCAGCCAAACCAAACGGACTTTCAACAACACGCTAGGACACAAATTTAAAGGTGAAAAAGCTCATAGGACTGCAGTGAAAACAGCGACTGGGAGATACTCAGGCTGTCGGTGAGGAGCTTACCGTGAATCCTTTCTCTATCGAGTTGTGCTCCGAGCGAAACGACGGAATCGACACCCGGACTGGATGCATTTTCACCTAACGAAAGGCGTACGGTTTCGCAGATTACCCACAAACAAACCCACTCACGCTGCAGCTGACTTACTCCAGGTTGACAGGGAGCCTGATAAAAATCACTGAATTCTAACGAGCTCGAGCACGTGCCCGTGGCGCCCCCTGCTGGAGCGGAGGACACAGGCAGCTCCTCAAAACGCAGCGTTCATGGTCACCGATTAAAACCTCACAGTGAAAATACATTTACTAGACAAGCATTGTTGTCTTAAACTCAATTCGAATGATAGATTATTAAGCATGCATCACATTCCAGACAAAGCTGCTAAATTAATGCTAGAGAGTGGGCAATATAATTTATTGTCCATCATCTACTATGTAAAGTCTGCGACATTCAGTCTGTACATTTGGTATGTAGAAGTGTTAAATGATTTGAAACCAATCAATAAACATTGTGTTTAAAAACACTTAGATTGAGTTTATGCACAGTTTACATGATTGTAGCCAACATCATAGACGTATGAACGTCTTATGCAAGCCTTATGAAAGATATTAAAGTCTGAAAAATTTATCATTAGTTCCTCTGTGTCCATATCTGTTTTGTTTTGTTTTTCACAAGCCAATCCAGGAAATAAATACTGCTGAGTCATTAGGGTTTTGAGATACTAATGGTTTCTTGTGATGCAAAGCCTCTGGAACTAACTGATAGTGAGGCGTTCAGGGAGGATCTGATCAAATGTGAGTCATTGCTGCAGGATGTTCCTGTTTGTCACTAATCCAAAATAAGTCATGGCTGTTAAGTAATTTTTAATTAAAATTATTTTTTGTAAAGCAGCCTCGTTATGTCTCTTCTGTATTGAGCAAAGGCATGAATGTTGAAATATAGAAATCTCAAAGAGGACAGAGAATTCACTTCAAATAAGGAGATTAGAACTGAGACAAAATCTTAAAGTTTTATTCAAGTAAGCTTATGAGAAGCTTTTGAGTGAAGAACCTTATCTGTTGCATATAAATATAACAAATATAACTTTCGTTTAAACAACTGGTTCATTTTTAAAAGTATTATACTGACACAAGAATGAGAGAATGCTGGTTTATGCTCATATTTTACTGCTCAAAGCTCCTACATTTTGGATTTGCCTCCTAAAATATCTTACAAGCGTGTATAAACTGCAAGCACATTGTACAATTCATTAGATGTAAGAAATAACCCCTGTAAGGGTAATTTTTTTTGGTATTTTTTCTTTCCCACATAAGCATAGAATACTTCAACACAATCTGGTTCTATAATACCAGACGGTTTATGCTTTATTCTCAATGTTAAACTTTTAACTGAAAGCGTGTCTTCATAAATCTCATTTTATGATGTTTTACACTTCTCTGAAGGCAGCCTTCCTCAAGGTAATCTACACAAAAACTCAGGTGAATCCCCTCTTGATCGCTGAAGTTTCTTAATATCTGGGAAAGGAAAAAGAATCAACGTGAGAACTAGAAGGCAAAAGAAATGCAAGGCAAAGACATTTTTATTTGGGTCTGTCCACACATTGTACTTACGGTGACATGTGACACCCTGACACGTAGGCGTAGTTGCCAGTGTATTGGACATCACAGCGCACAATATTGTTGCTGTAGTCTGACTCTGGCACTTGATAGTAAGGATTTACACTGATCTGTGAAGAGCAAGCGTGAAAAGAAAAATACTAACTCATGGTGTGGAAAATGGGACTACTGAAATACATTATTGGCACCGTTAGGCTCAGACAGGATCAGAACTCCTTCAAAAGTCTCCAGATTAAGTTATCTGATATTTGTAACAAACCTTGAGGACATAGTTGCCAGGTTTTACATCTGTGATGTCGATCCATTGGCAGTCGATGTCTGCGTTGTAGGTGTCGTAACATCCTGGGCTCAGGCCCTGCATATTGGAATGTCCATAGAAAAGCGATAAAAGGAAATATTTCACTAAGTTATGTTCTTTTTACATACGAAAAGGTCAATTTTCACTTCAAGATTTTTCGGTGTCATTACAGTCGTATCTTTTTACGTAATGTCAACCGAACTTGTTGAAAAAATAACAGGAGGGCATTGATGGAAAATGCCTCCATGTGCTGAGCCGCTGACCACAGAGGTTCAGACAGGTGGAATCATCTTGGAGGACAGGCAAGAGCTCATTAAACCATCATCACCACTGGCTGGAGCAAAAGGAAATTCTAAAGCTGTTGGCTCAAACGCTTCTTCCTCAATAAAAGAGGTCTTGTTTTTGTGTCTCCACCATAACTTTGTAGACATCTGTGGAGTCAAATTTTCCAATCTGTTCCTTCAGTAAAATGTGTTTTAATAAATCTTTTCACTGATATCTTCACTTTAGGTTTAACAATATAACTGTATCTGTAATGATCGTGATTAGAAAAAAGCTATTGCAATGTAAGCTTGAGTAAAATAATAACATTCATTCAGAGTTCTGGTTATGTGACTCTAAAACATAGCGCCATTTTGACAGAATAGAACGAAAAAGATATTCTAATTTTTCCAGTGAAATATCCTGACAAGAAGCCAGCATCCTTCTGGTGCAGATACTATCCACAAAAGCGAGCTCTACGTTACAAAAAACTAAAAGATAAAGATAAAAAAGGTTTAAAAATGTACTGAAATTAACTTGCCACTTTTGAAGTGACTATTTAGATGTTACCTGATGTACTGTGGTTTACAGCGTTAACAGGCTTTGATATAAATAGGTTGATATAAATAGGCTTTGATATAAATTTAACATAAATAGGTATGAATTCAGTGTCTCTTACTATTAAAAAAACTGATAATAACTAGTAAACTGTCCTTGTAATTGGCCACTTGGAAGCGGCAACAAGACACTGTGAACACAGGATTGCCGATTAACAAAGTCCAAAATCAGGATTTGTTTATGTAAAAAAATACTGGCCTCTTCACAGTTAATTGTAAAATGCCACTTTTACTTTTAGTTTTGGTCTTTTTTCATATTTTTGCTCCACCTTTGCCAAATATTTTCTATCTTTTCTCCTTCCTCTCTCACTTCTCACTGAAAACCCTGTTATGTGGATGATAAAACACTTCTCTGAATGATGCTGAAAGGACATCTGGCATTAGATGAGATTCTACTATGTTTTATGGCCAGGTTTGGCGGCCTGATGAAAGAAACAGGAAATTAAGCTTTATGGGAATGTTATCGGAATTTCCTCTGCTTTTGTTTGTGCTTACTTTTTACAGTTATTGGTTGATTTCGGTCTAACTAAGATATTTTTGAGCAGTCCTGTTTTGGTCACACAAACACAATAATTACTGTGTCAGAGAAAATGCATGGAGAAATTCAGCATTAATGTTATTTTGTAGTGATTGTGATGTACATAATCCACCAACATCTTTAGAATTTGCTCTGCACACTGACACGCATGAACAGAGACCTATTTTTTTTGGCTCTGTGGGTAATAAATTGCAAGAGATATGGCCATCGTGTTTGATGACCTATGTTTAGGAGGCTGCCATCTTGTTCCAAAATGGCCGCAGTGATTAATTATAAAAAAGTCAGAACAGTAAATTCTGTATTCTGTGGGAAATCACCCTTTTGCTGATCGTTATATTCCCCACAATATATCAAAATGATTTGGCTGGCCCCCAGTCCTGCCTCTCCTCCCACACACACATTCAGAAGTGCTGAACTGCAGAATCCTATTTTCACAGCTGATGGTCTTCTCATACAGGCATCAACTTATTCGACAAACTGTTTGGATATGAAGAGCATTTTAAAATTTGACTCCAAATTGCACTTTGTGTTGAGACCTGGGTATGTGAGGTGCAGGCATATCTCCTGTAGTATCCATAATCACAGGAGGTGTCCTCCAAGCAGAAGCTGGCCTTGTGGCCCTCGGCCACTGACCGTTGAGTGGTGGCCTCCAGCAGGTCGTAATGGCTGAACTCATCCATACTGTGAAAGTGCCTATGGATCAACAGCAGAGACGGAAGATTCACTTAAGACAGTGTACTTTTCCTTTTTAAAAACAACCAGGTAACTATAATTTACAGGATTACTGATGTGAGGATGTTGAAGTTGAATGGCACAATGATTAAAGGATTTCAGGTGTTTACTTTGTTTATCATATGTACTTTATGAGGTCTAAAAAAAAGATTTATAATCTGATATGGCTCTGCTATCTATAAGAAAAACAATCTGGATTTTAACAGCAGTTGACTCTCAAAACACAGACTAAAATCTATACAGGCTATATAAACAGTTTACTGGACCTTTTCCAAAAGGGCTCCTTCTTGGGGAGTAGCTCTGAGCATTGCTCACTTCACAACATAACTATGGACTGAGGTAGTTCGTAGGAAAAACAGAAGAAACACTTTTTCATAAGTAAGCCAAACAAAGGGGAAAGGATATCACCAGGTTTCTTCTTATGCTCTAGGCTTTAATCGCATGGCAACTGGATACGTTGTAACTTAAGGTGAGTTAGGTGAAGTCTGATTTTTGTATTTTCTGTTTAAATACAAATGTGTTTGACGTCCCGCATGCCAAGAAGATAAAGTAAAAAATGCTGAAAGTCCAAACATTTAGATGAAATAAAATCTGGTCCTTAACATTTTCAGAGCATTGACTATTTTAGATTTTTTAAGAGGAAGGTTCCATGATTTCAGCTGGACATTTTTTATTTGTATACATAGTCTCATTTTGGGTGTCTTACCATTTTTGCTGAATTTATGTGAATAACAGTTTTATAATAGTTGAGTAACTATTCCCAAATATTTGTGACCTGTTTATGTGTTCTCGGTAGGTTTATGTTTTGCTAAATTGAGAGAAGATGACAAATAAGGACTGACAAGAAAGCCTGAAAGACTCAAATCCACTTGGACTGAGTCTAAGTCCCAGATCCTGCGGATGCTGAGGTAGACACTGACGCGGCATCACACTCACTGGTGACAGCTGTGCCATTCCCATGAGTAGCGGGGCCTGCTGGGGAGGAAGTCAGCTGTCCCCTGGTTCTTGACTCTCTGAGGAAATCTCAGCAGCATGCGAGTGTCGTAATCTCTCACATTTGCTCTGTAGGCTGAGCTGCGGGCATGAAGTAAAGAAAACAGATGTGATTGGATGGGGGAAAAAACGCACACACGTTCATATATGGACACCGTGACATCACCCAAGATGTTTTTTCCCTCTTCGTACCCTCTCCTGTGTGCAGCAGACTTTCAGGGTCTGCGTGAAGCCAGTCTGCGTGTAAATTATGGGTGGAAAAATCTTTTGGAGGCACGTGGTTGTTTGGGTTTGCCTTCGATAATGTGTTTACCATTCAGGCTTTCCCTCCCAGGGCAAGCTATGATTAAACTTTTATAGAAATCCACCACCCCACACTCGTTTCTCCACCATCAACGGCGGGATTTGCTTAATTTTACCTCCTCTCATTGCTTCCACTGTTCAGCCCTGCACCACAAACACTTAGGTAGTTGTTATGGCTCATAGTTCTGTGAATCACACATGGCGGAAAAAGCATTTCCCCCCCCTTCCTGTGGCCCAATCCTGACAGTAGCCTACCTTGACAAACAGTTCTCCTCAGCTGCACATCTCAAGTTGTACATTGGGGCACTCTGGACATAGGCAGAGGCTTGAATGTAATATGGATCAGGCACAAGATCAGGAAGCCCTGCAGCACATAAGATAGTCATAGAGATGTGATTCAATGAAAACAATAGGAAACACAAGTTAAGTTCAAACAGCACATAGATGTACACAAGGATATATAAAGAAGACAAAGAAAGTAACAAAGAAAAAAACTCTAATACTGGGTTGATTCTTGATCGTTACAAAACTTCTCCCACTCTTACCGTACTGATGATACCTTGTGCCATATCCGGGTCTCTGCCTGGGCCTCGGTCTCTCGTATACGTCATGATAGTTATAATATGGATTATCGCTATCGATGGACTTGTAAGGGTCGTATGGATCGTCACCGAGCATCATGTCTTCTCTCCTGGGCAGAGGTGGGCTGAGGGTGGCCGTTTTCTCGGTGTCGTTGACTTTGCTCCCCTGCGTGCCCGCGCTCTCGGCAGGACGCTCACGATGAAGATGCTGGCGGTGCTCATGGCCTCTCACAAGCCTTTGCAGCGGCTGTGGTAGGCTCCGGGGAGGCTGCTGTTGCTGCTGCACCACCGTCTGGCTCTGGGTGTCCTGATTTCCAGCGTCGGCATCGCGGATGATGGTGACAGGTCGCGCCTGCACTTGCTCCTGAGGTGCGCCTCTGCGCTTTGGGAGTTGGTACTCCGAGCCCTGACTTAAAATGCTGAAAACCTTTCCGTTGTGGGACCACTGTAGCGTCTGCCGGAGAGCCGGTCTTGGCTCATCTCCTTGTTGTGGCCCCGGATTCCTCTGAGACTGAGCAAACGACAGCAGAAAAACAAATAAGCAGACGCACGCATACGCGTAACGCGAAGCACCAAATACGCGTAATCCCATAATGAAGTTAGTCAGAATAGATTGAAATTTGAAATAATATAAATATATTATTTAAATTAGCCGTGGATGTCAAGTATCTTAAACTGAAATATCCTTCATGACTGTTTGAAGGAAGCTAATGAGAAGTGAAAGTCAAAAGCTGAGTTTAAGCGCGTCCATCAGAGCTCAGTTCATTCTGCTCCGGCAGCCTGCAGATGCGCCCTGCGAGATGATGATGATTATGAGAAGAAGGAGGAGGAGTTCAACAGTTGGCGTTTGTAATTCTGTTATACAAGTCTGCTGCTGTTGGTCATATAACCACTGTAGTGTTTGATGATGCCCAGCCAAGTGTGTTTGATAACTGCAGAGTCTGACCCTTTATGGATTACTGTGAAAGAACTGATGAAAAAAACACATTAACAGCTTATTTTCTTCATTGCAGAGAACAGATACAACATGAACTAACGCTAAAGTCAGTGAGAAATGCAAATTTCTTGGGAAATCCATCGGATAGTCTATAAACAATGTGACTACTTCCATGAAAATTACAACATATGTCTCACTTTTCAAACCTCCAGAGCAACAAGAGGCAATGCAAATTTTTCTGCTGACTTTTGGATGAACTCCCAACCAAACTGCAACACCGTCTGCCAAAAGTCTCTGCACTGGTCCACTCAAAAACCTAGGCATGGCTCTCTGATGGCCCTGTAGCAGTTAATGTTTTTCCAGGAAACCATCCTCCACAAATCCCTCACTCCTTCCAATTAAGCCTTGTCTGAGCTTTCCTGAAAACATTCATCACAGATATCTCACGGTAACCTTCCTAGGTCATAATTAGTCTATTTTGAGGAAAAAGAAACAAATTGAGGCTGCATGGTGATATTTGATATCCAGGTTGCTTTTTCTAGTGCAGACTGCTGACCCAGAATTCCTGTGCTGATGAATCTAGGTAATTTGCTGCAGCCCAGTCAAATGACTGCCCTTCTGCTAACGGCAGATGGATAATGCATAGGTAGGGGACCTTAATCCAAGGTTTTCATTTAGTTCTGTCCCGATCTGCACAAGATCACAGGATGGCTGTCACTAAACCACAGCTAATGCTAAGGAAGATTTCACAGGTTTTCACAAAGTCACAAGGCATCAGAGTTTGGGTTTAAATATTAGATTTTTGTCCAAAGCATGAGGGTGAAAATGTAGGAAGTAGTCCGTTACACACCTGACTCGTTTTGATGGAACTGCAAAGAATAAGAACATTTTTTAAACTAACAGACTTGACTCAGAGGGAGGCATATTAATGGTGGGGAAAATATTACAGAGCCTATTTGAGAATTGAACCCTAATCACCAGGAACACGGAGGCAGCATTGTACTGTGTGTGTCTTATTGTGGCTTTAAAACAGTTTTTGTCACATATATTTCTAATTAAAATATTCTATATTCAAAATCCATAAACACATTGCATTCGTTTATTTATTCAATTGTATCTATTTTCTGGTCTGTGAATGAAATATTTTGTCTAAAACAGCAGCCAGCTTGTTGAAATGCACTTGCAACCATTTTGGTTAAGTGGCTCTCATTATCTATAAATATGAAAAAATGGTAATGACTCTTTTCGTAGCATTTTCCTGCTGGAATGCTTTGTTTGTGGTCACGCCATCTAAACCTGGAAACTTCTCAGTAGTAAGAATTACATATTTTCTCACCTGCCAGGTACCAAATACTTTGCTTAAAAAGGTGCCCTACTGTTATAAAGTCCAAGACGATCTGTTAATCTTCACTGTTGCTGCACATTTTATCGTCTGCTTTGTAAAATGCTTGAACATCATCTAAATCCTCAAACTTGCTATTGATTATCGTGTAAATCCGCTCCACGTTTCAACCAAAATATAAGGCTCATCTTAATGATTTACTTCTGGTTCTTTTAAATCTACCAAATGTATAATAGATTTTTTCTGTCAGCTGTGAACTGAATATGAACACACAGTCTCTTTAAACTTAGCACAATAACCCTTCTGAGTTTTAATCCCTGCTGCGTGGTGTCTGTTTTTTGCTCATGGCAGCTTTTTTCCAACATTTAATTTTTACTTTGTAACAAATTCACGGGTTGAAAACTCCATAGAAAACCTCTAACTTTGTCTGTTGCATATTAAGATTTTTGGATATTCAAACCCACAAAGTGACACTAATTATGAATAGAACAAACTTTTGTGCTTTTGTGAGCAACAAAGAACTCTTTGCTAAAAAGAAGAAAATGCTGTAAAGACTGGGCTCGGTTTAGTAAAAAGATAAAATCATGCCGTAAACTGCATTTAAACTAGTTGAATTCTTTACAGAGGACACAAATAATATCAAAGACACGTGAGGTTCTTTTTCAGTGTGCCTCTGTGAATCAGAGCCAAATAGAACAATCTGAGCTCCAGAAAATACAACACATCCTCCCTCTACACCCAAATGAATTGTTCAAGAAAAAAAAATGCTTGAAAACAGACACTGGAAAAATCCCAGTGGCACTGTATTCCATACTAGACTGTGCATATGTAAGATTAAGATATGATCACGAGGATTAAGGAAGATGAAAACAAGTCATTAAAAAATTCTGGATGCAAAAGAGAAAAATCCTTCCAGAGTCACAGCAGCTTCAGCAGTAAATGTCACTCCTGTTGTGCAAATGTTTCCTGTTTTGTCTCAGAGACACTGTCTGGAAGTTTTTTTTCCCCCCAGTATAAAACTGTTTAGGATGCTTTCTGTATTGACTGAAACGTGGTTTGAGCTTTGAGGATGACTAACATTTGCTCCTGTGATTTTGGATTCCAGCAGTTCCCCCAGAGACTGAAAACTATGTACATATGCTCCTGATTTGACTCTTTTCTCTCCCTGGAACACCAGAGAAGCAGTCAGAACCAGCTGTTCTGGGTCAGTGATGTATTTTGTTAGTTATTCATTGAACTTTCTCCATGTCGAACCCTTTCACTCTATCCAACGATGGCAGCGCAGTCTTCCTTCAAATGGTGCAGAGGCACATCTGCAAGGAATTAGCCTATTTCTTTGTCCACGTCACTGGAATTCATCCCAGTTCCTCACTTTTTGGGCACTCGATTGAGCAAAAAGTATTTGAAAACATCCACGTCTGAATTGCAGACTTAAAACGGTGCCCTGTTTTTAGACACGTCACTGAGCAAAGAGGAAAGGAGATCTCTCTCCTGTCTGGATTCTAAATTTACCTTGTAACTCACACCAATTTATGGTGCCATCTCTGAGTCAGCATCTGGAAACAGCTCCCCACTTTGCTTGAGATGTGAGGCATTTGTTTATGTCTAGATCTGAGAGAAATGAAATATATCCCAACAAGCAGTTACACCGAATATACTGTCAATTTTATACTCCCTAAATTCAAATGAGCCTTTCAATCCTGTTCAAAACATCTGTTTACTCTTATTTAAATTAAATTAGATTTTCATATGTGGGTTCAGAAAAAAAGACATGACTTGCAAGCGTCCCCACTTCTCACTATTTGCATCATATACTTCTGCACTTCTAATGATCTCTTTTACATTCATTCTTATCTATACATATGTTTAATTGCTTTAGTCAACTTTCATCGCTACAGATGTACAAAATTCTGCCTTTTCAAAAAAAGTCCCTCACAGCTTCAACCTCTACGACAGAAACAGACAATTCAAATATTTTCTCCTCTTTCTTAAATAATGGGTTTCCATTACCCGTGGAGCACCCAAGCTTGGCTTGCACCACACACACAAGTACACACATCGTCTGTTGGACTACGTGGCAAACTGCACATACACTGTAGTTTCTGCAACCAAGAGGAGGAGGAGCACTTTATCAAGACACAGCCCAGCAAACTTTACATTTTGTGGTGACTCATTACCCTATGTCACTCCCATTATTTTCCCTTAACCATCAGATTACAATAATTCAAGGAGACATGGGAGTTATTGTTGTTATACAATGATAGAATAAACAGTTTTGATAACATTACAAGCTTTTGTTTGGAGATTGTTTCCAAATGTTCTGACTGGAAACAGTACATGTCTGCCATTAATTGCAAGATGTACTAAGATCTGTTGGTTTTATGAGAGAACATTATTTCTATACAGTGAAGACATGAGGAAACAGCTACCATCTTATAAAACACACACAGCTACCCGGTAAAGTCCAAACCTTTCTTCTTTCTGCTCTGTATTTGGTCTCTGTCAGTTTCTGATGAATAAACATTCCTTATGAGCAGTGAATCACCCAACGATCAACAGCTGAGGCCAGTTCACTTTCTCTAAGTGTTTTGCACATCCACTTAAGTCCGTAAATTTTGGCATCAGAAGGTTTTGGGTTGATTTCTTTTGACTGTGTGGTAACAACACTACGAAGCCCAAATTCCTCAAAGTAGACAAGTTAAAGAAGCTTTAATACTGTCAGTTGCCTGCTGTGGCAAAACAAGTTAAAATACATGGGAATGCTTTAAATTAATAAAACCTGGGGATTTGTGTGTGACAAAACGAAAATAATGATGGTTGTAATGAACAAGTGTTATGAGGTACTGAAGTATTTTTTCAAAGAACATCTGAGAAATATGTATAGAAGTTACTTTGTGGTCAGATTTACTGGGATTTGATTAGAAATCCAGGTTACAAAATCGATTTACCTTGAATATACAGTGGATAGCAAATGAACAGGAAAGCTTAGTAAATTATATCACAATAATTATTGAGAGGCAAAATAACAAGCTACCATTTCAGCATTAAAGGCTTGACTTCCTGACCTCTGTCTTGTATAAAGTTTGCATGTTCCTTCACACATTCACTTCTGTGTCATCTGATCTCAGTACTGTCTTTCTGTGGGGTAAACACATGCAGCCCAGGTGGGCAGGAAAGCTGGAAGTTAGCGAACCAGTAAGGTGTGTGTGTCAGTTTGTTTATCCTCCACAGGTTCATTCTTCCTGACCTCCTGCAACATGACAAAAATATTTAAAAGAGTAGAGGAAGGGAAGAGGTTCCCTCTGTATATGCTTTTAGGTAGTTCTTGTGATTTTCATAGCTGTTAAATATACTTTTTTTTCACTGGGTTAGAGGTCCAACATTAATGTCACATTAAAGCGTCTCAGTCACAATCTGCACACTTAAAGGGAAGAACATTTGATTTAGACCTATAGGCAAGGTGGCATTGTAATTTAAAATGTCATATATATTGATTAAAGACTCGATTGCAAAGTTTTAAATGGGAATAATAGAATTTTAACTGCAGCATTAGATCTTGGTGTAAAATGTGTTTTGGCTTAGCAGAAGCAATATCACCATCTACTGGATGTGTTGTGTAAAATGATCATCACGGTTTCTTGTGTTTCTTTTTTTTCTTTTTTTTCTCCAATTAATAGTGTCAGTATTTATGAGACTAAACAGGTAAAATGTCAAGTACAGTGAATTATTTTGATAGGATATCAGTTAGTATCAGTTAGTATCACATGTTCTGGGTAGCAACAGAGTTTAAAGAGTCTGTTTATATTTACATGTACTTATACTCATGTTGGGCTCCAAATATATGCTAAATATTCAAGATTTTAATATTTTACTCCTCTCACTCTCAATTCAGTTTACAAAAGATGTGTCATTACTAAAAAGCTACAAATGCTGTGATTGCTCTTTTTTCTGTTTAATGCCCACAACTATATAATTTATGAACATGACAGAGAAATAAGACACACAGAGGAAGCATTACTGTGACATTTCAAGACATTTAATCACTGCATGGAATATTCATTGTAATACTGGTAAATTCCATTCACAAAATCGGCAAAAGAAAAAACAAAAACAAAGGACAGATTTTTGTTAATAGATGCAAGCTGTAACAGAGTTTAACAAATCTGATTCAATTATTATTTTTTCATTATAGTAAAACTAACAATGGGCCACTGGCCTAAAAAGACTTTGAAAGACTAACAATAAGAGATGAGCGTTGTGTTCAGTGCATAAGTTGAATTGTGAAAATATATACTCAAGCAGGCAGGCCATAAGTGCTTTTCAAGCTGTTCAGTCGGGAGAGAGTGAGCGTGTCACACCACAGAGGCAGGTGCCCGGTGGACAGCCTCCTGGTCACCACAGCTGACGTTTTCACCAATTTGATGGAGATATCGTTGAGAAAGTTGAACTGATAGACACCAGGAATGAAATGTGTAAAAAGGCCTTTCTGGGTGACTCTCTCTGATGATGAGCTCCATTTGATGAAGCTGTCTGTTGGGAGACTGCGGTTGTTGGGTTGTATTGATGAATGCTTTTGGTTCAAGAGGGCTCATGGGGCTTACAAGTCTTATTGGATCTGTGGAAAGACAGAATTTTGTTTAAAATTTTGAAAAATTATAAAGTACTCATGTATGTTTCAGCCCTTTTTAATAGGCGTACAAGTCTGCTGGGCTGAACAAAGTTTTATTTGTCTGTTCTTAAGCTATTCAAAATAAATAGTTCAATTAAGCTTTTAAACTCGATATAATTCTAGAAATGAAAATGATAAGAACATGCCTGTAGGTGTTCAGATAAGACTATAATTCATTAAACCTTTAAGCTTCATGAAACTACAAATGAAAAGAAGTGGAATATAGATTACCTCGTTGTTCTCCAGACCCACTGGGTCCTGGGGATCCAAGGGGTCTTGCAGTTCTACAGGATCCTGAAGATCCAGAGGATCTTGGATGTCCAAGGGGTCCTGAAGATCCAGAGGATCTTGGATGTCCAAGGGGTCTTGAAGATCTACAGGATCCTGGAGTTCCTGGGAATCTTCGGATTCCAGAGGATCCTGAAAGCCCTGCTCATCGTCTTGATTCACAAGCTACACAAAGAGGCAAACACAAGAGTAAGAGTATGTTTCTCTATAGTATCATTCAAATGTGCTTTTATAGGGAAAAAAGTCAGTTATTTTTTAAAACTGACCTCTTCGGCCCCAAAAGGAAAGCACCCGCCACCTGTAAGAGCAAAAAGCACATTTTAAGAAGGCAATCAGTAACAAGTGAAAAAACACACGTGTAACTTTTATTTACAAAATCAAATAGATGCCAAAGGATTTTGAAATTAATGCTGAAAGGTTTCCTCTGACGAAGAGGGTTTTATGACGCACCTATGCCATTTACACAGGATCTTTCCCTCCAGGCAGACAGATTCAGTCTGGGTATACGGGAGCACTGTGTGAGCCGGTTCCTGTTGGAGATGACGCTGAAAGCGTCAGTGGGCACAGATGCAATTCCAGTGTTGTCACAGATGATTCTGGACAGCCTGGCAGAGGACAGGGCAGCCCTCTGCTGTGGGGTGAAGACACCTGGGTTCTCATACCACAACCTATAGTTTTCAAGCAAAAGAGAAAAGACTGGTTTGGAATCTTTGTTTGAATTCCACCCTCACTTCTTAAAAACAAGCATACACAGGAATACTGACCTGTCCCCCTGGCGGATCCTCTGGAATTGGTTTGCAATGAGGCAGGCAAACAGAGGCCCCACACGGCCACCCCGCACAAACGGCTCCGCGACACCTCCCACCCAAACGTCGATGTTGTCGGGTGTCCCGTAGAGCTCCAGGAGCCGCCGAGCCAAATTGTTGTTGTTCAGAACACGGCCCAGCTCGGCTTGGTTCCGGGGCTGAGACAGACCACAGAATCTGCGCCATGCATTGTAGCCTGGAAAAGGCATCGAAATGAGGACAAAACAGTTGGAGGCTATCAGGATAGTACGGACACATCAGATGACAAGGGATGGGAATAACTGAGTACGTACCAGGCAAGCCATGGTCACGTCCCCTCTGCATGTTGAGAGAGCCCAAATCCAGAGCCAGATGCTGCACAAACTGGAACAACTTTTCTCTCAGGGCATCCACCATCATGTTACTCTGGGTGGCCAGTTTAGCGGGACGGCCCATCAGACCACGAAGCAGAGGGTCAATTCCACCTGGAAAGGGACAGGAGTCAGTTTTGCTGCTGCATGAAGACAAGAATGAGAGCGTACTTCAGTTTTTTGTAAAAAGCTCACCTTCAAAGACGAGTCTCCAGGGTGTGAAGAAGGCCTTGAACAGGGGGACACTGGGGAATAGAGCGTGCTCCCTGTAGTTTGCATTCAGTCGGGATAAAACTGGCTGAATGGCCAAATGGGCGAAGCGGTACGCAGCTGTTGCAAAGACGTTGGCAATGCTGGGGTCTGTATTGGGATTGTAGCCGGGGTAACGGCCCAGCTGCCTGCGCATGGCTGCGTCGCCCACAATGTGCGGCAGGTAATCTCTGAACACAAATATCTGACAGAGAGGAAGAGCGCTTAACATTTGACATTTCTGTGTGACAGAAATGTGAATTCCCTGTGACCCTCTGGCGCCTCTACCTGTGTGTAAGCCCCCATGATCTTGCGGGCCTCTTGGTAGAGAGTCTCACTGTCCCATTGTGGGTTCAGTCTCTTCAGCTGACGAGCCAGGCGGTTGTGCTCACGCATGAAAAGTGTGTGGATGGAAGTCAATGCGATGTTCTCGTCCACACGGACATCACCTGCACAGAAATAGATTATCAAGAGTTTATGTCCCCGTTAGATTTGAGATTTCATGCTTTGATGGTGGATGATCGACCTTGATCCTCTGTCGGATTCACATTAATGTGACTTGTATTTTCCCTTTTATTATTTTCCCTAATAGCTTACAACGAGACATTAGCCATCTTAAATAACTGTCACCCTAAGGTGCTATGTGCCCCGTGGTATAAATATAAATTAGCTATAAATACAGACAAACTCATTCAGATGTGTTGAGTTTTTACACAGCAATGTTAATTTAGTAATTAGTAATAATTAGGCATACAGAAATAAAAAGACAATTCTAGAACATACCATATATCATACTGTAAATTCAAGTTTCTGTGCCATAGAAATTCTGCCTTTGGTTTCCTTTTTTTGGTCAACTGTTGTTGGTTTTTAATTTTTGCTATCAGAATAACATTCTTAACGTTAGTTAAATGTGAAGACAATGCCCTCATTGTGATTACTAGAAATTCTAAACACCAATCATGGACGGACAATCTAAAACTGATACTGCCACTGGTCTTATTACTTATGCAAACCATTAATCATATACCACTTTAAAATGTATGAAAACGCTATTAAAACCGAACAGGATGTCTTACCTGCAATGAAGCACGGCACCTCTTTGGCATTGGTGTCGTTGGTGATTCTTCGGCGAGTGGCACACATCTGCACCTGCATGGGGTGGAAGGGCAGGAGCTCCCGGCCGCTGTCGGTGAAGTTGGTGTTGACGCGCAGCAGGCCGTCGTCGCTGCTGAGGTTACGCAGGTACAGGGCCAGCTTCTCCTCCGAGCCGTACACCTGTCCCAGGTCCAGGAAGGCCGTCAGGGAGTTGATCTGCTCTCGTTTGTTGGTCTCGCCGCCAAAATTCAGGGCTGTGAATCCCGTTCCGCAAACAGGAGCCGATCGGAATGCGGGGATGCAGCTGTCGGGGCCCGAGGGCCGACGGGTGTCGCCAGGGGGGATCTGTTTGTCCAGGAGACTGAGTGTCAGAGAACGAGCTGAGGGGGAAAACAACGTCTCACAGGAAGGTTTCAACTCTGACACCGACCGGGATGGGTATGCATGGCTCCACTTTCTCGCAGCTCTCGTCACAGTTCACCCCGTTGCTGAAGGAGCGGATGCTGGGCGAGAAGGGTGTGAAGGTGAGGTCGTGGTCGTTCCACTGGCCAAACAGGGTCACCATGTGACTGAACTCTCTGTCGCTGACCACCGCTGCATCTGTTGTGCTCAGGATGTTGTTGGAGACCTGCCTCACCTAAGAGAGGAGAGAACAGTGTTTCATATGTTCAAATGTTTCCAACCACCCTTCATTGACCAGCATCTGGAGCATCGCGTCATACCAGTGGGAGTAGGAAGTTGTTTAAAGTTCGATTTCGGTGTCCTTTGGGTTGGGAGACACCATCGTCATACTCAGCAGGCAGCCAGCGGGTAAAGGGAGTGTTGGAGGCCCCGAGGCGAGGGTTTTTTCTAAAAAGCAAACAGGAGATGTATTTGGAAACACTGTTTAAGAAATCCCCAAAAAGTGAACACATCTTCTGCGGTCTATGGCCTAAGATGCTGATTTCCCAAGCATTTCTTTTGAAGACCAGGGTCATGCACTCTCACACTAAGCCTTTGAAATTTTCTATTAGTTTTAGGAAAGATTCTAGCTTATTTATCATGATCTGAATTTGTAAAATGAGCATTTCTAATAGTCTCTCTTACAGGTTGTTGCAGACGCTGGTGGCAGTGCGATATTTGTTCATGTTTGGCGTAGTAACGCATGATGGGAGTCTGACTCGAGCAGCACATCCAGTTATTTCAGCAAGTTTCATCAGATCCTCGGGCGTGAGCAAATCTGAAAGACGTGTGACAAAGTCTAGTTAAGAACAGTTTGGAAGGAATAAACCGACTTCACATGTATGAAACAGTACACCTTTATTCATATCTGTAACCAGATGAGGAAAACAATGCGAGCGCTGTGCGTGCGGGCTCTGTGTGGAAGTCTGACCTGTAGCGTTGAGGGAGCGCTTGTGCAAGTGGTGCACCCTTTCGTGGAGCAGACGGAGGGTCTGCGCCATGTAGTCTGCCGACCTCACAGCCGAGCGAGTGTCACCACGGGGCTGCTTCATGAGGCGAAGAGCATCGTGAGGTGCCACCACTTCTTTGCGGACCCGCCTCAGACTCCTGGATGACAAGTTGTTCCACAATTGATGAATGAAATCCCTTTTGAGAGCTATTAACTTCTTTTCACAATTATCCAGGTTTGGAGTTACTACAAACAACTGATGTGTGAAGAACTCACTCGTCTCTGGAGTACTTGTATGCGTCATCCACAATTTTCTTTGCCTCCTCAAAGCATTGTTGAAGGAAAGGACTGCCCAGATATTCTGCATGTTTAGACAGTTGAAACAAGTCAGAAAATCAAGGAAAAAAAGGAGACGTGAAAACGTGTCCTGGGTGTGAGTGACCCTACCTGTGGGTTTGGAGTGAGTGGGCACCAGGCTAATGCCCAGGACAAAAAGGACAGAGAGAAGCATATCTGAAACAAACAAACAAAGAAAGCAAAAGAAAATAAGATTTAAAAAGTTGGTAGAAGTTGAGTTTGGACGATTGCATTAAAAAATAATGTCTTAGTGTGAAAAATCGAGCCTGAAAATTTTTTAAAAGACCAAATTAGTCTTCTTACCTCCGTTTCTGAATATTTCAGTGAAGGGATCAGATGCTTGTTGAGTTCGTAGCTCTGTGTCTCCTGCTTATATACTGCAGAACCTCTGGAGGCCTCGCCCTCTAGGTGAAGCTAGTATCAGTAAAGAAAACTTCCCTCTTCCTCGTCTCTCGATCTGCTGGAAATGCTTTCGGCCCATCAGTTACAGCTTCTGGTCAACAGATAAGACTGACAAAGCTATTATAAAAAGTCTCATAAAGATTGTTCTTTATGGCACTACAGAGTAACAATAAAAATATGTTAATTTATAGTTTTAGGTATTTCAAGAAAAAGCTAAAAAAACATATATCTTTTTAGCTTTTTTAGTTTATTTTAATGATAACTTTAGTGTAAAGCATTTTGTCCACTGTGATTTCTTGGTATTCTTGTATCAAGTTGGATGCATCTTGCTTTCAACTGTGGATTCTTAACTAGTGTTCATGGAAAAAGGCCAAAACACAGTAAAACAAAGTAAAACTTTTCTAGCTGACCTTAATATGACTGGAGGACCTTTTTCATGCCCTTGAGGTTGGTCACCATAAAATCTGTTACACTGTGTGTGGATGCTCACAAAACATTGCACGCTTTTGAAGTATTTTGCAATGATTATACTAACATTAAATAATGTTAAATCATGATAGTTTGTTTTTGGGCATGATATTTACTGACTTGTTTTCTTGTCATCATAAATGGCTTTAAGAATATGGCCGGGACACAGTCATTATGCCATTGCCATGAGCATTTCAACACAGAAACGGACAAACTTGAGAAATTTGTGTCTGTCAATCAGGAAGTACTTGATACTTCTTTTAAACTAACAAGGAATAACAATCCAACTGAAATCTTCTTATAAAAAAGAGAGCTCTCTCGATATTTCAATGATTAACAAACAGCTTTTTAAGAGAAATATGGTTTCTAGTTTTTTCAAAGCTGTATAGACAAAAGGTGTTTTCTGTCCGTAATCAGGTTGCATTTGTGAGGTGGTGTTGTGCAATGAGGAACAGGAAAAAGATATTACCTTGAAACAGCATGCACATATTTGGGTGGGGATCCCTTTGACCAATACATGCTTTTTTTTATTGCTGTAGATGTCATGGAATTTTGTGACTAAGATTGAAAATACAACAAGGAAAGGAGATTTGAAAGTCCCTTCACCTTGATAACAATGTGAAGGTGCCACCAAGGTTTGTGAGCAATAGTCACCTCTACTAAACAACAAATTATTGTCATATTTAAGAACACCTCAAAAACTGAAATAAAGACACAATATATTCATTATCCTAGTGGAAGATTATGACTATAGACAAAACATTTCCTGTCTGTAGATATTTAGAATTGTGGATTCGTGTTGGTGCAGTTGATTTTAGGACCATCTGATTGCAAATGTTTTAATGCATAAGGGAATTATGCATTTGTTGGTTGGTGCACATTTAAGTGCACCAACCAACTAAACCAAGCAAAGTGCTGTTTTAACTGAACAAACAGCTGAAGAATGGGAAGCAAATCATATACCTAAATTTCCACCATGACACACTTTTACCTTTTTCTAAATGTCTGTTTATTTAAACAGAGGTAGAAACCAGCTAGTAGTACCACACACACATCTTCTGACAGATCCAGACTAGCATTGGAGAGCCTTCATTTTCATTGTATGAGAAAACACTACAAAACTGGAGCTGGCACGTCGAGTGAAGCATTTAAAATATAAAAACATCCAAACTGACACAGATGCACAAAATAAAAAAGAGATGAGACAAAATCAAATTATTCTGGAAATATAAAAAATGAATGATGCAATGCATGCTGTATAAAATTGTATTGCTGATGTATCAACTTAAAGTCAAATTCACAATGAATTTGACTTTAAGTTGGTAGTTGTTTTCTTATTGATGACAACACTAAAATGAGACTGAAAACTGTTCATTTAAGAAAGGAACTTCTAAGAAAACCCTCATATTAACAGAGGGGAAAACTGAATGGGGAAAGGCTCATACTTGTACAGTTAAAGTCTTAATATCCTGGGCTGACCACTTGATATTTAGGATTACAGTATTTGTAGGACATCTGAATATATTTGAGAAAAAAGACCCTGCACTTTCAAACAAATTCAACTTGAATTTTTACAAATATATTCTATCTAAAAATTACATGAAAATGTATGCACATATATGTAGAAAACAGGGATGAATGAGGACAACTCAGTTGGGACCCTCAAACAGTGCCACCGTTTGGCATTTTTTCCTTCCATACATCCAGATGAACTATGATCACTTTGATCTGAACATTATCTGTAAAATAAAGGGTCGATTTGTCTGCAGGCTATCACAAAAGTGACCTTTCTTTTATCACCGTTTTTACAATATTCACAGACTGCTTGCATTTGTGCCGGCATAGTTTAGTTTTAAAAAAAAAGCAGAAACAGTGATTACAGAAACAATTTGTCAACTCCAAGATGTCACAAGAAATCCCATTTGGCTGCTGTACTGGTTTAAGAAGAGATACTTATAAATGAAAGGAAAGAATGTTGTAAAGTTCTGCTTTTTATAGTCGGGTAACAATGCTGCACAGTCAGTGCACCGTTACCTATTAACTGAAACTTGATATGTAAAAGGCCCATTTTTTCCCCATGCAGATTAATACTGTCACCACCAAAATTATTCAACACCACAGGACACTGAACAAATGTCTTAGGGACTATTTAGTGAACAATGGCTTGTACTTTGGTTTGTGATTGATGCAATTCTTCATCTCCAGGAAGCAGAGCCGTTCTGGTTGATGCATGACTCATTCAGACAATAGCCTACAATACAAAGCTGTTTGTTACAGACCTCACCTCTTCTATGAAAAATAATAAGGAAGTTATGAACTTTGAATTGGAGACAGTAAGTCCACGGCGTCTTCCCGCAGACTGCTAAAGGGAGTTCCTGACATCATGCGGGACGTGTTATCTTGAGCCATTACAAATGAGATTTTCATCAGTTGCATGTAAATGTTTAAACCACACCAACCCTGTACTGTAAATGACGGCTGCGTATGTATCCATGCGTGTCAGACATCCTTGACCGACTTTTTTCTTTTATCTCATTCAGTATGGGCCTCACCACCGCAACAGACATCAACAAGCTGCAGCAAATAGGCAGTGTTCCAGTCTTAACTATGAGGATATGGGTACTTTTACTGTTTGAAATGGCATTTTTCCACATCTGCCATCATGGATAATATATGAAGGATATTCAGACGTTTTACGCATATTTAGACCTATTTAAAGACTTATAATAAACTTCACTTCACGCATTATTGCACATCTGAATACACAGAGATTAGTTCAGTTATTTAAGTTCTGCAGAAAGTTGCTAAACTAAAAACCCTTTATAAGGAACCAGAGGTTCTTTACAACATTATCATGTTTGTTTCCCAATTTTAGTTATTTTTAAAACTTTGTATAAAATTGAACAAGCCAATGCATTACAAAATGTATTATAATACAGAATTAAAAAACAACTGTATTGTTATTGTTACTTTACCCTCCTGGTAAAAACCCACTAAAAGCTATTTATTTTTACTGAAGTGTTATAAAGCTGATTTATTCACATGTTATTAACTAATGATGTAGATTAACAGGATTATTGGGCTTTGGCTGTGTGAGGTGACTTGATCTTCTGGGCTTTGTATACAACTAACTTATTCTTATTTCATTGGTACAATAGGGAATAATCACCGTTGTCACTGGTGTTTGTGCTAATATACATACTTTGTGCGGTTTGCAAACTCTTTCGAGTTGAGTTTGTAATAATGTCGAAATGACATTATTTAAAAAAGCCTCATGTTCTGTTCAGATGTAACTTTTTCCATCTTTCCATTATTCAATCGTTAAACGATTGAATGCTTGCAAGCATTTCCGCAAGCATTTCTCCTGTTTAAAGAAGATTGCAGAAGCATCAGCCATTGCAGGGTATGGACTTAGAGTAGAGCGTTCCTAGGAAGATGGGCAATTATCTTAAATGTTTTCCACTTGTTGCAGAATGATGGATATAATCTTTTATAAAAATAGTCTTACAAGCCCTCTGAAATTATGGAATTGAATATTTAAGATCATTGCATATGTCTTTCCTTCATGACATCATAATAACACACCCACAGGTTTATTTCAGACTAACAACTAACAGCAAAAATCTTTATAGTGGAGCTCAAACTTCAGAAATATGAATTCATCAGCTCATCACACCCTACTTCAGCACTATTTTTCTTATAATCTATATATGAAATTGAGTTATATGTGATACTTTTTGCCATACTTTTAAGACGTGGTGGAGCAAAACAAAAGAGTCACATTTTGTCATGTAACAGAAGGGCAAATAAATTTAGCACAGAAAAAACAATAATGTGAATCACTGGAAAGATATTCCACAAACAATATGCGTGAGGGACACAGTGATGAGTAAAAAGCCTGGGATATTTCACAATATGCAATACACAAATAAACTATAAAGCCTGAAAGGAAAAGACACCTAAAAGGAAACAAAGGTCTTGCAAAATAATGGAATCAGTCCACTACGTCCACTCTGAAATAAGGCACATGGATCACTCAGCAGCTCTGGCACGCAATTGTAAAACATTCCGCTACTGTCTATCACAACTTGAACAATCTGTGTTTACTTCCTTTAACGTTGAATATGTTATTCCTAAAGAAAACTTAACAGACAAACCAGATCAAAGAAGCAACTGAAATATTTTTGTTAATGTATGTATATTTCTTTACATTGCTCTGTTTGTATGACAACACTATTCATTTAAAGCAGTGTTTTTCAACCACTGTGCCTCGGCACACTAGTGTGCCGTGAGTGATGGTCAGGTGTGCCGTAGAAAATCATCCTATTTCACCTAATTGGTCTAAAAAGATTTTTTGATAAGGAATTAATTATCTGCAAATAATGTGCCATTTTGGAGTGTCTGTGCTGTTCTAGTGACTGGTGGCTTAATCATGTAATAATTCCTTATGACTAGATTTTGTATATAATTTTGTATATTGAAGTGGAGATGTTAAGAGCAATTTGAAAGAAGAAATATAAAATAGGATAAAAATAAATTTTTGTGTTTATTTGATTACTATTCAAGACACTTAAGATAAGATAGGAATAAAATAAGAATAACTATAGTGTTACTATAGGTTACTACAGATTTGTTTGACATTTTTGGTTGGTGGTGTGCCTCGTGATTTTTTCAATGCAAAAATGTACCTTGGCTCAAAAAAGGTTGAAAAACACTGATTTAAAGCATGCTGAGGTTTATATGTTGCTGGAAGGACAAAAATCCGCTGCCATATATTACTAGTTAAAAAGATAAGGCAAGAGGTATCCACTGATCCACTGACAGAAGTCTTTTCAAGTAAACGTTCAATCTTTTTAATTGCATTCTTGTTCCTTATATTCTTCTCATTTTGGTAGGGTTGGACATTTGGACTTGAAGATAAGACTTAAAGAAAAAAGCCAACCACAATCCTCCACTGACAGAAAAAGTAGAAAAAGTAGGTCAAGTGGTCATTCACTTAGAAATGGCAGCAATTATGAACTTCCTGTTAATACAACATACATTGGACAAGAAAGAAAGGCCAACGGTTGCCTTCTGATAACAAGAAGGAAATACTTAACCAACAAGTACTAGTGCTGATAATTGCATGTTAAAAAAATGTAATAATCAATTATTGACTTATGCCTAGGCACACAGTAACACCTTTGCCAGCATGTTTTTCTTCCGCGTTGTTTTTTGTTTCCCTCATCTGTCTTTGTTCAAGAACAACTGTACCCCATCTATGAATCATTCAAAGGACTGGAAATGACTTATAGCGTGCACTATAAATCTTAACATGAAATATGTCCATGCTTTAAAAACCTTTACTTTTTGCATTATAGACAAAAAAGAAACAGCGATTTAGCTGCTCCAGCATTAGAATCACGATATATTTTACATGGATGTATGACATGCACACAAAGCATCTGTGCTGATTGTAGATTAAAAAGAAATATTAGATAAAAAAGAAAGAAAAGAATTCAAGTAAATAAACAGGAGATAATGACACCACCCCCACTTGAAAAATTTGTGTCCGTTGTTGTTGAAATAGATTATCCAACCATGGGCTTTGCACAACATTTTTTGTAACTTCCTTTTTCTTTTTCTTTTTTGTCACTAAATCTCCAAAACGGAGTGAAGAATTTAAAGTTCCCATGGATCAAAGACATTTAGTTGTTGAGCAATTCTTCGACAGACTAAGATTCAATTTGAAGTTTGTTTGGTGATATGTTTGTTGGTTCATTGCACACATTTGCGGCCCCTCGTATGCTTCACAGAACCAAACTGTTTCCATGTTTTTGTGATTCAGTGTTGATGACTAACTGGCATGGACATTTGAGCATGTGTTTACTACAAAACTATCACCTGGCTTAGACTACCAGATCTGTGTAAAACGTTTTGTGGCTATTGAATTGCAGTATTGAGGTAAGACACGTGCAGTAAATGTATTATCAGCTTAGGAATTTGTCCTGAAAATGACCACGCATAGCCACATGGCGCCATGAAGCCACAGGTACAAATGTAGCAATGTCAATACATCTGAATAACCACAAGACGGAGCCCTAGAAGACAAAAAATTATTAAGAACAAGATGCAAACTAATAATAGATGTTGAAGGAATGAACAGGCTATTCATGTGGGTTTGGATTTATTAACATGTGTGCATAGAATTAGTACTCAACCTTTGTAATTTCAGTGCTGCAGACTCACATAGCCGGTCTGTGTGAATTTTGTCAAATTTCCTTTGCAAAGTGTGTCTAAAGTATACTTCCCAATTTGTTTCTTATATCTTTGCCTTATCATTCCATGATGTATTCCTCTGAGATCAAGGAATAAGCTCAGGAAAAGGCAATAGGTGGTCATTTCTTCAGCCCTTCTGCATCAATGGGGAGTACAATGAGAGGGTGGCCCGTTTCAGGTTACTGAAAGTACCTGCAGACGGAGCTGTTTACCATCTTCTCCGGCTGCTCAGTGTGCCAGCATCCTGCATCTCTGTGTGGGTCTTAAATTGCACAGTAGCACACAAAAAGGCAGCACAAACTGACAATGCCTCTACAACACCAAGAAGACACAGCCCAAAATAGGGATGACACACTTCCTGGTCATTTAGTTTTTCAGCTACTGTCCTCTGGTGGGAGAGGCAGGCTTTTCATGGTCTCAGACAAACAGACTCATAACAGGCAACAGCCTTAATCAATGCAAATCCCTGAACCCAGTTTTTTAATGTGTATCCCATTTATGTTTATGCTGTATGTTATATTCCTCATTGATGGTTTTGTGCTTCTAAAACTATTCAATGTACAAAACAAAGAGTGGTACATCAGGACATCATTTTATCAAATATTCCAGCCCATCCATCCATCCATTATCAATACCGCTTATTCCCTGATGGGGTCGCGGGGGGAACTGGAGCCTATCCCAGTGGTCAACGGGCGAGAGGCAGGGTACACCCTGGACAGTCCGCCAGTCCATCGCAGGGCCACACACAGAGACACACAAGGACAAACAACCACTCACACTCACATTCACTCCTAAGGGCAATTTCCCCAATCTCCAATCAGCCTAACATGCAGGTTTTTTTTGGACTGTGGGAGGAAGCCGGAGAACCCGGAGAGAACCCACGCAGACACAGGGAGAACATGCAAACTCCACCCAGAAAGGTCCTGGTTCCCCCGGGAACACACCACCGTGCCGCCCAAATATTCCAGCCAGCATGTGTAATTACTTTATTTATCTAAACAGGACAAAAGGAAATCTCAGCACCAAACCAGACACACCATATAAATACTATGGAATAGGCTGTGACTTATGCGGTAAAGACTAAATCAACCCTGCAAGATTTAAACAAAGCACTGTTCACTAGACCCCCCCCCCCAAAAAAAAAACAAAAAAAAACAAGAAGCTACTAGTTAACATAACATACATCTGCAGTTGTCAAAATGGCTTCTCAGATTGAGAGGGTTCATGTGCTGACATGTGACGTCTGTAGAATGAAACCATAAATCGGGTTCCCAAAAGGGAGGACTTGGTTTATCAAACAAACAGTTCAAACAGTTTTGAAAGTAACACCAAATAATGTAAAAGTACAAGTTTTTTCAACAGATGATATATGAGAAAAGCAAGTGGACAAAGAAGTGGAGAGTTTAGGACCAACAAACTCACCACTAATTTTTGTGTAGAAAATGCAAACTGAGATCAGAAACTTTCTGACAACCATCCAAAACTTTCTGTTGCAAATGAATGTGTGGCAGATATCCAAGCATACAGTTTTCACAGTTTTACAGAGAACTTAAAACAAAATAGGTCATGTGAGGAGAGAAAATTAAACACATTTGAAAGAATATAAATTGATTGGAATTTAGTTTTAAAAAATTATTTGGTTTTAAAAAAAAAGCAATTTTTTTTTCTTCTTGGCATGAGGAAGTGAAAATAACACTCAAGTTCTACAGAAAAAAAAAATCCTACAAATTCAGCGTGAGCTTTATTTCCCCTTCTGTATGTGGTAGGTGGGGGCAGCAGTTTGCTGGGTTGGGGGTGGGGGGGTGGGGGGGCAGCAATGACTGATATAAGGTGCACTTGCAGTTCCCTCTTAGATGTGAAGAGCGAAGAGTGTCGTAAGCCTGATCAAAACCAGCGATGGCCATGTTTGTGTTAGCTTTGCTCTTCTGCATCGGTCTCCAAGGCTGTGGTGAGACTGACACGAAATCAGTTTGGGAATGGTACAGAGCATATTTATAGAAGTTTTTATTGACAAACTTTTGTTCCTGCAGCTCTGACTGAGTCTCTGAGTACCAGCGGTTTGCAGAGTGTTCCAGATGCTCTGGCAGTGAGTGATCCTTTTCTTTATCTTTAAGATGTTTTTTTTACTTTTAGCGTCTAATTGTCTTTGCTGGGGTGAATCAGGCTGTGAACACTAAAACTGTAAAATTTAGTCTCTGTGGTGATGAAGTAGTGAAGCACGATGCACCGATTCCTAAAATTATTGAACAATTTTATGATGTGGTAATTACCCATCATGACTCATTTTACAACGATGCTAAGTGAAAGCTTTATGGGATTATTCAAATTAATCAAATCAATCAGTTCCTGATGCTGTTAGAAGGTAACGTTTAACGGATGTTAAAAAAGTATTTTTTCCTCTTTCCTCACACCAAAAATCTTCTCACGTCTGTAATCTATTCCTAAAATGTGATATTTGCACATGTATTCAGAGAGGGGATGTCTGCCAGGACTGCACCAAAATATTTGAACTCCTTGCTGACCTGCTTTCCAATGCAGACCTCCAGGTGAGTACAATAGTGGACGATGAACACCAAACACATACCTGAGAGTTCATATTTGCTCATTGATTATAGTATTAGTTCTCTTCATAAGTCGGGACTAAAATACACACACCCGCTGGGATCTGTGGTTGAAGAGTTTTCTTTAAGCCAATAAAAAAGGGAAATCTTTTGCATTCTGGAAATAATTTCCCATTTGTTCTGTTATCAACTGGAGCACATTCTTGATATTCACATAGGCAAATCATTAGTAATCAGTGGTGCATAATCTACAACTAACACACAAAGAGGGAATGTTCCTGTTTTCTTTTCATGAAAAGCCACTTCCTATACCCGAGGTCATAAAAAAGTTGAAATGAAATTTCTCAGCGTGTTTGTTTTCTCACCTGTTTTCAGAGATCCCCTTTTTCTCCTTAATTCATGGGAAGTAAAACCTTCTAACTATGAGAGATAACCTGATCATTACATCATGCTTACTACGGCAAAGGAGCGGAATACTTTTATCTTTTAAACAAAAAAGATATAAAAGAAAGTGTTCATTAGAATTCCCTCAGAGAGATAGCAGATTACAGAAAAATAAACTTGTTTAGCACATTTGGTTTTTTAGGTAAAACCCTGAAATATATTCCCTTATGAAAAAGTCAAGGTGTAGATTTGTGTGTTTATGTGTGACACATACTTGACAAAGCACAAAAAGCGCAGAAGAAATCTTTGTTTTTGATTGCATTATTTAAAGTTGCCTATCTCTAGTCAATACCAGACCCCTTTTTTCTAGAAAAAGATCATGAATGGCATCGACGGTCTGTGCGCGCACCTGCCGGGGGCGACCGCCAAACTCTGCAAAGAAGAAGTGGACAAGATGCTCCCGGTGGCCATCACCTTTGTTACGGGTGTTGCAGTAAGTTGGAGGCTCCAATTGTCCTCCAGAGCTACACCCAGATATAGTGAACTATCTATATAAATACATTTGGTCCCTCTTTCTTGATAGAAACCAGGAGAGATCTGCAAAATCATGGGCCTCTGTGGCTCCGGCGAGAGAAATGAGAAGATGCTGAGCTACTTTGTCTACGAGGCTTTTGAGGCAGGTGCGATGAGAGAGGTCAGTAGAATATGATTGAAAGAACCTTTGAAATACCCTGTGTTGCCTCCTTTTACTTTATACCTGCACCCTTTGTGCCCATCGGACAGGTAAAAACCACAAGACAATGCTCCTTCTGCATTTTCCTCTTCAAGACTTTGGAAGGCCTGCTCCCAAAGGAGAGGACTGAGGTGAGCCAGTTTGTACCATGGAGTTGACCCTATAGACGGAGCTGCCAGCAGGCAATAATGATGACCATCTATTCATTGTCCCGCTTGTCTTCCGCAGGGCGCTGTGATCAAGCTGCTGGAAGAGATTTGTTTGATAGTGCCCTCCTCCTACCGAAGCCAGTGTGAGACCATCGTCGGCAACGTCAGCAAGACACTGCTGGACGCGCTGGTGGGCCACGCCACCCCGGAGGCCATCTGTGCCCTGATCCACATGTGCAAAGGCCAGGGGGCCCTGGAAGTGGGTTAGTGTGCCTCAGCTGCTTTTCTTTAACAATTATTTTCAAGGCACCGATAAACAAGTTGAAATAATGAGATCAAAATGGAAATCATATGATACCGTTTTGATACTCTGATATTATTTATACTATTTATCCAGGTGAGATCACTTTATAGTGAGAATGTGCAAAATTTTTATTCTGGCAATACCTGTACATGCAAGTCTCAGTTAGATTAAACTGCCTTAGATAAATATACCAATCATTTAAAAGGAAAAAAAGATCGAAAAAAAGAAGCCAGATTTAAACATGAAAACATGTGTACAAAAGTTACAATTTTGTTCATTTTCATCTTTCAGTGATAGGTTGTTGTATTCATGGCTTCAGCATGCAGTTTTACTCAAGAGCTGCCCTTTATTTTTATCTCACAGATCCGTGCACCATGACAGCGTACAGGTGCAGAGATTTCGAGACGGCCCTCAAATGTGGAGTAAGTAACAGCAACACAGAAAATAAATAACCAAATATCTGGTTTAGCTCATACTTGTTCTGTGCCGATAACGTTCAAACCCTCTTCTCTGTGCAGAATGTTTTCTACTGTCAGAAATTCGCCTGGACTTCTCTGAACTAAGATTTAAAGGCAGTTCAAAACAGGTGACTTTCTTTTTGGAGGAGCTAGTATGTTATCGTCTACATTAAAAATGTATTTTGTCAAGCTGACAATGACGAAATATTTCTTCACTGTTCTTTACAGAGTTGGATCAAAAGATCCATGGACTGAGAGTGGAGGATGACTGCATCACTTCTACCTGTTGGCTTTTCTTTAAAATCCTAACGCGGTATCTTTCTGCATTGTATGGTGATTTTGCTTCCTGATATTATACAAACTGCACTGAAAAGAAAAATTCAACAAAAACTAAACTCTGAACTGCATGCAGAAAATATATAAAAGCATCGTTAAAGGCTCTTATGGTCACAATTTTGGTTCTTCTGCGTACTTTGTGGTAATTTTCTTGTTCATGAAGTTTCCTGATTTCTTCAGCCTCCATGATGCTAGTCTTGGACTCATTCACAAATTTGTATTAAATACTTTGTGACATGGCTGACTAAATGAGTACTTGCTTATAATGAATAAATCTAAAGTCAAAAAGGGTTTTGGTCTCTGATCATGCATTTAGAAGAACTCACAACTCAGAGATATATCTTGATTAATAGAAATGTATGTCACAGTGCTCCATAATAAGCTTGATTTATAATAAACACACGCATAGAGAACTAACGTCAATAGCGAGATTAAAATCTACTTTCACTTCATTTAAAATGCCATATGAGGAAGTGTTCACCTTTACTGCATTTTTTAAATAGGACGCACTTCTGCTTTCGTGTTCCGTCTGGTGATCGACAGCCTCAAGTAACCAGATGCCGCAAGAAAAGAGATCTATATTTGTTCTCATTAAAAAGCCAGAGGCACAGCCTTTTAGCACAAAGCAATAGTGCACTTTATTTAAATAGTTTTAAAGATAAACCCCGCAACAATTCAGACATCGGACAATTCCAGAGGTTGGAAATTTTAATAATTGACAAGCGGAACTGGACAGGACGGACCAGATGGTATGAAGTTTGAAGTGTTTTCGGGGTGTTTGCAGGAATTGTGAAAAGGCACTTTAAACCATTCAAACACACTTTTGACAATTCAACAAAGAAAAACCTTGGCTACAAAGAAAAGCCCCTCAGCTCCCCACGGCAGACAATGTAAACAGGCTGATTTCTCTGTACAACACCAACCAAACATTTATCTGAGCTGTGGATGAGCGAGAGCATACAAATATGTTTAAAAAAAAACACCCTGTCATCAGACAATACCACAAACTAGCAACAAGCTCCATCCATGCCATCTGGCTTTGTGAGGTGTCGCTGTAACACACTCAAAGGACCATAAAGTGGAACTGGGGGAGTAAATCTAAAAACGTCCACATGGAACAAAGTCTATATGCAAAAATTACCGGTGACGTACACATGATGGAGACCTAGTTTAAACGAGACCAAAAGCACATAGCGCTAATTACTTATTTCAAAGGTTAAAACAGCTGGATTTTCTGGTGGGGAGAGTCACCAAATAGAACAACAGGACATCCTGGAGATTCAGGGATTAACAGTGCAACATACTCATCAGAAACAATCAGGGCAGAATCCTCTACTACACCGACTCTGTGCTGCTCTGTCCATTTTGGACTTCCCACCCTACAGGGACAGCAGGTGGAAGCAGCATTTACACATAAAACATATATTACGACATTATCATTATTACAGGACATCTCCTGCCTAGAGGAGACAAAGCACCCACAGGCACTCTCCATAAAGTTTATTACTGCTCCCATAACGAGGTCACTCCAATACTCACACACGGGGAATACCCCCATTATGTTTACGGGTGAAAATAAACTAAAGGAAACAGCATTTTATGAAGCAGCCCGACATAACCACAAGTTCATTAGCAGCTTCTGACTTCTCTGTAAAACGTCAGAAAACAAATGGTCTGAAGGGACTGCAAAAATAAACCAAGACACAGAGAACTTTGTTTGCTTTGAATTTAAAAAGAAATGACAGAAAGGAGGGGGATGTTACTCCGACGTTAAAACGAAAATTCAAAATTGAATGTGGCTGCTGTGAGAGACTATTTTCAAGGGTTAAGTAGAGTTTTTTTTAAATCTTTGATGAAAGTAGTTTTTATGTTGATTGTGCTTAATACTAAGATCTGGTAAGATATAGAACCTCCCAGACAGAGATAACATAAGCTTGCGACTCTGATTAAGCCTAAAAAAACTGTGACGTAGCTGCGGCTGTCAGGGTGTGGCTGGATGGAGGAGAAAAAAACGGAGGGAAAAGTGCGAGAGGGGAAACGCTCAGGTTTATCTGAGGGACATCTTATGTTTGCTAGCAGTCAACAAGGTTTTAGAATTTCAGCTTCTTGGGCACCTCCCATGAAAAGATGTCACGGCCAAAGTGACCGTAAGCTGCTGTGCACTGGTAGATGGGCTTCCTCAGGTCCAGTTCCCTTAGAGAGAAATATAACATTATTTCTAATGTGTTGACAGTGAGGATTAACTGAACGTTCAGTTGTAAATGTTAGAAAATACAAAATTCAGTGCATTATGTCTGGTCAAAGGTTTTTTGCCTGTAAACTGAGATAATGGAAAGACTAAAAATAGCATCTGTAGACATCGCAGCTGTGGGGCATTTTTTCTAATAGTACGAATTTAGTTTTGTCTGTTGTTTTCAGCCATTTTAATAGTATTTTACATTTATTAAATTCTGTCAAAAGTTGGATTAACAGAGAGCTTGGGCAAAACCCTGACACAGCTCTGTTAATCAGCTTACACTGTACAGCATGGGCTGTTATCAGCGCCTTTAGGAGTTTTCTTTTGTCCAGCTAAGAACATCGTGGTAACTTACCGGATACCTCCACAGTGGTATCCACTAACATTTGAAAACTATGATTCAATCCAGTGGATGGATTGAAAGAGACTCATCTCACGTAAAATGACAGTTGATAAGATACGTACTTTTGCATGTGAAAAAAAGTTAATTACAGCATACCTCACAATTACTCCTGGTCGGAGGTCAAAGTTCTTTCTCACGATGTCCAGCAGCTCTTTTTCACTCTTCTGGGAGGTCCCGTAGTGGAAAATGGAGACAGAAAGGGGATGTGCAACACCAATAGCATAGGACACCTTAAAAAAAACAAAAACAAAACATCAACTTTCGGAGCACATTATGAATAGAAAGCTTGACACATGAGACATCAAATCACAATCAGATGAAGCACCAGATTTAACCTCGTCTTAAACAGCAGAACCTTCTGAATGTCAAAGAAAATAAAAAGAATACTCGTGGTCGTGTTCCTGACCCAATGTGCCTTTCCTATTCTTGGACACGGCAGGCTCCTCCACCGAGGACAGCTGAAGTCACACAGTCTTGGGTGAACTGAACTCCTTTCACTTCTCATTTTCATCAACATGAAGCGCAGGTCAGCTTTACCATGTTAAACGCTGACTGAACTTTTATCTTCTTCTGTACAAACTCCTCAAACCAACCAGCAGAATGCCACATTTGAAAGGCCTTTAAATACACTAAATGTAATCTCACCTGGACCAAAACGCGCCTGCAGAGTCCGGCTTTCACCAGAGATTTGGCCACCCAGCGGGCAGCGTAGGCTGCAGAGCGGTCAACCTTTGTGTAGTCCTTTCCAGAAAAGGCTCCACCTCCGTGGGCTCCCCAGCCCCCATAGGTGTCGACAATGATTTTACGGCCCGTTAGACCTGCATCACTCTGTGGGGAGGAGAAAACACTTTCAGGCCGGATTGAAACTATTTGTCTTCATTTAGACTGCAGAGTGGAAAAAGTATGTCAGTAATGTTCCTTTCTTTTTGGCCACAGTCTGGGCAGGACTGCGCCACGTGCTGGAAGGACGTACAGGCCTTCACCCTTTGCTCTCCCTCACCTGTGGGCCTCCGATGACGAAGCGGCCGCTTGGCTGCAGGTGGTAGATGGTGTCGTCGTCAAGATAGCCGCTGGGAACCACTGCTCTCACCACCTGCTCCTTCAGGCAGCGCCGCATCTCCTCCACGTGCACGCACTCGTCGTGCTGCACGGAGATCACGATGGTGTGGACGCGCAGAGGAACCACCGCGCCCCTGTCCCGCCTGTACTGGACAGTCACCTGAGAGAAGCAGACCGGTAAAAACACCGCAGTACCAGAAGGGACATTCGTAAAAAGCTGTGAGATCCATCGATAAACTTTAAATGTCTAATTGTTCGGAAAATATTACACACTGCACCCATATTTCTTCTTACAATGTCTGTGACAATGTAACTACCAAGTCAAAGCCTTCTGAACTGACCGTTTCATTTTTCTATCTTATCTCTTACATAAGTAGTTTGTGGCTCAAAGAATAAGAATAACAAGTTGCTGATCATTTTAAGGGGGATTCATTGTTCTAAGTTACAGCTGTGATCACCTCCTGTTCTGTTCTTTCTTTCAAATGAGCTGATTGATCACACTGTGCTGCACATCCTCTGCATGATTCAGTGATCATGTAACATTTTACAATGTTGAGCACCTTTGCATTGCGCTTTGCGTAATCAGCTCCAGGACCTCCAAGAGAGAAGAACATTGCTAGTGCTCTCTGTCTCTTTTGGAAGCTTTGGGCTTGTATTTCCAGTCAGTCTGCTTGTCAGGTGAATACCAAAGTATCTGTTACCCTCCACCACTTCTTAACCAAAGGTAGTTTTAGCATTTGATATATTCCTGATCATTCTTAGAGGCAGTCTTCATTTTGTTCTGACACCATGCCACAAAACGGTTGATCAGGTCCCTGATCTCTGCTCAGTCATAGTTTTAACAGCTGTAGAGTCATCTGAGTGTTTATGGACAGAGCAGTGCACAGTGTTTGAGATGTACAAAGAAAAGGGGTGAGAAATTAAATGTCCTGTGGTGCTGACTGCCTTTTCAGACACTAAAACCTTTGGTATATAAAACCTACTGGTCAGGTTGTCAAAACCCCAGGAGGCATTCACCTGTATATCCACAACTCCTCCCACAGTTCAGGCTAAATCTTACTTGGGCAAATCTGGATGTTTGAGCCCATATGTAGCTCATGTCTCAGATTGCTTTATTTAGCAGAAACTGAATGATGGTAAACACCTAAACAAGAAGCTGATGGACTCAAACCAATAGAACAGCTAGTGGCAGAACAATGCCACTAGATGGCAACATGTAAGGCAAGATAAAACCCCATTCAAGACTACTTTGGAATGAATAGTCATACTCTTATAGACATGTATGCATGTATTTAAGCTTTTAAAGCTTAAATACATGCTTGACAAAGGAATAACTGATTAACAAGTTTTTTTAATAAAGACTAACTTTGTCGAAGTGTAGATGGTGTTCATCAAACCTGAGTTTTGGAGTCAGGTCGGAGCCACGGCAGAGTCCCATCTCGACGTAGTTCAGCCATCTTGGCATTGAGCTTGTGTGCCAGGACGATAGTAAGAGGCATACACTCTTCAGTCTCATCCGTGGCATATCCAAACATCAGGCCCTGTGACAGGAGCAGTCCAGAATCATGAAGCATAAACAGGGGTCAAGTTAGAACCTCGGCATATCTGGTTTTATTGGTATGTGTGAGCAGGCAAAACACAGACCTGATCCCCTGCTCCCACATCCTCTTCTTTGCGGTCGAGGTGAACACCTTGAGCAATGTCATGAGACTGCTGCTCCAGGGCCACCAGCACGTTGCACGTCTTATAATCAAAACCTGCCAAGAACAACGGACAGTATTAGGAAAACACCAACACCTGAGCATGTTGACTGGAAAAACTTTTCTGAGCAAAGGTCAGTGTAGATTTGCCTCACTGTGATGTGAGATGAGAGAAAATAGCGTGGCTCTTCTGAGCATTCTTTATTCCAGAGTTTCTGCTATTTGTGCATTAATGCGGTTCTATTGATAAAGGCTCTTCACTGGAGGGGATGAAGTTTTAGTCATCTTATGGAAGCTTTTGCTCTAGACTTGGAGGACAATATCTCCTCGTATTGGATATTTTTTACTGTACATGTATAACCTGATTTTAAGATTGTATTGTTTAACCAATACATAACATAATTTTAGATATCTTACTCTTATTATATATACCTCAGATTACCCCAATCATCATGTCAAGGCCAGGGTATAGGAGACCACTCTGGCTACACCTGCATGTTTAGCTGGTTCCAATATTCACCGTTTTTCATTTCCAAAACACAGTTGCTTTTGTCGTGTAGTAGTTACTTGTATCTTAACATCTATGCCTCCTTTATTACATTTTGAAATGAACAGAAATGTGGTCAATCACAGTTGCTTTAAATAAACAAACAGACATGATCATATCAGTAGGATGGCTCCTGTTCTTCCTTCTGTTGCATTAGCCGGCAATATGAGATGGCAGATCATGTGGGGGACAGTATCTGTTTCAAATGAAAAGGTGAACCGTTTCCTGAGGGTGGACGCATAACAGTAACTGTCAGACCAATGAAGTTGAATTGAAGATAAATAAACCATACTCAAAAGTAATATCGAATCATTCGCTGGTCACTGTAGTCTGGCACGAGACAAACACCGGATTCACTTTCTCATTTTGTGTAGAGCGGAATCTTTTTCTTATTGTACTTTTGCGTTTCTGCCAGCCTAATGTTGACGTGGACACGTATACTTTCAACAAAGATTGGAGAGAGAGAGGAATCTGGTGTACGTGCCAGTGTATAAGTGGTTAAGGTAGTGAGCAGACTTGCCCTACTCCACATACCGCTGTAGCAGTTTTGCAGACAATGACATTTAGCCTGACTGAAGGCAAATGGCCAGAACGATTCAAATCCATCAGCTCCTGCTGTCCTTTTTCACATCAACCATGTTCAAATATGTTAAGCTTATAGTTTTTGGTCTTTGAGGTATAAATTACAGCTTGGGCTCCTTTCTTGTCTCATTCCTCTGCGTTTTTTTAATTGATTTTTTATTTTACGTCTGCCTGGTTTAAAATCAAAGCTGCCTGCCCTTATCATTGTACCTTTGGAGGAGTCATCATAGCCAATATCCTTGATTGTATCCCGAACAATCTTCTGATAGTCAACTTTGGCCGTGGAGGTGATCTCCCCAGCCAGCAGGATCATCCCCGTCTTAGCTACAGTCTCTGCAAAAAAAAAATAGCATTCAATGTAAGATACAAGTAGTAAAAGATCTGTGTTTAAGGAGTAATAACTTAAATAATAACTGTATAGCTTGTGTCACACTATGTACGGTTTGATCGTCTACATGAATAATATAAAACTGAGACAAAGGCTGTGCTGTTCAGTCAAAACTCTAAAGCAGAAGCACCAATTCATACACACAAACCATTAAAGGCTGGAAAAAAAAAACTTGAAAGCTTTTAGAGCTTTCATCATCTTCTGTATTCAGGACTAAAGCAAACGTGATTTCATTGAATCAGAAACCACTAAAACACACAAAGGGACTCTTCATTTTCAAGTGCAAGTTTAATGGTTCCATTTGGTTGAAGTGGGACCCCATTTCTCAGCAATAAAATGGAACATTGTATATGTAGTTTTTCTTCATAGAGGAACATGAATAATGGAGGTCTATGTTTTCATAGTGTGACTCAGTGGAGGACATCCTTTTCTTTTTTTTTTTTTGACAGAAAAACTTACCACATGCTACTTTGGCATCAGGGTCCTGTTTAAGATGTGCATCCAGCACAGCATCACTGATTTGGTCGCAAATCTTATCTGTACAATAAGATGAGAATTATTCAATGCACACTTAAACACAATCAATATAATTCAAAGTTCAACTTATGCAAGAACATTTTGGGGGATTATTTTACACACAGCACTGATAAACTGGTGTTTTTTTTTCCATGCAAGACAGAAAAGAGCACATTTGTGCAATATGAGCTCCTATGCAGTACAAATAATGCCACTATCAGAGGAGAGCATAACATTTTTGGAAAAACAACATTTTAAATAGGGCCATTGCTTCTAATATAAGAAGTGCCTCCTTTTGCACGATTAAGTAATTATTTTTCTTTTCAATTTAAAAACAAAAAAAACAAAAAAGCCCTCCCAGCCATGTAATGTGATTACTTAAAACCAAACACACAACGAATGGATTTTTTGTGTCGTGGCAATTGTCTGGATCGTCTCATTTCTACTTACAGAAAGCCCCTGAGGGCCCTTGATGCTCTCCTCTCTTTGCAATTCCTTTTAGTCATCAATTCAAAACAACCAAGAGCACTAAAAAGTCGCCTTGTGAACGTTCAAGATGGGTTTTGGATCGAAGAGATTTCATGCAATCTGCTGGTTACCTTAGCAACGAACTTCTTTCATTGGCTCTTTGTATTTGAAACTGTATTGTGTCCCTAAAGTTTACATTTGTTGTGGTTTGGCATAATACAATTACATTTTTTGTGAATTATCAGATGCAGTGCTAAGCTTATTACCTGTTAAATTAATACTGTAAAAGACTTGAAACTGCAGCATATTGGATATGAGGCTGTTAAGGATCTGCCATACAAAGGGAGAATGTCTGAGAAGGGGGTCAGCAATAGTTTTGCGTGTCACTTTGGTTTGCTGCAACAAACATAAGCACATGATATACCACAAACAGCGAACTGTCAAAGGACCCCAAAGACAGATAAGTGGACGTTTTAACAGAGATAATATTCGCAATCGCGACTGAAACACACTTCTTTGGTGTTGACAGCTACTTGTGACCGTTAGAGCACATGCTGGAGCTGTGTGGGATTGACAGGCACCAGCAGTCATCAGAGGGTTAGCTTCAGCTGCTAGCCGCGGAGCTGTTAGCATCCCACAGCGACACTCCCACTAAACTCCAGAAATTATTCCCATCATCTCCTGAACACGGAACGAATGGTTTTTCGATCAAATAAGAACGTTATATTTGACTTTATGTTTTTTAGAACAGTGAGAGCAGGCAGCTTTTAGCATCGGTAGTTTTGCCTTGTAAAAGTATAAATAAAGCCTGCACTGTTCAATTAGTTTTTCTAACATTCTTATGTTTTCTTACTTTATGGTCTCAAAAGAGCCTTGTCATATCCTATGCCGGATATATTCCGTCATTGGTTTGATGTTATTAGTTTGTAATTCACTAATTAAAGAGCGCGTGAGTTCATTTTCGTGCTTTGTTTATAAGCCAAACCTTAAGGCTAAATAATCTGTGGCAGCAGACAGGCTAACAAGCCACATGACCTTGTTTTAGAAGCTAATAAGATGCTAGCTCAATTAATGGAGTCTGGGATTCGCAGACAGGCGGTAACTTATTAAAACTTACCGGGATGTCCTTCACCGACTGACTCGGATGTAAAGAGGAAGCAGTCCTCATCATAAAGGGAGTCGTTATGGAAACCGTTCAGATGACCGTTCATTTTAGCCGCCACGCGATTAGCTAACAAGCTAGCAGATATAAAGCTTTTCAAAGACGGGCGCAGGTTTAAAGAAGCGCCTTCACCTGAGTTTACTGCTTACAGTTTACACGCAAACGCAGTGGCGCTGTCTTGCGAGTTTAAGTCAGCCGAGTGGAAGTCAGAGGAGCAGAGAGATGAATTTATTTCTCTGAACCACTTTACCATAATTTCGCCTGCAGCCAATAGCGGATGGGCGCAGACCATGTGGTGCTCAGGGGCGTGCTCCGGATAAAGCAAAACAAAACTATCCGAAGCGAGACGCTGAGCTCCATGATGGGGCAAGAAAACCTATTTAAATTAAGCATTTCTTCTCCTGACAGAATAAAATTAAGAAATGTTTATGTTTTCGATTTATATGTATGTATGTGAAATATTCCAGCATCTCTGGTAGTGCTGAGATGAAAGTATGTGAATAGAATGAGTGCAGAAGATATAAACTACAAGCAGGGAACTGATTATCGGCAGACATGAGTAAAAAGACATAAAAAACCCGTCTGTTATTTATCTGGATTATATTTGAAATGCCTCAGTACTATAGTATATATTTCTTGGGAAATCATATGGAAAGATAAATGGAGACAGTGATTTTAAGACACAAAAAGGTCAGTGTTTCATTCCCTTTGTAATATATTTTTAATATTGAAGAAGTTAAAACTATTTCCTCAAAAGTAAATAAATAATGTGTGTTCTGCTTTAGTTACTTTTATAGATATATTTAATTAAAGACCCAGCATATTCATGCTTGACCCCTGGAAGGATTCTGGCTTTTAAATCTGCTTGTAATCCAAAGTGTGATTATCTTGATTGCATACATCAGAGCAAGTATCTGTCCCCTTACTAAATCCTCTTTATCTAGAATGCGCGTGCTCTAAGATAATGTGTGACAATCTATCTATGTTGGTTGTCAGCAGAATGTTTCATGGACTTCATGGTGGATAATCCACTGAGAAATGTTTTCGTTATACCACTTCAAAAGCATACCCTGTGTAGCATGTAGCACATTTTTATATTTTGGCCTATTAAATTGATTTAGAGAATATCAGCTTTCAAGAAAATAATGAATAGCACAATATCCGCTTTGGACCACTCAACTATCTTCTATGTCAAGAGGATGGAGTTCCAATAAAGTCCACTGATTTGAAAGTCTAAACTCTGTGACTCGCACAAATATGCTCATGTGTCTGTTAATTGATTTTGACCCCCCACCACCGCTACCAAAATAAAATTAAAAAAGTTGGTTTACACATGTGTTTAATTTGTTCTCATTTTATTTGCACTTCTACCAGGTCCAACAATGCTTTCTCCTTAAGGCAAACATCAACGTTAGTATCCACTCACTGAGCTGTATGGAACAAGGGTTGTGTTCACAAAGCTGCTAAGAAGAATAAGAGCCTTGGTTTTGGATTACCATTAAACTTCACACAGTGACGTGTAAATTTAAAACCGAGTTGATTAAATGCTCAGTTGTTGGTCTGGGACACATAAGACTGATCTCATGAGCACAGACGACTCCTGCAGAACTAAAATCATCATGTCTAAAATGCCGATTCCACACATTTACATATAACTGGACACACACCGGCTTTCACAAAAACATCAACCTTCAGCTGTGGACTGTGATACCATCAATACTCGTCATTCAGAGTCCTTCTTGTGATCCGCGTTTGTTTACGTGGATCCATATTCCTATGGAAAACGACTATCGCTTTCATCACGGGTTCACTCAGACCTTGGTTTCACATTCAGTGTATTCACTTATTTACGTTGCAGCTTCCGAGTCTATGGAAGCACTGCAAGAGTCTGGTCACATTTTTGACTAAACATAAAGTACAGCTGTGCGTGAGATGGCAGACTGACAGACGGGGAACTGTAGGGCTACGCATGTAGAATGTTCGCAAACTACATTACAGTCACAACGTGTGCTGCGTCGCTGAGCACGGTGACAGAGTGGATCACAACACCCTGAACGCATGGATGTTGCCCTTGTTCTCCCTGGACGGAATCAAATGTTAACATTTTTTGTTCTTTCTCGTGTCTGTTTCATCTTGCTTCCCTATGTATTTGAGCCCTGTTGGGCTAACCTGAGCTGGGCTGTGTTCGCCTAAGATGGCTACGATCAGGGCCTCCGGGGCAGAAACGCCGCTACCCGGAGACACGGGGCTGCGGGGGCTGAGGGGGCTGATGGGAGAGGGCAGGGCGTCCGGCGAGACAAGGCGCTCCTTTTTAGCTATAGAGGAGGGAGAGCGGCTTTGTGAGTGGCAATCTTTGGAGCGAGGGCTGAGGCCGAGGCCCTGTAGAGAGGGCAGCGGGTTGGAGGAGAGCGCTGGAACGGCGGGGCTGCGGCTGCGACGATTCCGATGGTGGTATTTGCCGTTTTTAGGGCTCGGACTGCGGGAGTTTGGAGCCAGCAGAACCAGAGTGCTATCGTCCTCTGAGCTGACGTCAGAGTTGTCAGAGCGACACACTGTAGGGCTGTGAGCTGGCACCTTGATCTGTTAGAGAGGATTACAGCAGAAAGTTGTACGGCCGCATCACAGGAATCCCTCAGGACAGGAAAATACTGTATGTGCATCCGTGCCTGGTTTTTGGAACAGAGCTGTTTCCTTTTTCTTCTTTTGGGCTTGTCTTTTGAAAATTGTGATAGAAGAGGAAGTAGATGATAAATAATAAATAATAAATCTCAACAGTATTTAAACTGAGAGAAAAATACTCATATATTTTAACTATCTCCAGTTGCTTCTAGGGTGCTCCTGTATTCAAATATATTCATGATGAACCATGGCCTTTCTTTATGATGAAATTAGCTCCTTTAGACACATTTAATCCAAAAGCAGTCTTTTTGAAAATTGTGTCACGTTGTCTTTGGAAAACTACAATATCAGAAACTGATTAGAAAATAACTTAATCTTATTCCCATGCATTACTGCCCTCTAGCTTACATTGTATTTAAAGATAAGATTTGAAAAACTAATTGTCAAAAATATGAAAATACAAATACTTTTTTCTGTCTCACTCAAAGTGAGAGAGAAGACCAAACAAACCCAAATTCTTAGATTTTAGGGGCTAAAATTAGTCAGTTTGCTTTGAAACAAAATTAAAATGGCTCACAGTTCATTGCTTTATAGTTTAATATGCTCAGCATTCAAAAGCATGTATTCAGTATCTGAATACATCTTCCGCTCTGGACAGCGTTACCTGAATTGGCGACGACAGCCCGACGATGCTATTCAAATTATTACTGTAGTAACCCAGGATGTATTCGCAATCATCTCTTGGCAAATCCTCCTCTGAAAAGGTCACCTGGGGAGAAGAGTCGAAGAAGTCAAATAAACCACGAACTCAGCTGCGGCTCAAGATATTTCCCTGCCTCTGAGCGCAGGACGCACCTGTATGGCGTGCTCTCCCTTGGCCCACACATACGCCTGGTAGTCTTTGTGATGTCTGAATCCCACCTGTTCGGAGAGGAACAGCAACCCGTTGACGACACTTTGGATAAAAAAAGACTGCCGGCATCCATCTGAGGAGTTACTGTAACAGCCACCTTGTATATGGCCACCCAGTCCCACGAACTGCGCTGATACGTGGACACGACGGTGAATCGAACCGTCGCGTCAGACACTTTGGACCACTCCTTGTTTACCTGCAGCTCCACCAGAGGCATCTCGACCCTGAACGGAAACTAGAGGCAAGTCACAGTTAACAAGAACACAGCCGGGCCCGGTCGTTCAGAAGTGATAACGCGATCTCATCTCACATGCAGTGAAAACAGTGCAGAAACAGGCTTGTGGTCACTGATTGTGAAGCCCATGTGGCTTCTGTACATATGTTGTGTCACTTTAGTTGCCCCACCCAACCATGAGGTTAGACCCCGCTGCAGTGCTGCATTGTGGGTAGGTACTGGGGAACCGGTGCGGCGATGGCGCCAGAGGATGCGGTCCGTCCAGGCAGGTTTCCTCTTCTTGGCACTGACAGGAAACAAAGGAAAAAGCAGATGCAGGGGGAAGGCAGTCAGAACCCACGGAAAACGTGGGAGCTCGTTGAATTCACTGAAGCGTGACGGCGGGACAGGGGTGACTTGGCAAACCTGGTGTCGTAGGTGTGGGTGCCCACATCAAACTTGTACGTCGGTGGGAAGTTGAGCTGTCCCTCGATGAAGCCTTCCAGAATGGATTCTGTGGTTTTAGCCATGTTGAGCTGTTCAGTACACAAATAAGAGGATAAACAGAGCAAGCCACACCTTTTCCCCTGTGCTGCAGCGCCCCCTGGTGGTTAAGGCCACCAGACAAACTCAAAGGTAGTGTGAAAGCCTTCCAGAAATATCCATCTTTGTCTGTTTTATGATGTTTAAGGTACCTCACCTGATCTCGCTCCCACAGAAGAGGCAGCTTATTGCTGTCAATGGCACACTTCACCACGTGAATGTCATAGTCTTCAATCCGGAAATTTAAATCCCCGAACCAAAACACAACACTGTGGACACAGCAGATAGGCCTGTCATTTACTCCAGAAAGAAATACAACCTGAATCTTCTTCATATTGTGGGATATTGTGTTATTTACATCCACAACACAGTCTTTATGTGACTTGATGTTCCAGATGTATAAAAAAACAGTAATACTGTCTTTTCGACATAATATGCTCTCTTGAAATTTGATTATCTCAACCAAGTGAAGCAGTTATAGCAGCTATAACATATTTAAATAAATAAAAATGTCTTCATTTAAAATAGACAAATATGGATGCCATGTATGGACTTACAGTAACCAATGCCAAGAATTTAAGCAAGAACTCCACAGTACGGCATGCAGTTATGTTTGTCAGTTATAATGTATGACAACAACATAGAAAACTGAGCTAGTATTAAAATTAGGGGTAAAGCTCCTGAGAAGAGTGACATGTGCAATTGGATGGATCAAAGATCAGTGACTGAAAAGAAAATTCTCTCAAGATGGAAATACTCACCCCATGAAAAGACTGCAATTTTTCAGCACAAAATAAATAAATAATGGCACAATTCTCAGACTTCCTTTCTTCCTCTATTAGAAAGTAAAAATATAAAAGCTGCATCTGAACAATTAGAAAAAAGACTGAAGGAGAATAGCTCGCTTGAAAACGTTGCCAGGTTGGAAGTAACCTGATCCTACAACCGTACAACGTTTCCCAAGCACAAAAGCTTTGGAACGACAAGACGGCGGGGAAGGAAAACAATTACTGTGTGAGAGACTGATAAGGTCATGCTTCTGCATTTTGGGTTAGTGTTTTGTTGAACAAGTAATGACTTAATATAACACGCCAAGAGCGGCTGTTGTTTTCCAGCTGGGAGGACCAGTTTATGATGGGACTATTACAATAATTGTGCTCTGCTTTCAGGATGTATAAAGCTGAATATTGAATGTTAATCGTTATGACTGACTGAATTGAGGCGAGCACTTCTTCATAGACGTGAGGCCCTCATTTAGTTTTATGGTCTGTGAAGAATGAAACCACCCACTCATGGTCCAGTACACCGGTAGTAGTCCCCCCCTCGAACTGCTGCTGCTGAAGGATGCTCTCAAAGTCCTCCATCCGCTGCTCCAGGTTTCTCATGTGAGCCGGCAGGTGACAGTTGAGGAAGCACACCGAGTGGCCGAACACAGTCATCCGGGCACTAACACCCCCTTTGTTCCCCTGTGAGAGACAGAAAGGGAGAAAGCCATTTACAAATTAACAATGTGACGAATAAATCCCTAACGTGGAGTCCTCCCGACGAAGTGAGAGGCCGCGAGCGGCGTGTTATCCTCCGTCCGTTAGCCGCCAAAGCCCCAGAACCGGAGCGCCAGACAGCCCGCTGCTGCACTGACCTCAAAGAGAAGGAGACTGCACCAGCGGCAGCCAGGGGGTGATGCTGACATCAACAGGCACGGGAAGGTCACAGACTGACATATGCACCCACGCGTGCGCTCCCCGCCCCTCTAAACCTCCACCGACCCCTCACAAATCTGCCACATCCTAATTCCCGGCCGGCTTCGATGCGTCGCACGTACCCAATATCCCCCAAGTCCCGTGCGTGTGCTCTGTGTCTGCACGCCTCTGAGGAATGGAAGATGGTAATATTTAGAAAAAACCAGCAGCAGCACACCCTGCATTCGCTGCGAGGCCACCTGAATGGACGAGAACAGGCGGAGAAAGCAACATTTCAGGTAAACGACAGTGTGCAACGGCACAAACTGATAGGAACAAGATATACTGACCAAAACATATCCAAAAGGACTGAGTGTGTCCATGCAAAGCTCACTCCACTGGTCAGAAAAAAGAACATCCTTTAGTCTCTTGTTTATCATGGAGTTTACCTCCTGGAGTCTGGATGGTGGCAGGATGGAGAAGGATATAACTAACATATAACAGAACTTTGATTTAAAAAAAAAAAAAAAGGATAATGACAGGGAGTGTGTGGGGGATCACAGATGACTGAGTGGGCACTCACGGCTGTCTCTCTGGCACCGCTGAGCCAGGCAGAAAATACTTGCTTACCCGATGATGAACATGTCAGTGTTCCCATCTGAAACATTTGGTCCAAACAGAGAGGTGATGTCATCTGGTGGGACAGCTGATCCCACGTTCCATGTGACGATGCACACCCTTACATAGCGGGAAAAGGACAGAGTGAGTGCTGCGGTAGGTTTATGGTCCATAGAACAGGTTGAACGCGGACATAATCCACAGAGTAATCCTCAGAGAAAAACGCTCCCATCAGGGTTTATGTACATGGAAAAAAAGATAAGCACAATTAAGTACCTCGGTGCACCTACTGATGATTAAGTACTGTGTGTGCTCCTGTGCGCATTCATGTGTGTGTGCAGAGGTCATATGGGAGAGTATGTGCCGACTGAAATAGAAACTGATAGAGTAAACTATTATTCAAAGTTGCACTGTTGCGAGAGAAACAGCTAATTAAGCTCACACTTAACCTTCAGTTCAATTCCAAACAATTCACTTGATCTTTCTTAATTGAATACTTTATAATATGAAAAATTTCCATCAGCTGTCTAAAGTTATACAAAAAAACATGAAATATTTAGAAAGGTAATGATCCATGATGCATTAGTAGCTCATTGAGCACGTAAATCTAAGAAAACCTTGAACTGGGTAGTGGCTGAACTATTTGGTTTGATCTTACTGTGAGTTTACAACTGATCGTTTATCAAAGTCTCATTCTGTATCTCGTCTGCAGTCATTTGTTTCTATTAATCTCAAGAGTTTGTCATTATAAAAATAGTTTCCGATCATTAAAACGAAACTTGAAATCTGTCCTAAATGCTGTTTTGCACTTAGCTGTATTGTTTTTTCTGTGCTAATGTCAGTTCTAATCATGTGCTGAATACTCAGGTCTGCCACTAAAGGACTATGTGATCCTAATAATAGATGCGGCATATTAACATTTTACTTCCAAATTTTAGTATTCCGCTTGATCGTTTACTTCGTTCAGAGTTCTGTTACCTGCTAACTACATTTTTACCAGGTCAAGAAAATGAAATCTGGTAATATTTTTGGGATCCCATAAATATCTTTTTGAGCGGTGAGACCGGCAGAAGCTGCTCTTTCTGAAAACCACCCGACATGTTTTATTGATCATATAAACACACTTCCAAGACTTTAAACAGCCGGCTTTGTTTATGAGTGTGGAGCACAACAAAAGTGCTTTTGGGAAGTCTGCCAACGAAATGTGACCTCATCACTCTGTCAGGTTGATAAAGCTCTTAGAAACATTTGCTGCTGTGATTCATGTGATTCGATCAGTGGATGTGACTAAGCCTACGGGATATAAAAAAGATTTTGAGCAAAGAGTTATCTTTGTCCCACCTGAAGTCTTTGTTCTCTTCTCCTGGCCTGTCGGACTTGGCCTGGTTCGGCGATGAGCCCCCAGGCGAGGGGGTCCTCTGCGTCTGCGGACTGAGGCTGGATTTGGGGCTGAGGCTGGATTTGGGGCTGAGGCTGGATTTGGGGCTGAGGCTGGGGGAGAGGCTGGGGTTTGTCTTGGGCGGAGGCAGGTTGGGAGTGGGGTTCAGGTAAGACTGAGGACTGTGGGGGCTCTGGGGACTGTGGAGAGAGAACGAGGACTCGGACGGAGCATGCGGCAGGACGTTTGCGCTCTGGGGCCCCGGAATGCAAACGGAGGCCAAATCCTTTTCCTTTGACGGCTCCACTGAGATTCTGGCGGGCTTCAGAGCAGCTTTGGTTCCGAGAGCAGTCGGTCTGGGCCGGCATATGCTCCCCAGCGTCGTTGGGGCAGACGAGGACTTTGCCTGGCTAAACTGCATTTGGTCTGTCACTTTTAGAGGTGCTTGCACTGCATTGGATGCCTGCTGCCTTTTGAAGGCGTCCGTTGGGACGATGAGAGGTGGCTCTGGAACGGTCAGCTGCGGTGTCAAAGGAGGGCTGGCTCCGACCGACCCACAGGATCCAGGCTGCATGTTGGAACCACCGTGATATGGGCTGGTATCCTTATGCGGAGGGAGATCCATCAGCCTGCAAATGTATGTGGATAACTGTAACACAGCATTCGCCTTAATAATAAACAGGATAACGCAGCTTGCAGAGGGCATGAAACACAACATCAATCATTAAGTCCTCAGTGTGCACCAGAAAAGAGAAAAAGATGCACCTATGGTGGGTTGATGATAAAAGAGCCCATCACGTTAAATTAAGTACCTGTCTCCATCAAGCCCGCCTGGCGTTATTGCTGATACCTCAAAGGCAACTGGGCCGAAACTAACTTTAGGCTTCCATCCTGAATACATTAACGTTGCCGAGCAACGCCAATGTTCCCAGTAGTGTTTATTTTTTGTTGTTTTTTTACGAAACAAACAATCAAAAAAGGCCATCTGAAAAGGAAAATGAGCGTAGCAGAAACGAGGGGGTGCATGGAGATGGGCCGCTCATAACGGAGCACATCAGACAATGTCAACAGATACTGTAGGTCACAAAGAGGAGGATGCCTCAGTTAGAGAACAGGAGCCTACCTCCATTTTGCTTAGGTGCCCTCCAACACAGAAATCATACACCTCTCTGTTAATAATTTAAATATGCTAATGAGGATCTCTCATTAACAGAGAACTGACCACAGTGGTCACAGAACTGTGTGTGAGGGAGGTTTGCACTGGATCCACTTTGAAAGTGAAACTTTCACATCATAAAACATAGCTCAGGTGGGCCCTTTTTTTTTTTTATTCTAAGTCACGAGCCTGCAAGTCGGAGAGACAGAATCTGTCCACAAATGTAAATGCACGGACTCAGTAACCGCACAAACAGATGGAATAAACAGCCTCAGTGCCTGGAAACACGACTTACCTTTAGAGTGTGTGTGTTTTTTCTTTTCTTTTTATCCAAGGTGAACCCCAAGGGTGATCTCACACCCTAGCGGACAATGTCACTAGTTTCTTTCCCCCCTCCACCACCATCACCACCTCCTGATCATACGTCAATCAGAGCGGTCAGACTGCCATGTCCGGCACCTGACCGGTTCCCGGAGCGGACGGAGGGGACGCGTCGGGGAGAGGTGTCCGCGGACGTCTGGTCACGGAGCTGAGCGCGCGGCCAGCCGGGCGGTCAGGACGAAAAAACGCGCACGCGTCGCGTGCTCGGACCCCAGCGCGTGGACGTCTGTGCTCCGGCCGATCCGCGGACGGTGCCTCATGTCGAAAACAGCCGTGCACTTTTTCCGGCCAGCATCCCCTCACGCACCGACCCGACACCTCTCCATCTCCCTCCCTCCCTCCCTCCCTCCCTCTCCGGGTGGAACATGAACGGTTGGGGGCGGGCACAGCGGCGTGATGGACGTTCCAAAATTCAGCTGCCAAAGTCCAACCAGCCGGGAATAACAGTGCATCTGTCCAATGAGTGACGCATTCAGAAGACACTGTTCACCTCACCTAAGATAGAGTTCATCATCATGTCAGCAGCCTGTAAAATCTAGGTTTGGTCAGGTTCATCCATTTGAGAAGCTACAATTTTGTATTTTTTTGCCTTGATCACCGTATAGCAACAAAACCAGGATCGAAATCAAATATAAAACTGTGACTAATGAACATCACACAGTACTGAGGTATTGTCCAGATGAACAGAATTTAATCTGCTCTGTTATTAAAGATAAATTATTGGTATAATTGTTAAAGGCACACGAGTTAACTATACTAAAATGTTCATGACTCTATATGACAAGATGTACAGTCATAGACAGGAGCAAATGGACATCTTCTACTCAAGTAGAAGTATAATTAACATAACTGTTTATATTACATGAAAAAAGGAATTGAATGAAAAGTCTAACTGAATATGAAAAATGACACTTGTATGACCAAGGAATTCATAGGTATAAAGTTGAAATACTGGTAGCTGACTCTGACTGGAACTTAATCTATTATTGATGAAACTGCTGTGTGTGAGTGGTTGGCTACAGTTTTATCTGCTTACAGTTATTTAAGGGCTTATAAGAAGGGACAAAGACATAATACAGTCGTAACTGATACTTTTTCACCCTCTGAAATATTTTATCATTTATAAATTTACTGGAATTAAACAATGTGTGATGTTCTGAGGTAAAACAGATGAATAAAAGTCCCCGTTTGGTGGTGCCGCTGTCAGTTGGAAGGTCTAAAATGTGACTCCCAGTGCAACAATGCTTGGGGTTCAGAGGCCAACTATTTGTTTGATCTCATTCTGTCTGTGGTGCTTCAAAACATTTTATATGTTAAGGCTTTTAATTACTTAATCTTAAAAAAATTGTTACTGACATCCACAAGGAGAAAGCCCAGCATCTGGATTACCATTGAATGGTCAAATAAAGAAATACTTTATGAAATAAACATGGGATCTATCAAACAGTCTATCAGAAAACAATAGATGCAATAATCCCCACTTTTACTCTTTTGGTCAAAAGGTTTTTCACAAACTTTCTGTCATAAAACTTTGGATGTCTTTTGGGTCATTGAATTATATTTTCTGTGTGTGTCAAAATGGGACAAAATTGTATTCTTTCATCCAAATAAGGGCAAGAACACTGAACTTTAAGCCCTTTAACTGTCCTACATCTGCACAGCACTAAGCCATTCATAAGAAACTTCTTCTGGAGTTTCAAGTGAACCACAAAGACTTCCTAAACATTTCAACAGATAATGATTTTTCAGTGACAAGTTGAAGCTGAAGAACAACAGCATGTTTAACCAAATGGATATTTATTGAATGGACCATTAAATACTCACATTCTCAGGCCATGGAGAGCATCATCATAAAGGACGAGCTCAGATTGACTGTGGGATTAATGCAGATGTGTAATCACAGTGGAATGTGCTGCTCCGAAGCACCAGCTGTCCAGTGAAAACACACGGACACACATAAGTCCCCGTTACTCACAAACTAATACAAACGTTATCCATAAATCACTGTGCAGTGCGTTTACATTCATAAATCAAAGCAATAGCAGTTAATGTTTAGTCGAATAATTGCTGCGTAATGTCTTTTTGACATTGAAATGGGGCATTTTTGAAAATCGGTTGTTAAGCATGAAGTGGATGCCAACTCCTGAAAGCTGATTCTGAGTTCATGGTCGCTTTTTGGTTTTGACCAGCCCTTTTTCCACCAGGCAGCGGTAGAACTCCTGGATGTACGTGTACACACATTTCCAGTCGGGCTCCTTCATCCGGACCAGGTCATCGGCGTCCAGCAGCGGGGGGCAGCCGGCCAGCCTCCTGCGGACAGGATGTTGATCCAGACTTACCAGTTTGCAAACAGTGACAAGCAGAAAAGCCGGAAAGTGAAGAGACCTCGCTGTTTTTTTTTTATTTTTTATATAAGGATCGAGGAGGACTCACTCTGCAGTGCTGAAAGCCAACTCGAAATTGTCCCTGGGTTTGTTGGGGTTGAGGATGGAATATTCAAATGCATCGGGGAAGAATCTGTGCACCAAGGCGCAGAAGGCTATGCCATCTTTCCAACTGGAGGAGAAGTTCTGGATGTTCACCCCCTATATCATAGCAGAGAGGAATAGTTTGGGCATAAGGGAAGAAGCTATGTAAAGCTTAAAAGGGCTATAAATCACAGGCAAAGCAAGTCGGGGGATGTTTACCTCATATGGCTCTGTTTTGGCCCGGCACCAGTCTAGAAGCATCTGTTTGACATTTTTAGCATTGGGTGCTGCAGCCGGAGGACATTTCTGGGCTAAAGCTGCGGCGGGATTGGCCTTGCTGAGGAGAGAAGACACAAACAAAGCAGAGGAGATAGAAATGATGGGCCTTTTTCTGTTTTTTTTAAAAGAGTCGTTGGCTGTGGATGGACCTCCGGAAACATTTTTGTGTTGTGGCGTGGACATTTTGTGAAAAGCGTCTTGTCACAGTAGATATTGCAAAGCACATTAAACTGCATACTATGTGACTGACCTGCCTGCTGTCCTGTTGGGCGGAGTGGAGGACGATGGGGCCGACTGGCCTGCCGGCTCTGAGAATATACAAATGGTTCAAATTCAGGAAGTAAAACAAATGAGACAGAGGTGTCAGGGAGGACATGGGGCTCACTGTTAGCTGACGGTTGCAGGGTCATGGACGCTCTCCCCACGCCGGCGGCTCCACCTGCTGCTCCTGCTTTGGTCAGGCCCTGCTGCCGGAGGTCCTGCTGCCTGCAGCCTCGCTCCTGTTCCCGTTTCTCTGGCAGACAGCCACACAGGAGCGCGACTCAGTGCAAATGCAGCCGTGTAATGTCTGTGTCCTCGGGTTCTTTACGTCAGTCAGCTACGCCGTTACCTCTCTTCCTCTTGAGGAGATCTCTCAGAGCAGCCCGGATCATCCGCCTCTCTTCGAAATCGGTCGTGCTGTCCAGCTAAATGCAATCAAACAGTTTGATAAATGGAGATTTTTGTTTTGATACTGAAATTGTTTGTGGATGTGAGTCAGAGAAGAGACTTTGGGGCATCATAATTCATGACTCAGATCAGAGTTTGTCAGCATCAAACCGAGCAGCTAAGGATGATTGCTCTAAATTTAAATAAAGGTAGCACAAAAATGGCTCACCATCTTGTTGAGAACCTCTTCATCCTCAACAGCAGCCAGTTTTTCCCTAGTCAGAGATGCCGGTCCGCCATCAGTCTTTGGCTCCATGTCGGATGAGTTCATTTGGCTGAAAAAGTTCAAAATCAGCTGTCACGACAAATTTTGAAAGTGCTTCCTCAGGAATCATGTCCAGGAAAAAAAATTCTGGCATTGAAAAGCAAAGTTCATCATTTTTAAAGAAGTTTTTAAAAAAAAGTTTTTTTGTAAATATGATCTACTTGTACACTGCTGAGGGACTTATATTAAAACATCTGTGAGTCTCCACATATGCAAACCGAACAGCCGTACAAAGAAAAGTTTGTCCCACTGAAATACCCCCTCAGCGGATCTCTGCAACTGGCTCACAGCAGCACAGAAGAGGGAACGGGCACGTACAAATATAGTAATGTGATGGAAGGAGACCAATACGAAAAGAATCAGATAACAGAGCGAAACCATGTGCTGAGACTCTGAGAAAATATCTTGTGCCTGATGTCACAAAATAGAGGGGGAAAAAAGTAAGAGATCCCGACGTGTGAAGAAAAAAAGTGAAATTTGGGCTGGGGATGGGTTGTGGGACTCACCTGTTATCAGGATGAAAGCTGGTGTGTCCTGTGGCAGTTCTTTTGGGTTCAGCTCAGTTGGGTCCTCTGGTCCTTCTTCCTTTAAGCTGTTGTGTGAGGAGAGCTGGGAGAGCTCAGCCCTGACGCCTCTCTCCACATCCCTACTCCATAAGGATGCATGTTTGGAGAGAGAGTGGGGATTGCGTACATGAACCACCCAAAATAGGATAAAGGAGGAGGACAGAGTCCATCCATCTCTGTCACCCTCAGCTAAGACCCCCACGGTCAAGTCACTGAATCCTGGACGATGTCCGAGTGGGTTCCCTCTGTTAACTCTCTTTTTTGTTAGAACAAATATAAGTCAATCGACTCAATCGACTCTTACTTGCCCGTTACTATGTAACGGGCAAGTGAACAGGGTGGGAAATAAAAGGGTTAACGGTGGCAAAAAGTGAGGAGCACTGCCTTATTCAGGCAAAAAGGCTGAGCCGTGTTTACAGAAGCAGAGGAAGTAGCTCTGTTAGGTCGAACAGCACGTATGAGCACACGCATCTGCGAGGCAAGGGCCACTAAAGTACTGGCAAATCAAGCTGGGATTACTGTGTACTTAAAATTAAAGCACAGAAGAAAAAAAAAAAGTGGCTCCAAAAAGTCTGAATGCAGGCAAACAGCGTCGCCCGGTGGATGAAATGCACAACTGCCTCCAGATCTTCTCCAGCGTGTGGGAACGTGCCTAGTCTCAGACAGCTTGACCTGACAGCTGGAAAAGTACAACTCATCCCAGACACATTAGCTGTCTGCTCTGGCCAACACGTGCAAAGCACCAGAGCCCTCAAAGGAAAGCAAAAATCAAGTCAGCCACCATCAGCTACCACATTTTGTGTCATTTAGCTTCTGTGAGATATGACAGGCACATCTTGAACTGGAAAAATGTTTCAATGTTTCTCCACTGACTTTGTTTGCAATACTTTAACATTACAGAAGCTCAAGGAGGTATTTTTTTAAAATATTTTTTATGACAGTGAACAGTTGTTTTTGGTATGAGAGGCTGGGACAACAGGGAGGCCACTTTGGAAGTGTCTTCCTGTTGTCTCAGAAATAATTTGGGCTTTCAGTGCACTGTATGAATGGTAGCAAATGTGTTAAACACTTTTTGCATTCCTAAACATAAATGGCAGCCTCCATCTGATCTCCAGGCTACTCATTATGAGCCCTGAACTGTTTAGAAATGATAGGAAAATCTAGCGTGACTACTACTGAAGATGAGATTCTCCGATGGAGTAGTGAACCCATCATCTTATAAATATTTAGCCAAATAACCTTATGTGTTATGAGTTGTTCCAGATTGATGATTTCCAAATCTTCCACTGTCCCTAACCTAACTTTCAACAAGTAATATGTTTGGTTTGCACTTTTTCAAAAGACTGTCTCCTCAGTTTGATGTTTTCTGTGTTCTACACATCATCCTAGTTTTTCTTTTTTTTTTTTAAATGCCGTCAGAAATGTAACAATGTTAAATGGAAAGTTTTGTTTTGGTCTTGGCAACTCCAAAATCAACTTGTTCCTAACAGGAAACATTATTTGATTTACACATTTCTAATGTTTGTGCCCTAATTCCTTATCTGAAAGAAGTCTTAAGACTTTGAGATAAGATAGTGCTCATTCACAAAATGGTGCAAAACAGGCAATTTTTTTTTTTTTTAATCACACAAATATGGGACATTAAGTGCTGAATTTACTCTAAATATCCACACAGCGTAAAGAACAAATCTTAAGCAGTTATTAGGTGTTTTTAGTTTTTATTTGTGGTTCCAGTCTATTTATTTAAAAAACAAGAGCAAATGATATTTTAATATAATATTTTCATATTATCCATAAAATTGCCCCAAAACAGAAGCATCTGTAGTTTTCAAATTATTATCTAGTAAATTCTAAACGCATCTCTCTCATCTGCAATATGTCCAAATAAGGCATGAGGCAAATGCTTGATTCTTGAACCTGTATACTTAAAGCTAGCCATATGGAGTTCAAAATACATAAATATAATAAAATAACTATTTACATCAAATGAGCTTTGCAAACATTCAAAATCATATGTACAAAGAAACCGTACACTCTGAAGGCAGCATCTCTGTACCCTGTGCAACAGCCGACTCATAACTTAGTCAGCATGGTATCATCAGAACAAACAGCTCAACCGTCATCTCTGACGTTTAAAAAAAAAAAAAAAAAGGACTCCGAAATGTTCTAAATGTCTCTTTTTCATATTATCAAGAGATCTGACTTTTCTACAGAAGAAGAAACTAAAATCACTGTTATGCAGCATTATTACACTCCTAATAGCCTTTGACCAGCTGCTTGATCTCAGTCTAAAAGTTAACAATGACTGACCACGAGTGCTGTTAAACAGTTGAGGTATTTAAAGTTAAACCAGTGGGATAATGGGACAAACATAACCAACAAAATCATTTAAACAACTTTTTATCTGTGACTATTTTCAGCGGCTTTAAGGGAAAAAATATATATTAGACAAATCAATTCTCATTATTGATTCAAAAATATGATCAAGACCAATGGCACCCTTGAAATGAAAATGTAGTGTTTCCTATGGCAAAATACGGGGGGAAAGCATAAGGTCTAAAAAGAAGAAAAAAACTAAACAAACCCAAAACAATCCGTATAGCTTTGTCTTTGTGTGGAGAGTTGAAACCATCAGGCAGTGCTCCAAATGTGCCACCACAGCCAGAACCTGTATGACAGCGTGAGAATAAGCTCTGAAAAGTCAATACAAGGCTCATCAAACATTATCTAGGGCGCATTGTTGTTGTAGCCTTGTTTTAATGCCTTCAGCAGCGGCAGCATGCAGCCTTCTGCCTCGCCTTTTCTAAGAAAGGGAGAGCTTCAGGAGAGACTAATCCTGTCAAATATTACACACACAAGTAGATGCAAGACACTCGAGGACCAAAAAAATATATATAGCTTTTAAAAGCCAGAGACTTCGAAGGCCTTTAGGAAACTTATGGTCTTCCACATGATAAAGAAGAGGCTTTCTGAATAGTGAAAGACAGCACTGCTGGTGTTTACATGCACAGCAATATTCAGACACAGTGTCGGGAGACAGATAAGGACAAAGGAGAGGTGCGTGGGTAAAGCCCGGTTCAGTTGAGCACAGACATCATTGTGCCAAAAGAGGAGCTCATCTGGGTTATTAAGAGAACTATTCTTTTCATCATGTAAATAGGAAGATGAAGTCTATTTTTTGGGGAAGAAACAGATGTAAGCATCACAGAGTATTCCTTATTTGGAATATAATCAATAGTCAGAATATTGCTCTACATGTAAACATGGCTGATGTCCAGCAGAAGTCTTTGAAAAAAAAAAAAAAGAAGAAAAGAACTTTACAACTTTTCAAACATGCTTGAAGGCGAAGGATTAAGAGGAGCCTTTAAAAGAAAGCTCAATGTTCTTTTCCCTCATATCTTCCCCGGGGAATAACGGCTAAAGTTGATTGACACTCCTTAGAGATCTTGTGGAACTAATTATAAAAGGTACGCTGGAAGGGAAGGAGTGTTCTTATGCAGGAGATGGAAATAATTGACCTAAATCTAAAGAGACGGGTTTTTCAGATTGACATGGGAACTAAATGTAGGTCTTTAGTGGGAGGTCACCCCAAAGTTCATAGTGCAGAACGCAGAGGACGTGCCTCTAATCAAAAATGTGCTTCAGTAGAGAAGAGGCGTCTCATTAAACAGAAAAAATAAAATAAAAAATGACGTGAGCGTTGCCCATCTTTGGAAGCTTCAGCCCTACAGCATCAGCCTCCCACTTTACAGATCGTCAAAAAAGCTGCCAAAAACCCAGTCCCTTACCATAATGGGGCCGGGAGATTATCAGGTAACAGTACCGTAAATATGTCTTCTTGATACAAATTGTGCCAGCTAATTTTGAGGATGGGGTTCTTTCTACGCACCACCATCATTTGAACTGCAATAGGCAATATGTCCACAACAGCCACCCAAAACACTGGCTACAGCCCTCTGGGATCAAGAACATTTTCACAGTGGAGTAGAGTGAAGACAGAGCCAGTACCTCAAAACCTCGTGAGGTATCAAACAGTTTAGTGTGCTCATGCATGCATATACCGCTAGAGGCTATATAGGAGTGGTTTACAGGGAAACAATTGATTTCACCCATCACAATGAAACATGAAGGCAACCCTTTTTCTTTTTTTTTTTTGCAGACTCCAGTTCTGTGTGACCAGAAGATATTGGCACAGTGAGGACTACTTATGGTTACAGTCCTGTTTGTCTTCACCTCTTGATCACTCAAAAGGAAGACAACACAACTTACAGTGTATGCAGTTGTTCTTTTTTTTTCTATTTTAATTTTGCCATCGTACATTCATCTCAGTCCATCTTGTCCTGTTTCCTCTCCTCTCTCTGCTGATGATTCGTGCTTTCGGACGCCCCGGCTCTTACTGGGTCCTCTCCATCTGCGCTGTGAAAATCCATCTGCTCTGACCCGCCGGCTTTAGACCTGCGGGCGTCTAGGTAGCCGACGATGAACTCGGAGTTCTGATAAATCAGCATGCCGGACAGCGTGAGCGCCGCCCCGGCGCAGCTGAGCGCGGACAGCTCGCTGCCGAACAGCAGCTGAGACAGCAGGAGGTTTCCCACCACGTTCAGGTTGCCCAGGATATGCAGGGTGACGGCCGAGGTGAGCGTGATGACACAGCAGCTGGCCAGGTTGTACATGACCGAGCCCAGGCAGCTGAGCAGGATGAAGACCCACAGGTGGCAGTCGTAGTGCAGCGGCCACTCCAGCAGAGCCCAGTTCTCCAGGGCCAGAGCAGCCACGGCTAAGATACAGAAGCTAGGAATGGACATCAGGTAGAGTAAGAACACAGAGTTGATCTTCTCCTCCTGAAGTAAAATACCTGAGAAAACAAGGGGGGGGGGGCAGCATTTTAATTCATGCAATTAAAAAAACAAAAACATATCAATGACCAGACTGGGTTAGAGAAGAGTAAACATCAAAACTTTTTTTAAGTTGCAACAGTTTTTACTTAGAAGAAATACGTTGGTAAGAACTGACATAACTTCTTCTACAATATATTGGGAAACTAATATTGTATAGAAACTGGAAACATATAACATGAACCATAACAGCAGCATAGCTGCATGTTCACTGAGTCGTGATGCACTGGGCAGTGATCAGGGACAAGAAATACAGAACAACACATGCAAACGCAGTCAGAAAGCATTTCAAATTAGAAACCAGGAAGCCTTAAAAGGATCTAAGCACCTCAAAGCAACCTCTATCAACTTGGTGCCCAGTTCCAGGAAAGGCACTATTATTGTTTGTGAACTGAAACAACCACGAGGCAAAAAAGCGACTTCAATAGTGGTTGTGAAAGCAGGCAGAAAAAATGATGGATTTCTGTTATGCTGATACTAAATACCAAATCTCTGATTTTGTTAGAATAATAGTAAAATATGTTCATTTCACAAAAAAACAAAAAAAAACAAACGCAAGGTAAATAAGATTTCAATTATTAATCTCCTGCCTTAGCTCCTCAGACATGTACAGTAGGCCTGTTTCAGGGCACTGTTTAGCTAAGACTGACAGCTAGAACATTTTTGTCCATTTAAAGAACAAGGAACAAGAACAGACTGATCAACAACAAGCCCAGCAGCAGTATTGTGATAAGCAAATAGCACGCTAAACTCCAGACTAAGCACAGACGGCATTGTTCTCACCTTTACGATCCTGCGTGTCACATCACAGAAGAATGTGGTTTGTGGTCTCCGTTTGCTATCATGAAGCCAGTGTTACATTTGGACAGGTGTTTATAAGCCTGTGTGTTAATGGGCATATTCTGTCAACACAGCAGTGTCCCTAAAGCCAAAGGGGCACTCCTGAAACCTTACAGTGGGTCATGCGTCCTCCATAATAAAGACTGAGACCAGTGCATCAACATGTTGATGAGCATCACAGATGGTGGTGTCCCGAGGTAAGATTGCCTTTAGCGTAATAACTGTAAATACCTCACAGCTGTTCATCAATGCTAAGCCAAGGTTTTGCATTTAAAAACAAAAATGCACTAAAGGGCAAGCTGTTGCTACAACAAGTAGAGACCAAAATAGCTTCTTGAAACATGACACCAGATTTTAGGACAGTTTTGGTCAGCAGCTTACATCTGCTGGACCTTGTTTACACAGTCTGATCCAAATGCGAGAGCACAACACAAATGTTTCATTCAACATTATCAAATGAAGTTAAACAGAAGGTTTCAGACAGTTTTGATCAGGCATTAGGCATTGAGTCTTCTGGTCTCAGCTTGTCTCTGTACTGTGCTTCACAGATTAGCCTGGAGCAAATTCTACATCTGTATTGAGTTATGTAACAAATTAAAGACAATGCTTCAATATATAAATTGAAATTTGCCACTTTTTTTCTGATGATAACTACCGTGTTACTGAGACTGATGACGTTAGAGTGAATAATCTGCTGCACACAAACACTCATCTGTGATGCAATAAGGTTCCAGAAACCAGCTTTACTAATTACATAACAAATGGCCCACTAAGAGCACAGAACATTAGATAAATGGGTTAACTGGATATAATCCGTTAGAGCAATAGTTAACCCTCATGACATGAATTCAAGAAAATGAGTTGTCCCTTTAGAAATGTACACTTATGATTAATGGCAATTTCAAGGCCAATCTAAAATAGGCCTTTCAAGGCACGCAGAGCATATCCTTTGGATGAACCCATTCTGAAAAGTCACTGAGGAGTAACCAAAGACTTATTTAAATGTTGTCTGTACACACAGCCCTTTGAAGGGAGAAAGACCCATGGCAAATGACAAGAACTTAAATTTATATGTCATTTTCAATCCATCGTCTGACTTAAAATGCCATTACCATGTGGAGGGTACAAACACTTCAGCTTTTTCAAACTTTTCCGTGACTGAAAATCTAACAAAACACAGTTAAACAGGAAGGAGCCTTGTAGATGTGTAATGACGCTTCTGTTATGTTTCCGTAGCAACCGGCGAGTGGGCAGTTTTACCATTCCATGTTTATGTGAGGGTGTGTCTCTGAACCGGTGAATCACCAAATTGTAAAAAAACATTCCAAGACCACAGATTGCTACGACATCTGCAGGAAAACTAAAGTACTTCTTAATGTCAGTGTGATGTGATAAAAGCAAAGAGATGATCTCACGGATCTCACTTTAGCAGCAATAAAAACACGAGTGATCTGAGGCTGAAGTTTGAGCGTTCGGGGAGACAAATGAGACTGCCAAGTTAAAGTTGTACTCACTCTGCTGAATGGACTTGACGCCCCTCAACATGGTCGCTGCAAACACAAGGAAGCAGCCCGTCTGATCGTACTGGACCTCCCCCATAATGCTGAAGGATGCGCCCAGGCAGATGGGCATCATGGCCGTGTACTTGATGATGTGATGCTGCTTGCCGAGGATCAGGGTAGAAATGGCCAGGGTGAACAGTGGAGTGGTGGTGTAGATCATTTGTGCAAATGAGAGCTGGACGTAGTTCAGACCCATGTTCCCGAAGGCGATGCTGGCGCAAAATGTCAGGCTCAACAGGAACACCTTACACTTAGCATTGGGGGTAAGGTCCCGCTCAGCAGCCCCTCTGTGGCGGATCACCCGCAGCTTGATCAGCCCATAGTCCACCACTATGGCCGTCAGCATGTGCAGTGCGGACAGCAGCAGGGGGTACCTGAAGTTGTAAACAGCAAATATCCATTTGTTGAGGCTGGAGATGGTGGTGCCGGTCACCAGCCAAACGACGACAGCCGACAGCAGATGGAGCATCTCTGCGGGTGGCCTCCTCCTGCTGCTCTCCTGCAGAGTCGCCTCGCATTTTGAACAGCCATCCGTGCTGATCATGTTCGAATCATTGTCCTCTCTGTAAAGTAAACACATGTCGAGTCCTTCCCTGTCATGTCCGCACAAAATCCATCATCAAATCGTTCAGCTCAAGGCTACAAATGACGGAAAACAACCACCTTCGGGGATGTGCTTTCGCTGTGCAACAGCCGGGCTTTGTTGTCTGGGGGAAGAAGCCCTCTTCAGCACCGCCTATGGACACGTGTTTCTATTTTGCATGACGCCCTGGTTGTGTAACGTACCGTAAATGACAGATGCTCCAGCGGGGAGACGGATCTGAGCAGAGGTAGCTGCTCGGGGCGGGAAGCTAGGCGCTGTGCGTGCTTTCTTACTCTGGATTGGCTATTTTCCTGTCCTGCACTAATGAACTGACACCACCAAAACCGCATGATGCGCAAAAAAACAGCTCCGATGTCAACACCACGACAACATTTGACACAGCGCGTGGTTTAAGTTGTATGAATTAGCTTTAACTATGGCTGCAATTGCGCCATTCAAAATACGCTTAACCTATTAAATGGAATTCAACAAATGCTTCCACTGTCTGTAAAGACACAGACCCGTATCAATTCACAGGGAAAAAAAGTGCTCCGGTTTACGGAGTTGTGGGCTGCGTTGCATCGTGCAGAGGTGGCGGTGTGAGTCCCAGTCCTGTTAAGCTTTAAAGCAAAGCCAGTGTCCGTCAAACACAACACAACGGCGCTGTTGTCCGCCAGACTGACGCAGTGGATATGGGTTACGTTATCTGACCTCCACAGCAGGCAGCGCCGTCGCTCGCCTGACAGAAATACATATCCGAGCATGACAGCACAGGCTAAAGTTAGCTAGCCACCACCGGGCACTAGTTAGCTAACAGCAGGTTTGTTCGCCGCTAAACAACACAGCAGCCATTTTTTTTAAGGTATTAATTGCGCGGTAATAATGTCAGCTCGTCCCACGTCGACACCAACACAAACACGAGTGACGTTGTTTTAGAAAACGAGGCTGAGTTTTTACCTTGTAACCGGAGCACTGTGGCAGCATCCCCAAATCTCCGGCCGTCGGTCACGGCGCTGTCAGCCAGGCTGAGGCGGATTTCAGTGTTACTGGACGGTTCACTTAAAGGGCAATGCCACCGTTTTCACAGTTCAAAACACCATGCAGTACTCCTCTACTAACATGGACAACACTGGAGGAGCTGGAGAGGGACTTGAGCTAGTTTGAAATATATCCAAATCACTCTCTCTATAAAATGCAACTTATGCTATTTTGTGATAACCAATGCAATCAGCGAGTCAGAAAACAATCCAAGATAAACCTTACAAACATCACTGTCACATTTATTCTTTCCCCTATCTTCAGGCAATTGGGTACATTTCAAATATAAAAAGAGGTTACGTACTAGGATAAACTGTTTGGCAACATTTGGGACTTATATTTTCTTAAAGAGGGTAAGCTTCTTGACCAACAGTATAAATGTGTGGGGCTAACCTTACTAACATCTAAATATAATAATTCGGCACCTTAGGAGAGAAAATACATGAATAAAGATTGCTGTGAACAACAGCATATAATTGGTTTTATGTTTTTATTTGAGCTCAAAAATGTAACATTTCTGAGGTAATTGGGCACAAAAGGTGAATTCACATAATGTTTCAATGATAATCCACAATTAGCAAAGAGAAGAGGCTTCTCACTAGTGAAGTGCTTAAGCACTCTAAAATCATGCATAGCTATATATTGCTATGGAAACCATTTAATCATGTAGCATGTATCATTAGATGAATATGATATTGTGCTTTATTTGAACAGGATCTTATTTTCATATCTAATCTCATGTCCTGTACCTCATAAATCTGACATTCATATTTTGTTTTCTCATCACCTCAGTAGCTGTAGCCTTGACTTCACGGAAGATTATGTATAAACAACTAGAGCTTCAACAGTGATTGGAGTATAAATATTCAAGTAATGTGAAACAATACTTTCTAACACCAATTATAACTGAGGTGATCCTACTTCTAGTGTATTGTTGCTATATACACATCACAAAAACAACAGTCATACATGACCATTATGCCCTGGAATCACTCATGGCAAGTTATAAACAAACAGATTATTGGTTATAGAGGGTATTGACTACTGATGTACACTGGCGCGTGCTACCACAAAAAAACAATAATTCCGAGATCATTATGCCTTTCTTTAGCTATTTTCTGGCTCTTTACTGACGTGTAAAAATCAGACATCTTCACACATCAATTCTTCATCCAAAGGAATACCTTTTATATTTCTTATTATTGGCAGGGGCATAAGACACGTTGTTGACCTTGCAGTGTTTTTTCTTAAGTGGCTGTTCATCTGGTGTTATAGCTAAAATAAAAATAAAGGTGACAGAAGCAACACAATTTTTTTTATATAAATCCTCCATGAGTCTAGCCATTTCTAAAACTTTTAAAACTGGGAAAGCAGGTTCTTAATACTTACCAATATGATAAACCCTGATATTCAGAGTAAATTTATTACAAAATACTGTAATTCACTGCTAAGTAAACATTTAAGTCTAAAGATAAGTATCAGAAAATAAATGCTTCTCAGACGGTTGAATCTGTACAAAATGGTTTTGTTTCTGTGTAATACTTTCAGGGGACTTACTGATTTTTAAAGCAATTGAGGCTAAAATAAAAAACTATTAAGCACCGATATGACCCTTTGCTTAAGGAAATCCTAGAGGTGTGTCAGATTTATAATCATATAAACTCTTATAGTTGAGTCTCAAAATACAGTATGTTATGGGGTACTCAAGATGTTGATGTAGGTGGTTTAGACCCTATCAACTTTTTTACATTTTGTCAGTTTCAAAATTATTTCAAACATTTTTTTCTCATCAGTCTCCACACAGTCTCCACTGAGAAGTTCATGAGTGTAGTGTTTTCAGATTGATCCCAGCGTCTTGGCACATATTGCCTTAGAACTTTCTCCTCTACTTCTTTGCTAAGCCCAGTACTAAAGCGTCTGTACTCAGCTGCATTTTGGGATTTTCCAGAGATGCTAGACTGCATTCGGACCTCCAGCTGGGTCACCAGACCTCTTCTATGGTTTTCATTATGTCCCTCCTGAGTTTGAAATGATTCGCTGGTAATCTTGTGAAAATGTAAACATTATTTCCAGCACAAGATCCTGAGAACCCTTGAGAATGTTTTCACCCAGGTTTGCATTTTGACATCCATCTTTGCCTCTATACTGACTAGTCTCCCATTCCCTCTCACAACAAAATTATAATAGGATGATACCTGCCCCTAATGGTGTGAAATGATATTGGTCAGCCACCACACACAGAGGCCTAATTAGTGGAGTGCTGCAAGGTGGCTGTGCAAGGCTGTCTGCTATCTCCAAAGAAGGGCAAAGAACCTCATTCATAGGTAGCATTTGCTTTAAAGTTACCTGCCTTCCTGAGGTCCCTCATCCGTGATTATGCAGTTTATCAACTCTGTCAAATACTATCTGGTATAAAACCTTAAAACGGAAAGGTGTGAACCTTCCTAATTACAGCCAATGAACTCAATTATGCAGTGAGTGGTCAAGTTGAAGTATCACCCCAAAGCTCCATGCTGAGTGTCCTGTCAAAGATCCTCAGTGTTTCTGGATGTCAGTCTTTAATTCTTTGAATGAACATAACATTTATAAAATCTGTTTGCTTTTTATTTGAATTTGTGTAGACTGATGAGGGAAAAAGGAACCCTATACAACTGCACTTTCACAAACTTTAGGAGGTATCTGAAGCACTGAAAGTATAAATGTATTATTACTGGATGGAGCCAGGCAGAGATAAAAAAAGTGATGACAAACAGATGTAGCTTAAACAGCAATATCTTGAACTTTAGTCCTGTGTCTGAGTAAAGCTCAAAATTCATCTCCATGAATTCTCATACTGAAGTCACGCAGTGGCTGTGGCTGGGCTGTCAATTCCTGATAAACCTTTAAGAATCCCCAGTATGTACCAAGGTCTTTCTATCGCCCAAGGTGAGATTACATGAGTGATATTGCTTGTTTTAATGGACTAAAAAAGGTTCCTTTAGGGCCAGCAAAGACATACAAGAGCTCTTTCAGGGTGTAGTTCCTTCTTTTAGTAATTACTTCAGATAAACCTTTTAAATAGGTGTGGTGCACTTTCAACTGAAACAGAAGCTCATCGTGAAAGCAGCTTGGAGTTCTCACTCAGTTGTCCATCCAAAGACATTGACACCTGCTTTGGTTATCATGTCCAAGTAGCTCTTCTTCAGAGGCCAGTCGAGAGATAACTTTAAAGTCATTCAGAATCACATTTTGTGCATTTTGAAAAAGAGTAGTAAAAAACACCACAGAATCTGGAGGGATGAAGAAATGAAGTTCTGCTTAAAGCACAGTTGAAGGCTTCGTCTCATTCTCTCCAAACCCGGTGTCTCTCCCAGAGTCCAGCAGCGAAAATGCTGTTCTAGTTTGGGAAATACAAGACATTAAGTGCTTGTACTCATCATCCAGAGCCTTCCATGCTCCCAAATGATCCTATGTGTGGAGTGTTTCTGGAAGCTATGTGTCAATCGCACAAACATCCCATAATACAGGAACTGAAATGTTCCCATAAATAATTGCTCTGTTGTGTTGAAGTGTAAACACAAACTGAAGCCATGCATTCCAGAAACAAAGATATAACAGAGTAGAAGGGAGTATATCAGAATGTGGAAGCTGGGCTCATTGTGTTCAGATGTCTGGGAGTGAGAAGCTCACACACTCACTGGAACATGCACATCTAAACTCAGTCAAACAGTGTTCTTACATCAAGAGGGGTCGTTCACTCTATCTTATGCCGCAGTATGAGGGAAATGTTCTAGAAGATTTCAGGACACTGGCTCCAGTCCTGTCTTTCTTTGGCCTCCCAGTACCCTCCTCTGTAGATGTAAGTGCTTTCTCCTGTACTGTCATCTGTTTTCTTCTCAAACCACAGTGGCTGGTAACCCTCAATGTCTTGTCCTGAAAAAAGAAAGGGGATAGGATTTTTATGGCACAGATTCAGTAACTATTTCTATTTTGACACTGTATGACACCGTTTTCACTCTTTAATACCCACAATAAATAAAACCCTTTACCTACTACAACTTCAAAAATATAACTAGTTATTCCATCTTATATCACCACAGTTAAAAAATATCTTATACATTTAATCTTAAAATGGAGAAAAGGATTCATCACTACAAACCATTTTATATTTTCCCCAAATTCAAGGTCTCTACATTCCTACATTCGGAGTTTAGCCTTGAAATGTATTGGGGATTTGGTTTTTGCATGCAACCAAAGACAAAGGCAGTACCAGTGTCCTATTTTCACTGGCTGTTTGGGTTCATGAGCAACCATCAGAGGAACAGCAAAATTGTGATACAACAAGCTTTCTAGAACCACAGTATGCTGAAGGGTGTGAAATGTTCCACAAAGGATTGAAGTCAAAATTTCACTACCATCTCTCACTGAGGTCCTTGTACTCACCTTCATCCAAAGCCTGATTAGCTTGTGCCTCCCGTTTTTTTCTCTCCAGTCTCTGACGCTCCTCCAATCTCTGCTTCTGGATGTTTGCTTCGTCCCACAAACCCGCCTCCATTAGTCGCTGGTCTGGCCGCAGACGACTGTCAGTGGGTGCAATACCCTCCTCTGTTTCATTCAGGGTCAGAGCCAGGGAGGAGAAAAAGTGCATGTTCTCTGCATTATCTCTGGGGGCGGAGAGGTAGACAAAAGGAAATGCAGGTTTCAAAGTCAGATCGCAAAGGGGTGCACACTGGCACATTCAGTCATGAAGATAACTAGTGATACAATAATAAATATGTTAAACATACGGTAGAGGGTATTTCTTCCACAGCAGTTTGGGCTGCAGAGTCTGATAAACTGTCTTCTGTTTGCCCTCTGAGCCTCCACATCCTTGGCTACTTTCCACTATTTTAGCACTCTCCATTTTGTCATCCCAGGTTCCCGACAGGATGTAGTGGGCTGTGCCCTCTCTGTCCTCTACTACGCCCGTCACCTGGACACACAGGAAGAGATAAGTTACAGGAATGCTGCGCAGATAAGGAGCCAGTATGAGCCAAAGAAGTGAAGCCTAAATCAGATGTAATGCAGTGTTGTAGATTATGTCAAACATTGTTTTTTTTCCAATCTGGTGAGTGCAAAACTGCATAAATGCCTTCAGATCTGAATGAATACAACCACAAAAAACTGTGGATGTAACTGCCTGAAAAAGCTGTTTCAAACTTACTTTGCGGGGGACTTCTCTGGAGAAGTAGCTGTACGGGGAGAATTTGAGACGACAGGTGTCCTTTGTGGTGGTGTTTACAATGTCAATGTCCCCAGACTGCCAACAGCATCAAACAGGAGCACAGCAGAAACATAGCCACATATTTGTTTTAATATACGACGATTCAATCCCGTCTCTTCAACCTGTATTTTCCATGTGCTGGCCAAGTGTTTCTCCGAGCAACACATTTGGGTTTGGCTCTAATGTTTTATTTAACCTTACTGGTTGCAATTTCCATCTTTAGCCATTTTCTAACATGCATATACAAATGAGGAGAGAGTAGACATTGTACATTTTTGATTACACAAGCCTATAAAGTTGTTATCATCAGAGGATCTCACCTGATCAATCCACAGCTTCCCTACAATAATGTTGTGTACTGTTGATGTTACTTTACTCCACACATAGCGGTTTCCGCTTGAATGGAACTGCAGATGAATATTTCCTATTATAAAGAGAAAAAAACGTGTAAATGCAACCCAAAAATGTGGGTGTATAATAGGATCGGTGTCAGTCTCATATCATATATCGTAGCTTGAGCTTCTTACCTAATGGCACCACAGAAATATATTTCCCCCGAAACTTGCTATCGATCATTATGTGCTGCCATAGAGTCCATCCCCGCTGTGAGGTCACATGGTGGGCAGCAGCTGGTGGGTGATGACTGACCTGGAATTAAATAAAACCCAAGGGATTATTTCACTTCTTTGTGTTGACAATACATGTATATGGACGTAGAAACACAAATAAGATGTTTGCCCCCACCTGCTCAGAGATTGAGCGGTAGCCGTACTCTTCCAGTCGGTCCAGCTCGTAAGTCTCCCCCAGCAGAGGATTGAAGGGCTTGGCTGTACGATGGACTGTGGTGGAGTAGGAGGACACAGAGAAGGCAGCTACAAGGCACATCTGCTCCAGGGTGGAGTCACAGCGAGCCGCCCGGTCCAGCAGCTCACTGTACTCCAGATCCTCTGACAGACGCTGCAGCATTGACAGCGGCTCGTTAAAGTTGACCTGCAAGAACACAATTCCTTACTAAAAGCAGCCTTTGTGGTGCAGTAAAATCCACTGTTAGCATATATATGTATCTGCATCTTCACAAAACAATACACAGGATTAATGCCAAATTTAAAAAAAGGAAATAAAATCACCGGCATGGGGATCTTAGAGAGGTCTTTGCCAATACAGTTCTTCATTATGCTCCACAGGTTGAGAGAGTAATTTGGTTTGTCGGGAATACGGCTACGTCTTGTTCTCCGGAGCTGCATTTGATTGGTGCCTGAGGTGTCCTGTAAGTCACACATAAAACACAAGGAGTTATGGTGAAACAGCCACAGGAGAAAGGTTATAAAGGAAGATAGGGCTGAGTCTTATTGAAACATACATTCTCATTGTGAGTCCAGTCATTAGGCACTCCTCCACTCATCATACTCTGATTGCTTCCTGAGCGCCTAAGAGAGAGTGTGAGGTTTTAAACACAGCTCAGAGTGCCTCTCCTGTCTAAGCGGAGCTTTGAGACTACTTGTCCTGTAATGATTGTTGTGTCTCTCACTTGTGCTGTATAGTGCCAGTAGCAGTCACAGTTATAAATGCTGGGGAGTCCTCCATGGCATCGAAAAACTCTGCATCATCATTTTCATCACTTGCATCCCCCTCCTGAGACCGCTCCACACCTATGGAAACAAATACAAAAAGATGACTGAAGATTCCTTTATGTGTATATATTATACTGGTACACAGCACCGTGTTGCTATGAAGTGTACAGCAACGAGAACATTTCTATTGAGATTTGTTTTAAACCGAATAGCTTATCTGTGTTTCATTTGCTAGTTTTGAGCCAGCGTCCTACCACAATCCAGCTCTTTCTGTTTCGGCGCGCACCCGCAATGGTTCTAGTACAAAGAAACCAGCACTGCACTGATGCAGAGTTCAACAAACCAACAGATATAATGATAACCATGATTCTCTTCTGATTGCTGCCTGTCATCCTGCATGGAGCTTAACACACACTGAATTAAAAACATATTCTATTTTTCAAGCATTCTCAATATTCTAACATTTAGCTTATCATCCAAATGTGTAAATCCAATATTACAAAGTTAATTATGCTTACGATGAGCCTGATTTTTTGTTCCGCGAATGCATCACCGGTAGCAGACAGCCGACAGCCACATTCTCTTTTGTGACAAGATTTTTACCTTTCACCCGTTAAGCACCAAGCTTGTCTAGACAACAGAAGACGTCACATGTCTTACCCGCGAATGAGGTGGGGTTCTCCCTCCAGGCTCTCTCTAGGCTGTTGTGCTGTTTGGCTAGCTGCTCAATAGTCTCCTCCAGATGGTGGCGCTGTTCTCTCTCATAGTGAAGAGCCCTCTGCCACCTCCGGCTGTGAGATTCTGCCACATCCAAAAAGTCACGGCAAGCCTGAGGTGTGAACACAAAGCACATAAGGGAAGAAAAACAAAACAAACAAGACAGAAGGCATTACAAAAGGGACATTTCCTCATTCCAAGACAGATTTGCGACTGATTTGTACCTGCTAAGGCTTTGACAGCGTGAACTCACATTGATCATAGCATTGGAGGTGATGCGGAACAGGGTGGCTCGCTCATTAACAGCTTTCACTCTGTCTGTGTTGTCAGTGGATGCGCGCAGTTCTTCAAGCTCACTGAGCGAGCGCTGGAGGGCAGCACCGTGCTTTCCTATCAGCTCATTACAGGTGCTCAAATCATCCAGCTTGCTGGCCAGAGACTGGAGCCCCCCTTGAGCAAGGGCTCGGTCCTCCTGAGGTACGGGGGCCTCATCTCCAGAGTCATCTTTACACAAAGACAAAAATCAAAGCAAGAGGATGAATTAAATATCTGACAATATTACGTCTGCAGATTCAGAACGTTAAATGTCCTGAGACGATGCCCTGGAGTACAGAGCAGATGGATAATTAATGTCTCAGATGGACTGAGAAGTCTATTCGAAACTATTATTCAAGAGTATTCTAAATTTACCCTCAGACAAGTGAAAAAGTGCTAATGGGGAACGGACAGAGGAAGATAATAACAGTTCACACCCTGGTCTCCACCAGCCCATCCTCTATGAAAGCTGTGAATGGACACTGTTGCCTTGGAAACGCAGACCTCTGCAATCAGAAGGCAATGCTATTTTTAGAAAAAGAGGGAGAAAAAACGATGACGCACTACCCCTTTCCTCATCTCTCTCTGTGTCCCTCTTCCAATTGCTGGCATCAGCTGAGCCATCAGTCTCAAGGCTTTTCAGCCTGTTTCACAGACTAGAGGGGTTACTGGGCATTACAAAGAACAATAATAATCACAGAATCTGAACAAAAGTTGTCTCTAGCTTCTTGCCTCTCACTCACCTGAACAAGCTCATCTTTATACAAATGCCCAAAAGCATCAAAATAAGGACTTCCATTCAGGCTATTCACTTCTTTTTAAAATTATATTTACAACATATTTTCTTTCTTTATAGAAACATTCTGAAGCTTTGGATTAATACCACAACATGTTCTATAACAGGTGCATTACAGAAACATCAGGAGAAAGATCTGCATTTCTTTACAGTTCTTAATATCACCATCAATAATCCAGCTTTAAACACATGTAACTGCCTCCTTCCTTTGCACAGAAACTTTTCTAGGGCAAAACCTGCTAAAGGACCCATTGTGTGTTTGATCTCAGGACTCACAGGCGTGTTGTGTGAATCTAGGGCAGAATGGAGACACGCTACTATGATCTATTAAAGGAGAAAAGAAATAAAAACAATCAGGGAAAAGTGGATTATCAAAGTCTCTGGAAAGGAAGATTAAAAACGAGAGGATGAACAATCCTTCAGACTTCTATAATGGTTTCATGACCCACATGTAAAAGAATCCAGCTGAAAGGAATTTTAGTTCTGAGGCCATCTGCCATTCAACATGTTTACTACAGCAACAAACATCATCCATAAAATAATGATGGGCATGTAAGGAAAAGACCTGCTGGTCCAGTCCAGGTAGTGATGGTTGTTTTTTTTCACAGAGGACATTGGAGAGTCCGAGACCAACTGGTGACTCATCGTTGAGTCATAAAAATACGCCCACAGGTGACAGAAGAAGTGTCATTATAGACAGTGTGGGAAGAGAGTCACAGATAAGAATCAGAGGGAATGCTCTGTCAGATTCTGAGACAAAGACAGATCATTTCAAGTCTGCTGAACGGCTGCGGTAACACAGTGAGATGCATAGCTTCCACCATGCAGACAGCTGTCTGCCCCACATTCAACAAGCACAAAATGCCTCATTCCCGTACATAGCAGAGGGTATACAGTTTCTGTTTACTAGTCATGTGATAGATATTTCTTGTCTCTGCATACCGCACACAGTTACAGCTGTTCTAATCCACTTTTAGCCAATTAATTAGCGCCGCAACTAAGTCCCTAACTGCTCATGCAATGATAATCTGTAATCACCAGAAGCACACAGGATTTGTGTGTTTGTGTACAGTTGCATAAAACATGCATCGGCTTAACTTTCCTAAGATAAAGGAAAATATTGTGCAGCTTATAAAATTCTGATGTAAAAAATTTATAGAAAACAGAGAGGACAAACCATACAGTATGCAGCAGATTCTGAACTGGGATAAACATTAGAAATAGGGCGAGGCTGTAGCAAAATCCTATAAACTGGTTCAGCTCTGTAAATCCCGAATACAATTTCAACTCTAATCGCCACAAGTAAGTCAAAATCTGCTGGTAAATGCAGCTTAAATTCCCCAGATAACAGTCAAGGTCTATGTATGCAAATATAAGAAGGACACATTACACCGATTTGCGTCTTGCAGGTACACATATTTTCTTCAGGGTTGAAGTGTGCTTCCAAGCACTAGTCTGTTTGTAGTAATTTATCTTGCAGCTGCATTTAACATTTTGAGAAAAAGACGATTGCGTGAATTAGTCATTTTTTTGGTCCAGCTGCTCCAACCTGCAATGACTTTGAAATGTATGTGCCATTTTACTAACTTCAACACTTAAACTGCATTTTTGATTGTGTAAAGAATTGCACAAGTTACTAAACGCCACTGAAAGATGCTCTTTGGGAGCCAAATACACAAAAGCAAGACAGAATATCAAACAAACACACAACATCTTTCTCAATGAATTCCTCTAATTCTTAAAACAAGGAGCTTACTTACAAGGTGACACTCACTGAAAAGGCTGATCTTGAGTCTCCCTACTGTCCACGGAGTATACGGTGGAAAATATTTTCAATGAAACCCGCTTGCACCCGCCTGTGCTGTGCTCCTTTCTTTTCTTTTCTTTTTTTTTTTTTTACCCCTCCTGCTACCAGAAAGAGAGGAGGAGTCATGTAAGGAAGGTCATTTCATTCACCACTCACTGCCGTCATACGGAAGGAGACAGGGAGGGGGAAAGATGCAGAGTGAGGAGGGAGGTGGCGGACGTAAGCGTATCTACGCACATTTGTGCGAAAGACTCCACACATTTCCCTTGTTAGTTCAAAAATCCTGTTTGAAGACATAAGGCTTGAACGTATCCACACAATCAGGATATTGAGCATTTGATGGATTCAAAATCAAATTATAATATCCAGAAATCAAAGAGAATGCAGTTCCACAGTGATATCCGGTAGAATAAGTCGTTTATCAGGGTATGGCTGTCTTTACAGCCTGTCTCCATTTCGCCTTTGATCACACCCTAACCCCCACACACTGGTCCCATGAAAACAGGCTGAATAGCACAGATAACACTGCCCTCTGGTGCCCCGGTCTTGAGATTACATGAAATAAAAAGATGCAAACAAATGAAATATGCTATTCCGTGATTGGCGCACACACACTCACACAGGTATTTATATATGTATTTACCTACGTATTTACTCACTGCATTCAGCGTATATTTACTGCCACTTGCAGCCAAACAGATGCGACTGCATTGACTGAAAAAGGTCCATCTCACCTGAGTGATGCATCAGGAGGGTGGCGCTGGCCTTGGCCTGCTGCAGAGCCGACACCCATCGGTTACACTCTCCCTCAGAGGTGGCTTTCAGGTGGTAACTCCGGCCTCTGCTGGTTAACACCAAGTGACAGGTGTCACCCACCTCTATGTGCGCCGTTGCCAGGGGAATAGTGCCCCGACAAGTGTGAGCCATCTCTGCCTGCGTCCTGAGGGAGAATAACATAAACCGGGTTATTAATAGTTGTCTGCGACAGCGGGAAGGAACGACAAAAGCCTCCTTGCACAAGTTGACATGCTCCATTTGCAAACTGGGGCAAGTCCATTTTGAAAGTACACCACTCTCAGGACAGCAAAAACAGCGGATCCTAAACAACAGAAGTGAAAAAAGAGGGGGCAACTGTGACTTATCTCCGCAACGGGCAAAAGAATAAACCCAGTTTGTAACTGTAAGCAAAAATAAAAAGGGCATAAATTCATGCAACCTCAGATGACTCAGCCCAATTCCACAAACCAGAGAAAACACAACGACAAAAGGATACAGTAAGTAGAAGGTTGGACCTTTTTTTTGTGTAAATAATCAAACTCTGCATTTCTCCAAGGAGACATGCCACTATTTTTTTTTATTTCAACTTGATAAAATCCCTTTTTCTTGAAGTAAGCTTCTCCATGGGGGCTGTTGCCTGCATTTCCATTCCTGTGCTTCACTCCAGAGTCAACAACTTCTATCTTTAGTGCCAATTTATACATGAATATAAGAAGGAAACACAGTCAATTAAATAAGATGGCACGTGAGCAAAGTTCAACATTTTGCAGTTACGACTCATTTCAGTATTTTTGGGACTCTCTTTCCGCAGGAGAAATAAAAAAAAGTTTCACCCCGCGTTCCTATAAACACAAAAAATTTGCCTCGCATTTAAAAAAATTTCATTTAACGGCCGCCCAAACCGTCACCTGTAGTAGGACAGCAGGCCGTTGCTGAGCACGAACCACCGCCGCTGGTAGCCCTTCAAGTAGTTGGTCCATTTGAAGAGCCAGCCCTTGTGGCCGTCCAGGCACGGGAGGTGCAGCCCGGGCAGCGTCGGCGAAGGCAAACTCTTCACCAGCTCGTTCATTTGCCCCCCTTTTCTCAGAGCCGCTGAGGTCCCTCCGGGTGGGGATGGACGGAGGGGTCGGTGAAGGGTTGGCGTGGAGCTTCCGCCGCCGCTGTCAACAGCTGCGCGGCTTTAGCTAGCTGTGCCCTCCTGTCCAGCTGCTGCTAGCGGGCAGCTGCTTGATACTTATAATAAAAAAATATATAGATATACTTATATCTAATGACACGCAACTGTTTAAGCTACGAGAAAAAAAAGGACAAACCCCATTACAGTGTGCGAGGCTGCTCAACTGCAGCACTTTTCGGTGCGTAGTGATAAAGCCGGTGGACGCGAGAGAGGGGGATCATGATGACGTCCTTATCTCAGGACTGTAGCATATGGGTGCAGCGGTGTGTGTGCGTGCCCGTGCGCGTGCCCGTGCGTGACATATGGCACGGTCCTCCGATTTGCTGCTGTGATGGAGAAAATTGTTGGAAAAATCGCGTTTTCAACTTAACTGAAAATATGGGTGTGTTTTTTTAAATCGTGGAACCCTAAAAGATTTAAAAGCGAGATTCTAACGTCCCATTTGCAAGTTTTAAACGTAATGCTGGCTCAGTTGAACTATTTAAAGACATTACAGCCATCCAGTGCGCAAAATATGGGAACAAGTCCACAGATGCAGTGCATCTTCCAGACAGAGTTGTACAGTCAAACTAAGACCACAAGAGGACACTGTGGTGTCTTCAGCAAGACACTTTTTTCAATGTTTGTGTAGTTTAGACTCTCATCATGTAGTTATCAATAACTTTTGGAAGTTATCAACTGTATTTTAAAACCAAAGAGACATAAAAACATACACAGAGACATGGAAGAGCAACCCTTTATTCAAATGTAAAGTCAAATTCAATTAAAGTTTTTATGATGATATTATCACTTTATGTTTTGAAATCAAGTATCTGCATCGTTTCACATAGTAAGATTTAGGACCCATTCATACTTAAACTAATACATTTATAAGTAAAATTAACATTTTTGTTACCGTAAGCACATCTCCAGTTCTTTTACAAGTTGAATCCGAGGAAATATTTTTTAGAACCAAGTTTAGTGATTAATGAGGCTAATAAAATCCACTCAATTTGCTTGCATTTCTCAAAACGTTTTATTTAACACATCAGAAAAGTAAAATGTTACCCTCGTACAGACAACTTAAATAAATAACATCAATTATCATCATTAACAAATGCAATAAGCAGTTTAATCAAAGAAAGACCAAAGGCTTGACCTTTTCTGTTTTTTTTTGTATGTTTTCTTAACGATTATAGGGAAGGTTACATTTAAATTAATGCGGTATTAAGTAAGCAAACAGTTCATTATTTTCATTTGGCATCATCACAGTCATCAGAGAAAACTTTCAATTGTACAATCATTTCTGCAAAGTGCTTTGTGAAAATATATGTCATAAAAGGGTTGTAATGTTTATTATGTCTTTGATTTTGATGCCTGCAGCTTTTTTTTCTTATCACATGAAGTTAAAAAACAAACAAACAAAAAAAAACAAAGGCATCCCCATATTGTCAGCAGAACAAAATCTCTATGGCACTACACCAGGATGTTCGATATGATTCTAATTTGACTTTGCACTGTGAAGTGTAACTGTTTAAATACTGTGCTGTTAACAACACAAAACCAGTTTCCACAGCACAATGCAAAAAAATATTTAACTTCACCCAGTGGGTTACAAGTAGTACTGAGCAATATTTAACCTTCAAAATGAAATGATTAACAGAAGAAAAACTCGGGCCTCCTAATCTTCGGAGGTTTGCTGGGTACTATAGTAAGGCAGTCAGCACGGCCGATAACATTTAAAAACCATCGAGGTGAAAAACGTTGCTACAAGAATGAGTTTCAGTTCAGTGTCTTGAAGGTCTGTTGTCGTTATCACAGTGTGAATTGTTCCAACTCATTGTGTCCTCCCTGTTATAAAGATTGCTTTCATTACGTCAGAGGGTTCACAACAAGCCATCTTGCTCGAAAATGGAGGGAAGAAGGGAGAAGTCGAAGGGAGCAAACTTGACACCGGTCCCGTGGTAGAATTTGTTCTGAAACTCAACCCTGAAATAAAATTTAAAATATATATTTTTAAAAGACACTTTAATAGATAAATTAGACTAAAAGTGACAACCATTATCCATTTTATTTCTCAAAATGCCAATTTCAATCTATATAAAAATGTTTCCATTCAGTATGAAAAAGGAAAATAAGCATGGCCCGTTGACTCAAAGGATTTTTTTACTCATCTTCATCATTAAACTTTGAATCGTTATTTCTGAGTACATCATAAAAAGTTCTCTCATTCAGCGATCAACAATTGTGAACGTCAACGTAAGCTGGAACAGTCAAATCTAAAAGCAGTGAAACTCACCAGTGAAGTCGGAGAGCGTGAAGGAACGCTGACAAGCCTTCCATGACCAACAGGATGGACACGGTGAGTGTGGCAAAGAGGCCGAACACGGGGACTAAAAACACCACGCCAACTTTTGTGGTGATCTTAAAGCCAAGACGCATAACCATGGTCCAGAGCACCTCTGAGAGCTCTACACCCAACAAAACACAAAGCCCGGAGAAAATTGAAGGGAGGAAATCAAGTCTAAAGACTAAAGAGTCGGTAGAAGCAAAAAGGGCTCAGTGTGGTGCATTTTGCCGGCTGCACTTACGGGCATGTGCCAAGCTGAGCGCCCAGAGACGCAGGTAGGATGCGGTGTTGGAAATGCAGCCCAGGCAGTACTCTATGGTGTGGATGGCCTGGTGCAGCAGCACATCGGAAAAGTCAAACTGCAAAACAATTGAGACAGTGATGGAAATGAAGTTAGGATGATCTGGCTGTCCTGTTTGAGTACAGCATGAAGTGTCTCGTAATCTAGTTGTAATGTAATCACATGATGACTGAGCTGGCTTTACAACTGACTCTTTTTCTTTTGCCCTACTTTTTACTTGGTAATGTGAAAATAGCATTAAAAATTTCAAGTGGTTGGAAATGAACACATGCTTGATCACAGATAGACGGACAGACTGAAGTCGCTGTTTTCTGACCTGTTTGGGAATAACTTCTCTGCCGGTTGGTTCATCGAGTCCTTCCTCCTCATCGTCTTCGTAGGACGGTGTGACGGAGTTGTCATCCTCGCTTACACGCCTCACCCTCTCGTAACCCTGAGCTCAGCCAGGAAGACCATATCAGACAACTGACAAAAGAACCAAATTAAGGGGTTGCAAAACTTTTGATTCGACTTACTCTGCGCCTACGCAGGCCCTTCCCTCCACGGTACAGCCAATACAAGTAAAGAGGTTTCCCTAAGAGCAGCACGGGAACGGACAGCATAGCTATCACAAGGAGGAATATCTGCAGCCCGGTCTGTGGAATCAAAGAAACGAGCTTAGACCGTGCTCCACCATGCAGAATAATTCCATCTGGTGTCATCAACACTTACCTGTCCCGGGAACAGAGGAGCGATATCCTTCCCCTGCATGACAAACATGTTGATAAAATGGATGAGGATGCTGGGAGCCTTACTGGAGTCCCGTACACCAAATGCCAACCACTTGTAGAGAATCATGAAGACCAGGTAGCCAAAGAGACAAAGCAGGAAAAGAAGCTCGGGAAGGAAGAGCAGATAAACACTGAATTTCTGTTGGAAGTGCCTAATGGGAAAGGAAAAAAACAATGTAGTGATTAAAGGTTTTAACGACTGGATCTCTGAAGGCTTATAATGTATAAAGACAAGGTTTTTGACCAATAAGTAATGTCCAGGGGGGCTTTATGTCACACTGGCCCATGGCCATGGATTGCTGCAGAGGCAGTATGTTTGTCAGGTTTATACCATTCAACAACGCATTATTAAAATGATTTTTCAGTCATCTGTCAAAAATCTATTTTAAGATTTTCATTTTAATTTATTTTTAATTAGGGCCTGAACCTGCCAACCCAGACACATTCCAGGTGTCATTTCTGATTTTTACTCATGTTTTGGTTGACATGAAGGCATCTTGATGTCAAAGTCATACTGAAGTTGAATGTGCATATGCTTTGAATCATATTCGTAGAAATTTCAACAGTGGATTCATTACCAAAAGTTATATTAATTAATACGAAGAAAAATAATCTAAGTCACTTACAAGTGGTTGAAGACGCTCAGCACCACTCCAAAGCTCATGTGAATGACCCCAATGACAACTGACATTTTCATCTTATATGAGTTGAGGAAGGAGAGGCGGTTCACTGCCATGTTCCATATCTGTGGTAAGATTTAGAAGAATCTCAGGAAAATGAACATGCAAATCTCTGAAATAAATGAGGAGCTTGGCTGAATTCACTTACAGGGTCAATACCAAATGGGTAGGGTCCACTGAATACTCCGCTCACATTTGGGTCCAATGTGAGCAAAGCGTTTGTTTGGAGGGTTTTGTTTCTGTGGAGTAAAGATATGTATACATGGGAAACGTCTTTTCAGACACATCAGATAAGCATAAGAACGGACTGATGGGTCTACAGTTAGTTTCACCGATACTCACGTCCACTGCTGATTCGTAAACATAGCCTTCACGCTCCACGCAGAGCCAAATATATTCAGAGACTTGGAGAAACAATCGTTGTAGATGAGTCCAGTGTAGACTGAAAAAATCCCCATCATCAGGATGATGTAACGCCCGTTGAAAAACGTCAACCATATCTGAGACAATGGGGACACCACTATCAGATAAAACCCGTCTACAATCATCCAATGCGGCATAAACAGTGAAGTTGAGCACTCATTCCCTACCTCGTTACTTGAACGTTTCTTCTTCTGCTTTTTCTCCGTCAGCACCATCCACAAGGCAAAGAGGCTCATTACCATCCCATGGCCGAGGTCACCAAACATCACAGCGAACAGGAAGGGGAAGGTGATGATGGTATAGGGAGCTGCCAGGAGCAAAATCAGCACATTTATTCTGAACGTGAGGAAAGCAAATTAAACGAATACACAAATACTTCCCTAAACGTGGTTCTTACCTGGGCTTACCTCGCGGTAGTCCCCCACCCCATAAGCCTCCACAATGCTCTGAAACCCAGAAGTGAACTTGTTGGACCTTGATAGGGTAGGTGGAGTATCGGTGCTTGGGATGCGGTTCACAAAGGACGGCACAGTGGCATCGCCTTTTCTCTGATCAGAAAGAAATCAATGAAAGGTTAATGTCAGCGTTGCTGCGTGGGTTAGAAAGAATAATTTTCTGATCACAATCATTTCTGTTTCAGGCTGTTACTGGTACATGCTCTGCAGTAAATAAAGAAAACATTAATTGAAGAGAACTAGTAAGATTTTGTTCTCCATTCCTTTTTTGACAACATCCACAGTACAGAGACCCAAACCCTTCCTTTCTCTGACAATGAATGATTACACATTTCTAAGTGAGTTATTGCATAGTCTGGTACACATATGTCACTGAGTGTGTTTTCATATGAAAGTGGGTCCACACAAATCATGAAATGCGAAAACTAATGTCCTCTGTGATTTTGACTAATTATAAGAGATAAAATCTTACAACAAACGACCAGTGTTTTGGATTCTGTGACTCTAAGCCGGTGCGGTACTCTCTGCTGCCTCTGTGCTGGTGTTAGATTTTCCATGTTTTCATTGGCATGGATCCCAAATCTCGTGCCCTTGGCAAAGGGATGTAAGTCCCTGAGAATGTTTAACAATTATCATCCATCTTTTTTTTGTTGCATTTTTGTAGACCTAACAGTCATGTCTTTCCCTCATCTCTGCCAAACAGAGGTGAGCCATGCTTTTCTCCTCATAGCTGAGCACACAGAGTCCCCAAGCTGTCCACTGGGTGCATTGAGAACGCAGAGGCATAAAAAACCAATACTTTACATTTAAAAGCTTATGAAGATGCCTGTGTTTATATGAAGCTGTAGTACATTTAAATAGTTTTTAAGCAGTGTTAGCACGCGGTGCATCACACTCACCGAACCTTCTTCGAGCGCCCCTCTCAGGTTCGTTAGGTCGCTGACGGGACACCACACCTCAGCAATCAGACACTTGTTGGTAACGTCAAAACTGCAGAGGTTGAGGATGTGATAGATCGCCTTCATCTTTTTCACCTGCACGACCCAGGCGTAGGCCGACTCGGCCGCCTTCTGCAGAACTTGCCTCAGGTAATCCTCAGTGCGATGGAGCACCTGCAGGACACAACAGTGACTACAAAACCTGCAGGGAAAGTGGGGGGGGGGGGGGTCGCCTCCGGGCTCCCACACGCCCTACGTTGTTAAGATCTTGGATCCGCGCGCGTAAGCTGTCCAGCACGTCCGCTCGCTCCTCGTCATTCTCGGGGTGCGGATACAGGTGGCAGTGGTAGCTGAGGGTGACAAATAAAGATGCTGATAAAGACGGGGGGGGGGGGACGTCTGACCCAGGGCGGCCCTACAGGCAGTGAGGGTGCTCTCACCAGTCGCAGATTTTCTGGACTTTCTGTCCAATCTGGTCTCCCCAGAAAGAGATGAGAAACACCACGCTTTTGCTTATTTCTCCCTGTAATCACACGGTTGAGAAACGTCATCGCGACCAGGCAGTGAAAGAGTCATGAAGTGTGGGAAAGAGACTTTCGCAATTCAGCTCACAGTGTCAAGATCGGCGAGGCTCTCGTCCACTTCGGCGTAGCTGAGGATGGTGTAGCCTTTGCACACTCTCCATAGCATGCGCTCAAACGCCTCCACCTTCACCCGCTGGATGAGTCCCGAAACAAACCTGCCCCCCAGGCAAATCAGATTAAGTCAAGGGTGTCTCGTAGCATAATGTCGTGCGAAAGGTTATGAATGAAGGACATTGCAACTCACCCAAGCTTCGCGCCAAGTCTCTGCATACCAGTGCATCCCGTAACCGAGTCGGTCTCCATAGTGGGGAATTCTTCATACTGGGGACCAAGAGCCTCATGCTAATCATAAAAGGGAACACATTTCATTTGTGATAGCTGAGATTAACTGCTGCTCGCACGGTTCTTGTAGGTTCTGAGTGGATGCCATGACAACTTCCCGCCTGACACAGACATCCCTGTTGCAGTAGTCGCAGCCCGGATGAGTCAGATGGTGCTCGTGATGGCTGAATTGTGACTGTGTCATTAATTAAATCCAGCACCGCTTCTTGTCACACCAAGGGAAATAAAAAAAAAAACACACTGGCGACATGAAAACAACTGGCGAGGTGAGGGGAGGCGTGTCGGGACAGATGCGAGGAGAATGGAAATGGGGAGTGCAGTACATGAGTGCAGCTGATGGACGCACTCACTCTGGAGCGGCTGTGAATGAAGCTCCGCGTGATCTTCAGCATGTGTGTGTATTCGGTGAGCTCCAGGAGGTTTCGCTGAAGCTTTTCTTTGTTCTTCGCCACCTCGCTGAGCTCCATCTCCAGCCTCTGAAGCTGCTCCTGGATGAGCAAAGGGTGAACACCTTTAGTCAGAGTTTTCCGGAAGGATAATCTACTAATGTTACTTTGGGAGAGCCAAGAAAACAACGTTAAGCGTGACTGTCTTCAGGATATGGTCACAGTTCCACATGTTTAAGCTCTACAGCAACACTGCATGCTCTGTCTGTGGGTGGTTATGGTTAGAAAGAAAAAAGATGAAACTATCACAGGCCTTTAACAAGACGGTTGGACCATGTTTGCTCTGTACAAATTGAACGTCAAAATGAACGAGCATAAGATTCATGATGCAAAAAAGACAAAAAAAATGAAAAAGTCATAAAAGAGCAGAAAAGCAGGTAACTGTTTCCTAATTTCATAAAGCAAATAAGCATTAGTTCAAATGAACAAAAGAAGTCCTGGCAAGATTTCTAGAGAACTGAGAACTAAGGACATTGAAACCCCACGTCTGAGCTTTTAAAAGAGTTAGATATCAGACTGTGGTGTCACTGTGCTCTAAAAGCTGCATGCATGCAGAGTCATCAGTGGAAAATGTTATGATAAAATTCACCATCGGAAGCTTGATATCTTATCATCTTAAGTTCAACAGAACTTTTGACTACAGTGAGCAAATGTAAATATGGGGGAAGAAGGCTGCAGGATGTTGTCAGAGGAACACCAGTCCTGCCTTTAATGATGGGGGGGGGGGGGCTCAATCCTGTTTTGTTTTTTGGGTCTCTGGTACAGTAAGTGGCATTAGAAACAGTTCATTTGTAAAAGGAAGTAAAGTTTTAGTTAAACACCCTCCAATTCTGAAAAACAGAACACTTATCCTGGAAATGATCTCAAAACTCACAACTGACATTTGAAAGACACCAAGCTGAGTCATAGCATGAATCATTGTCCACAGGCATAATTGAAAATCGCCTCTAACTAAAGTATTCGAATGAGTTAGAAGCCTTTTGCAGGAGTATTGGATAAAAATCCCACAACAAACACACCAGTACTAACCTCGCAGGACAAGCAGCAAAAGTAAAGCACAAATGGAGCCCAGCTCTCTCCATTTAGTTATTTTGAAAGAGTAAAAGACAGAGGCACGAGACTAATATTCCCTAAACTTTTTAAGCCTGTGATATTTTAATGTTTGTCTCTGAGAATGAGTCTCTGTTTGACTATTCACAGTAACAGACACTTTTGCTGACTTACCATGATCTCAAGGACTTGTCTGGGTGGAGGAGCAAGAGGACTCTCATCCTCCTCCGGAACGGCTATTTTAGCCTTCTGGATCTCCCTCAGAAGGAAGCCTGCCCAGAGAAATTGCTGATAGTGCGTTTCATAGTAATCACTCAGAAAGTACCAGTGGAATCTGTGTAAAATCAGGCTCTAAGGGACCAGTTTAGACACAAAAAACCCCACGCTGCCTGGGGTACACGACGAGGTGTGCATTCAGGCCGCTACACCCACATCCCAGGTGGGAGACGGCCACTTACCCAGAATCCTCTCCATCTCCTCGCATCTCTTAATTTCGCTGACAAAGCGGCGCTGGAATGAGCTGACGCTCGGGTTGAGCTGAAACCAGAGGAGCATCACAAGTCAGGTGGCTGCAGCAAGTGCGTGTGCAAACAAGGTACTCAAGTGCCTCGGAGGTGGCCGGGGCCGCGTAATGGCCTCTTTTGCCCCTTCTTATTAATATTGATAAGAAAAAAAATAAGAAAAAAGTGTCTGAAAAAAGCTTAGAAAAACATTTTCTCCCAGATGCAAGATTAACTGTTTCGTCTTTAAATTATATTATTGAGGAGGCATTAAAGACAGACAGACAGACAGACAGACAGACAGACAGACAGACAGACAGA